CAGAAAGCCATCGTCTTGTTACACATACGTGGATTTTCTTTCTGGAAAACTCCACTAGAAAGGAGGATTTGTCATGCAGAGTTCTGCTGAGGCTTAAGAAAAAGCCAAAAGGAGAACGAAAGTGACACATTTCCTCAGAAAATCTGATCCAGACTCTAGAGGGCCGAAACATTATAATGAGTCACTAATACATATCTGTTTTTCTTTTGCCGAAAGGCAAAGACCTCACAAAATCAGTGTTATAATTGGACTTAAATTACAGATAGGCTTTATTTATTTATTTAGATCCCCATTAGCTGTCGCCCTACATACAACAATGGACTTAGATATAAACACTTATACAAACAAACAAAATAAATGTAAACAAAGGCTAATCCTGTCAGGGGTGTGGATGTAGGACCCAAGTGCAGCACAACGGCAGGTAGTTGTTTAGAAGCTACTTTTATTGCAACAGTTCACAGCAAACAGGTAACTGAAGATACTGGGATTGATTTAGCAGTCTCTGTAGAATCTCCAAGACCAACAGGAAACAGATCCACAGGAAACAGGTTAAACAGGCAGAAAGGTGAGTGCACACAGAAAACACACTGCACCTGAGAGTCTTTGTGAAGTGCAGCAGCTCTGTCGAGGGGCAGGCTGGGCTCGTGGTCGAAGCGGAGGCAATGTCGAATTCAGGCAGACAATCAGCAGGGCAGACTAATTCCAGAGGGATCAGACGGAAGGATAGTCGTGGACAGGCAGTAGGTCGGGAAGCCAGCAACACAGCAAAACCTGAAGTTCTCACCGGAGCGAAGAAACTTGACAGGGGATCCAAGGGCTGAGACTAGAAGACGTGGTCAGAGACAGGCAGGAGTCGAAAACGAGAAGTCAATCCAAGAAATAATGCTGGAGAGTCGTGCATGCTGCGAAGACAATCTGGCACTGAATGAGGGACACAAAGTGACTTAAATGCTGGCTGGCTAATCAGCAGGGAGGAGCTGCAGCTTGTCATTCACAGGTGTGGGGAATCAGTGCTGATGAGGAGGTGTGGCAGGGAGGTGAGTGAGAGTCAGCCTGAGATACACAGCAGAGTGTGACAAATCCATCACCATTGGGAAACACAAAATTTGCAGAACGATTCAAGCAAAAAGGATCTTAGATTCAATCGATATATAACATGACATATCCCTAAATACACCTCCTAATTATCCAATATTACCATACATTCACATCTGGAATCTATTTATCCTTGAATAATCATGATGTGCTAAATTATGTGTATTACCATAAGTATACTTCTTGTAATACAATCAAAGGTATATAAACATCAATATTATTATTATTACTATTACTATTACTATTACCATTACTATTAATATCCATATCTTTATCACAGCCATCACCATACTTATCCAAACAAATATACACATACTCCCATGGAAAACCACAAGTATATTTCCCATCATACAATCAGAGATATATAAATATTATTATTGTTATTATCACTTCCATTACGACTACTATTAACATCCTCATCATCATCACCGTTATCACCAGTCTTATTAAAACAAATATATAGCCTACATACTCCTTTGTCTTGTTCTCAGTGCACACAAACACTTCCTTGTACCCAAATTAAAGTTTTCCCTTCTGGAGTATATGCTGTTTTACTGATACTTTGAATTTATCAATGTTTGTGGTAAGCTTGATCTGTTTTGGCAGTGAGTTCCATACTTTCATACCTCTATAGATAACAGATTTTTTTATGGCATTTGTTCGCACTCTAGGTAAGGTAAAATTTCCCATAGCTGCGTGCCTGGTGATGTGTCCATGATTTTCAGTACTGAAATTTAGGTTCTTGAATAAAATAAAAGGTAAGTCTGAAACAGAAATGTTTTTGATGAAAGTGATCAGTGAGTATAGGAGTCTGTCTTTAACCATTAGCCAGTTTAATTGCTTGTGCATAGAACTGATGTTTGTCCTGTAGTTGCACTGGAGTACTGTATGGGCAGCTCTATTTTGTATTCATTGAAGTTTGTCTAATATATATCCCAAGGCACTCGACCAAACTGCTGGGCAATAGTCTAGATATATTAATATTAGTGCTTGAATAGCTCTGATCATAATGTTGGGAGCCAGACAGTTATCAGGTCTTCTCATAATAGATAAACCTCTTCCCATCTTTGCAGTCATATTGCTGATGTGTTTCTTCTATGATAGTTTATTGTCTACTGTCACGCCCAGAAGTGTGGTTTCATGTTCTTGATTTATAATGATATTATGAATTTTAATATTTAACACAGGATTTTTATCAATAATATAATTTGACCCAAGAATCATGCAGTTAGTTTTTGATATGTTGAGTACTAACTTATTTGTCTCCACCCATTCAGCTACAGCTTGTAGTTATTTATTTAAAATACTTAACAATTCCTTTCACGTTGTTGCAGATATGTATACAGTATAGTGGAATCATCCGCATACATTGCAATATTAGCTTTGTCTAAGATGTACGGTAGATCATTTGTAAAGATAGTGAACAATAAAGGACCTAGACAACTGCCTTGAGGCACTCCACATGTAGTACTTCTAGTCAGAGAAAAGCTGCCATTAAAAAACACAGTCTGTGTTCTGTTTGTTAAATAGCTACAAAACCAGTTAAGTGCTGATTGCTCAAAGCCAAAATGGGAAAGTTTCTTCAGTAATAGATCATGATCAATGATATCAAAGGCAGCAGAGAAGCCTAGAAATACAGCACCAATCATATTTTCCTTTTCAATCCCTTTGAGCCAGTCATCAGACATATGTGTCAGCGCGGTGCCAGTGGAGTGGCTCTTTCTGTACGCATGTTGAAAATCGCAGATAAAGCCATTCGTGGATAAATAATTGTTGATTTGTTCATATACAATAGTTTCTGTCAATTTACCTAACACAGGTAATATACTTATAGGGAGACTATTTGAACACGAGAAAGGCAATCTTTTGTTCTTTGGTAGTGGGATTATTTTAGCCTGTATCCACGCCTGTGGACATGTACAACATGTAAAGCTTAGATTGATGATATGAGCTAATGCAGGAGCAATATCATCTGCAGCCAATTTGAGGAGCCTGCTGTCAAGGCCATCAACACCCGGTGGTTTGTCCTTGCAGATTTTCAGGAGATCCTTTACCTTCTTTGTGTTTACTGTTTCCAATATGAATCGTACATATTTTCTTTCTATAATTTCATTTCTTATCGATAGGTGAGATATATCATCACTTAGATTAGGCATATTTTCTTTTAGTTTATCTAGTTTGCTAATGAAATAATCATTCAGGTAATTTACAATTTCAACAGGCTTAGTCATGAATTTGTCTCCAGCTTCCAGGAACGATGGGTTGTCTTTGTTTTTCCTTCCTGTCAATTTATTTAAAACTTTTCACATTTTTTTGCTGTCATTTCCTACCTTATGAAATTGGTTATCAAAATATATTTTCTTTTTTTTCCTGTTAAGTTTGGTGACAGAATTTCTCATTTTCCAATAGAGGTCCCATTTATTGCCTGTTACAATTGCAGTTTTCTTCAACTGATCTCGCATTTTCATAGTCTTTAATTTCTTTGTCTAACCAGGGTGTTATGGCGCTTATGACACTAGACTTCCTCATTGGTGCATGTTTTTCTACCAGAGGCATAAATAGGCTGTTAAACTTAAAGATTTCTGACCAGCTGATCTTTTTTACATTATTAACAAATTCATCACGATTAAACAATTTATATGATCTCTTAGATACTACTGTGGGTCCTGGTCTACCAACTCTAGTATTTCTCAATACTACAATCAAGTTATGATCACTGCAGCCAATGGGCACAGACAATGTATTACAACACAGTTCAGGAAAATTGGTAAAAATGTGATCAATAAACGACGATGTTCTAGTGCCATCCTGTCTGACACATATTCTCGTAGGTTTATCAATGACTTGAGTAAGTCCACGTATATTAGCTGCAGTTTGAAGCTTAGTCTTCAGTGGGCAATTTTGAGAGGGCAGTCAATGTTAAAATCTCCCATAAAGTAAATATCCTAAACCACAGTAGTACTGTCTTCCAACATTTCACAAATTGTGTCTAGGTATTCATTATTAGCCCAAGGTGGTCTGTAACAGCAGCCTAAAGGTCCTTACACACCAGGCGCGAATTCGCCAGGCGAATTATTCGCCTTTATTCGCCTTTTTTTAAAACAGCATAAAGTCAATGCAAGCGTCCACACCAGCGGCGATTTGTCCGCGGAGCGAAAAGCGTCTTTTATTTTTTCGCTCGTGTCGAATTTTGCGGAGATTCGCAGACAAATATCTGGACCTGCTAGACCTCTGGCCAATCAAACGTCATGTTGTTGATGTCGTCACAGACCCATGCGGCTGCAGTTCACACGACACACACACCACCACTGGCACCGAGAGCAACGATGGGAGAGAGTGTGTATCACAGAGTGGTCGCCCAATGTGTATAAGCGAAAGCAATTTTTCAGACCAGCGAATATTTTCGGATTTTCGTCTCACTTTTTCGCTTCGCTCCACAAATTCGTTGGTGTGTAAGGACCTTAAGAGTATAAACTTCTGGTGAGGTAGATGGACTTGCAACCAAAGTATTTCAATATTATATTGCATCATATCAGTTCTAAAGGTCCTTACACACCGGCGAATTTGCGGAGCGAAGCGAAAAAACGAGACGAAAATTGCGAATATTCGCCGGTCCGAAAAATCGCTTTCGCCTATACACACCGACCGCGAAGCGAATATGCGTATATTTTTGCAAAGCGAATTAATAAAGTCGCTTTGCGGCACGGAGGAGAGGAGATGCAAGGTGGTCCTGTACCGCAATTACCAGCCTCTCTCCCATCGTTGCTCTTGGTGCCAGTGATGGTGTGTGTCGTGTGAATGGCTGCTGATTGACATGTCTAGCATTATGAGTGAGGGAGAAAGAGGAGGAAAAGCTGAGAGAGACACCGCAGCAGCCAGGAGAGGCGAGGGCTGAGCAGTGATCCTTCAAGTTGTCTGGTCATTCTGTTGGCCCTGTAGCTGCAGATCATCGGTATGTCAAACAGCTGAGAGGGAGAATCAGGCATGATGAGGCGGTCACCCTGTGAAGTGTGCTTGACATCTGTCTCCTAAGGAAGAGAAGAGAGTGTCATCTTGTGAGAAAACTACTTCATTAGTAATTCGACAGAGTTTTGGATGCACCTCAGCTGTCTTTGTCTGCGTTTTCATAATCTCAAACTTCTCCCTCTCCTCCAGCCGTATGGGTCTGTGACGTCATCAACAACATGACTTTTGATTGGCCAGAGGTCTAGCAGGTCCAGATATTCGCCGAAAAATTCGACACAGGAGCGAAAAAATAAAAGCGGCTTTTCGCCCCGCGGAAAAATCGCCGCCGGTGTGGAAGCTTGCATTGACTTTATGCTGTTTTAAAAAAAGGCGAATAATTCGCCTGGCGAATTCTCGCCCGGTGTGTAAGGACCTTTACTCTTACTGGCAAGTGATTCATAATATAAAAAGCCACTCCCCCACCATATCTTTTACTATCATTTCTGAAAATATTGTTGTCTTTAATATACAGTTCAGTATCCTCAACGGACGAGTCCAGGTGAGTCTCTGAGATGGCAAGTGTATGCAATTTATGTTTAGATAATAGAGACGTAACTTCATTCATTTTGTTTCTGAGACTATTTATGTTAATATGCGCAATTCGTACTCCTTTTTTTGGTAATTTGTGATGTGATGTTGTGGTATCTGGAGTACTACATCAATATGCATTGCCTTAAGGTATTTTTCAGGAGTAGCCTGAGGACCAATTGTGGAATGTGGATTTGTGTTTTCCTGTGTTTATCATTAGTGACACTTAGGGTGAGATATCCTGGAAGGGGCACTTCACAGGTCACAGGGCACAGGTCATAAAACACCACTCTAGGTTAACCAAACACCAGATGGTAAGGAAAGATATCTTGGGGACAAAGAAGGAATGTAGGAGGGCTTACATCCCTAACTGTATATAACAGGGTCACAAACTCTGGTTTGGGAGAGCTGGACATCATTGACAGTCCTCTCCCAGCAACTGCAGTGCTGTATTGATACTGGTTTTGTCTTTATAATAAACTCCTCTTATACAAGCAAGCCAGTGTCACGAAGCCTCCTTCTGCATCTACACATCGAGGACAGCCCAGACACAACAATGTTATAGTGTCCGTCATGAAAATATGTTTGAGCTATCCAGTGGTGAGAGTCTGGCATATGAGTATGCCTTCAGAGTTATTCAAGGCTTGAGGTAGGCGATGTCTCCCCTTTCCTGTGCAGCTCTCAACTTAGGCATCAAGTTCTTTTTTCCTTTAAACGCAAAGCATCGGTGTAGTCCTTATTGATGAAAATTTTTGTACCTTTGAGATTTTTAGTCTTTTGCAGGACCGCAGCTTTGTCCTTAAAACGCAGGAGCCTGACCACTATAGATCTGGGTCGGTCTCCATCTGCTGCAGGTTTACCAGTGCGGTGTGCACGCTCCACCTCAATCTCATGCTGTAGCCGTAGCTTCTGTTTTAGAATCTCTTTCACTTTCACCTCTGAATCTGCCCAGGATTTACCAGGGGATTCAGGTATACCATCAATCACAATGTTATTTCTCCTTGATTGACCTTCCAGATACTCTTGTTTATCAATAATCACCTGAAGATTATCGCACAGTTTCATGATGTCAGTCTGTATTGCATTGCATGGTTTAGACTGTTTTGCTGTGGTGATTTTAAGTTCATCTACGTCTTTCTGTAGGTATTGTAAGCTTGATTTCAGGTCTTGTGTTGTATCTGGTCTGTCCGTGATGTGTAGATGCAGAAGGAGGCTTTGTGACACTGGCTTGCTTGTATAAGAGGAGTTTATTATAAAGACAAAACCAGTATCAGAACAGCACTGCAGTTGCTGGGAGAGGACTGCCAATGATGTCCAGCTCTTCCAAACCAGAGTTTGGGCTCCTGTTATATAGGGTCAGTGATGTAGGTCCTCCTACATCTCCCAAGGTATCTTTGTTACCATCTGATTTTTTTATTTAGCCTAGAACTGTGACCTGTGTCCTGTGACCTGCAAAACTGCAGCTTCCAGGATATCCGACCCAGGTACCATAAAAGAGACACAAAAAGACACAAGCCCTCATTCCACTATTGGTCAGCTCAGGCTATTCCTGAGCAATGCCTCAGATCCTTGTATGGTAGTACTCCAGATACCACATATTTCCCCCTTTCGAGACTCCATAGAGTCTCGAAAAAAGGAAATACATTTTCACAATTTCAATTTACTACAAAATTTTTGGAGTGTGAGAGCAAAAACCTTTCCATTATTATCCATCAAACAATCTAGATAGGAAAAAGTCACTCACGGTCCCTCTGCCCTAGGTGACCACCTATTGTATTCCAAGCCAATTGAAAAGTAGGGGTTCGACTTTATGTGAAACCACAATGTGAAGCAAATATTCTTGGGAATCTCAAAAAATAAAAGTTTAAAAATTATCCAAAGTCAGGCTGGTCGTCCCATCGTACCTTCCAGTGGACCTATCCCTGCCTAACACCACTGATCCTAAAATCGAGAAAACAAAGAAAATACCTGAGATCCCAATACATTCACTCTACAATTTAAGCTTTGAATCACTAACCACCCTTTCATACTTTTCATTCTTCCTATACTGTCTGGTATTGACATGTACATTAAAATACAACACAAAGAGATAAATAAACAATTATATCACAGATTACACACTAACAAAACTCCACTGTTAGATAAATGAATAATAATTGTTGCTCCCGAACGTCCTTGGTTACTTGTATAGTGTTCTTTCCATTAGCTGAGCAGATAAGGAAATAATCGGACACCATCTTGTTTTTCAAATTTAATGTTATAACCCTCATCAAAATAATAGATAATGGAAATTATATTTTCATATAACCATATGCACGTAACAACAATCGGTGTTACAAATTTCTCCCTCTCCCAATTCTGTACAAGTATCTGTATGCTGTATCTCAAGAACCGTAATGGATACAGAGATGTACTAGGTACCAAAATGCCCGCAATACACAACTTTATATTCAACTTCAATATATGTATGGGGCTTAAAATCAAGGCATTTTGAGTTATAAAGGAAAAACCACCTTTTTGGGGCGGACATCTTGGATTTTGGGGCCGCCATCTTGGAATTTTGCGTGGCTAACGTTATTTTTGAAAAGAGTGGGGTTTGAAGAGTATATGTACCAAATTTCATGCTTGTATAAGAAAGTGAACGATTCGGGCTATATTATGCATTTGTCTGCTCCACTACATGGGTTTCCTATGTCTGGGTATTCAATGCAATGTCCTTGTTCCCATTTTCTGTCCGGTTTCAGTTTCTGTTTTCATTGTCCATGCTTGATTGTCCTTGTTGGGATGTGTGGGTCCGTTAAAGCTGTTTAGATCTTTGGAGAACAAGCTTTCTTTAGCTGGTCCCCCCATCTGCTGTCCTGGGAGTGGCTGGTCTCCCCAACTGCAATCCTGAGAAAAGAAAAATGAAGCAGTATCTTGCAAAAAACATACATTTTTTGTTTGTTTGACATGTTTATTCTTTTTCTAAGTAATACTACCCCTTTATGACATCAAACCTGTGTGCTGGCCAGTCTTACCCAGAGGGTTTTTCAACACCCAATTTATTTTTTCACAGATACCTTGGCTTTGCGGATGGTACACAGCTCCCAAACGTTGTTTAATTCCTAGTTTATTGTAAATTCAATCGCACCGTTTTATCCACAAACTCTTCTCCATTATCAAGGGATATGTGATATGGAATTCTCCATCTGCTTATGACTTCTCTACACAAGACCTTGGCAACAGACTGAGCGTCCTTCCGCTTGGTTGGACAAACTTCAACTATTATACCTTTTGGACCATTATTTTTAGACAGATTGTGCATCTACTTATGACATAATCAATTTACTCACGCAACTGTGGTGCCCAAAAACCATACTATGATGTTTCTTTTGCCTTCCCCCCTTGCATCATTGGCTGACCCTGGCCTCCTGAATCATTCTTTTTCAACATATAATCAATGTCCTTGACAAGAACCATCTTATACTTATTTACCAAGAACTTTCTTAGTTTCTTCCTTCACTCTTCCTCTGATAGTGTGGTGAGACGCCTCCTCCTTTTGTTTTATTTTGGCTGGACTTCCGGTTTTTCCGTGTTTGCCTGGTCTGGCTTTACTCTCTTCCAGAGCTTCCTCCCCTCCCCTGGTCGCTGAGGCTGAGTGAGACTACACACCTGCTCTTCATCTTCAATCAAGGCACTTTAAGAGGCCAGCAGCCCTCAGTCTCAGTGCCTGAGTATTGTCTTCACTCCCAAGTGGTACAGACGCGTCTCCTGGCCTCCTTTTGGAATAAGTACTCGTAACTCTGCTCCTCGTGATTTTTTTTGTATGTCTACTCACTTCTCTCTCCTCTGTTTTCCCCGCAGTGTCTCCAGCCCACACGACAGCCAGCCTACCAGACTTCCTCTTTTGCCTTTAAAACCTGAGTTTGGACATTGAAATTACATACTAAGTTGATATCTGCCTCTGTGTCTGCTTCTGGGTCCTCAAAACACACCAGCACGCTACAGTCTTAGTACTGTGGTCCCTCCTAAAACCTAAATGGCACTTCTCTAAAATGCTCTTTGTATTTACTAAGTCATTTACTCGTTGAAGAACAATTTTTTTCAGGATCTCACTTAAAAATGGTAAGTTGGATACAGGTCAGTAATTGTTAAAAATGTTGTGGTCCAGATTGCTCTTCTTCAGAAGAGGCCTAACCAGCACCGTTTTAAAGGAGGTGGGGGAAGACCCCAGTCTAAAGAGAGCAATTTACAATGTTTAAAAGCTGTTCCTCATAGAAACCATAAAACTGTCTTTAAAAACTGTGTGGGAATTGGATCTAAAAGGCAGGTTGTAGGGTTTACTTGGGAGAAAACTCGACCAAGTGTCTGCGCATCAACCAGTGCAAAACTCTCCAGTATTTCCTCAGCTAAAAGCAGTGATCCATGTATGTTGGTAGTTAAAATCTGTTGAGATGAAAGACTGGATCTGATGTTGTTGATTTAACTTGTGAAGTGGTCTGCAAAATCCTCACAGAGGGTGTCAGAGCCAGGGGTTCTGTTAAAATTGTTTGTTAAAAGATCAATTGTTGTGAAAAGAAATTTGGTTTATGTTTATTGTCAGCAATTAGTTTTTTGTAGTGGGAAGTTCTTGCCTGTTTGACTGTGCTATTGAAGGTTTTGAGATGTTGTTTAAAAATTTTGAGATGGACAGTTAATTTTGACTTCCTCCATCTCGTTTCAGCACTCCTGCAACTATATTTGAGCTGCTTGATATTCTTGTTTCTCCATGGTGGTCTTGCTTTTTTCTTAATGGTTTTGGTTAAAAGTGGAGCAACTGAATCCAGTGTTGATTTAAGATTTTTGTTAAAATTGTCAACGATAAAAACACAGGGTGCTGGTAAAATTTGTGGAGGTGTTCTGTAGGATGAGAATAAAATTTGTAGCCTTTTCCGAAGTTAGGTAGCGTTTCCTCACCGTTCTGACTGGGCTCCCCCTCTGGTTAAAACTGCTGATTTTAAAAAACACACAGAAATGGTCAGACACGGCCAGATCCACAACAGAGTGTGCGTGTGCCCCCTGCTGTGGGTCAGCTGTGTCACATGCTGCTGAAAATCAAAGCAATTTAAAAGGTTTAAAAATTCTCTAGAGACTGGGTCAGAGGTATTGTCAATGTGTAAATTAAAATTACCAGTCATTAAAATCCTACCAGTCATTAAAATCCTAATCGTTCACTTTGTTATACAAGCATGAAATTTGGTACATATACTATTCAAACCCCACTCTTTTCAAAAATAACGTTAGCCACGCAAAATTCCAAGATGACTGTCGCAAAATCCAATATGTCTGCCCCAAAATGTGGTTTTTCCTTTATAACTCAAAATGACTTGATTTTAAGCCCCATACATATATTGAAGTTGAATATAAAGTTGGGTATTGCGGACATTTTGGTACCTAGTACATCTCTGTATCTATTACGGTTCTTGAGATACAGCATATAGATACTTGTACAGAATTGGGAGAGTGAGAAATTTGTAACACCGATTGTTTTTACGTGCATATGGTTGTATGAAAATATCATTTCCATTATCTGTTATTTTCATGAGGGTTGGGTATAACATTAAATATGAAAACCAAGATGGTGTCCAAGATGGCTGCCATTGCCTTGAAGTAATCATGAATTCAGCAGAGATGAATCATGAATTCAGAAGGATGAAACTTGTCATAAAAGGTTAAAAATTAGGCATTTTGTGACAATTTTCTGATTTTTGTTATTGGACATTGGTTGTTGGACATTTCGAAGACATTTGTTTTGCTTAAAGGGCAACTACTCTCTGGCTACTTGCAGGGGAGGCCACATGGAGGCTGTCTTCTCCTCTATGTCGCAGTCCTCCACTGTGGGAGGGTAAATACCCAGTTTGGCGAATACAGGCAAGGATTCTGGACATATGTCCCATGTATGCCAAGCCATTTTCTTGCTTTTGTTGCGGAAGGCAGACACAGTGTCACATCCTGTAAAGGCATGGAAGAAGAGCATGCCTTTTACCTTCTCCTGGCCAACATGCTGAAATATGTCATGCACACTGATCCAGCGCAGAGTCTGACCTTGCCCAAATGCAAGCCACATATGCTGTAGGCCAGCCTCTTGGAGACCGCTGAATACACTTATTACTAAGATCAGAACATCTGTGTCATTTGCATTGATCATGATGGATTGGCTTCCAGTTGCATGTTTGGCATGCACGAAGATGCCGCTGTCCGCTTCCTTGTGAGAGCATTTATCCAGTCCATCAAGACCAGTTGCACGAGTGCTGAGGACAGCAGGTCCCTTTGTGAAGATGATGGTATTTAGGGCAAACATTTGTGTTACCTTGTCGGCAAGGGTGGGACAACTCTGTTTTGTTGTCATTGTGCCTCAGGAAGTTATGCCAGTTAGATAGCATGGTGTTCTTATTTGTTACTTTGCGTCTTCCCCCCTGGCCACGTTTGGACCTGGTCTCAGCTTTAAGGCTCGATGGGTTTTACACATCAAAGACCAGATGTGTCATTGTGTACTTGCTGGAGTACATGTAGATCACAGGTAGGAAGTCGAGAGCTGCATAGTCCTCAAAAGTCTTGGATCTTTTTGGTGGCAGAGCGTGGTCCAAAGCTGACCCATCTACAATGAGAATGTCTGCCTCAGGTTCCTTGTCAACTGGTGGGACATAATTCTCAAGGATAGGGGTCAGCTGAGACTTCTGGCAAGTGTACAATTTTCCACCCATGCTCAATGCAACAGGGAAGGACTGGTTCTCATGCTGAAAGAACTCCTGGAGGTCATGCTGAGTTACACAGCAGTGATATCACCAGTGTGCCCTGGTTGTGTGCCGATATTCACTCTATTACATCTGCAAGCTTGTACTGTATAAACATCTAAATTCTGTACTGCAATGGCCCCATTGGATGCATAGACCAAAAATATGTGCATGCAAAAAGTTAATGTTTCATAGTCACTAAGATCGGATTACTTCAAGGCAATGGCAGCCATCTTGGACACCATCTTGGTTTTCATATTTAATGTTATAACCCTCATGAAAATAACAGATAATGAAAATGATATTTTCATACAACCATATGCACGTAACAACAATTGGTGTTACAAATTTCTCACTCTCCCAATTCTATATCTGTATCTATATGCTGTATGTCAAGAACCGTAATGGATACAGAAATGTACTAGGTACCAACATGTCCGCAATACCCAACTTTATATTCAACTTCAATATATGTATGGGGCTTAAAATCAAGGCATTTTGAGTTATAAAGGAAAAACCACCTTTTTGGGGCGGACATCTTGGATTTTGGGGCCGCCATCTTGGAATTTTGCGTGGCTAACGTTATTTTTGAAAAGAGTGGGGTTTGAAGAGTATATGTACCAAATTTCATGCTTGTATAACAAAGTGAACAATTCGGGCTATATTATGCATTTGTCTGCTCCACTAGTAGGTGGTGTGGATGATTGATAAAAGTTCAGAGAATTCACTGATAAAAGAGGACAAGTAGCAGGGGGGGGAACTATAGACAGTGATGCAGAGGATAGGAGGGCTGCTAAAAACAAAGGTGTGATGCTCAAATGATGAGTAACTGCTAAAAGGAACTGCAGAAGGGGACAATGTGGATCGTATTATCGACGCAGTTCCACCCCCTTTCTTCTTGCCTCTGGAGAGGTAGGGCACCAGGAGTCACAGTGAGCCACAACAGCATGGGTGCAGCCTGCAGAGAGGCAGGCATGACAAAACCCGAGACCGCGGGAGCCAACGGAGAGAGACAGCCAAGAGCAAAGAGGGCCCCCGGTCTTGGGGGGGCACAACTGCTTTGAACCACCTTTGGGGGGGGGGACCCAGCTTGCAAAAGGTTGAAAACCCCTGATCTACTCGATCTGAATCAGTCTGGCTTCAAGTATGGCTACTTTACTGAAAACTGCAGTTTTGTCTGTAAGAGAATTGTTGCGCATTACTAAAGCGGCTGGTCAGTCCTCAGTTCTCTTGCTGCTGGATCTGTCCGCTACCTTTGACACAGTGAACCACCAAATCCTCTTCACCACATTTTCTTCATTTGGTATCTCTGGGTTTGCCCTTCAGTGGTTCATCTTACCTCCCAGAGAGATCTTTTAGATTATCTTGGAGGAGAGAAGTGTCCAGTATACATGGCTTATCAACAGGGGTGCCTCAAGGGTTAGTGCTTGGTCCCCTCCGTTTCTCAATATACACCACATCACTTGGTGAAATCATCTGTTCCCACAGCTTCTCCTATCACTGTTACAGGGTTCTCAAGTCTCACGCATTCAGCGTGAGACACACGCATTCCCACTCGTTCACACGCTCACACACCACACATTGTATTTCTCACGCATTTAAATGAACATGGTGATGTCCACCAAGTTGCACCTCTTTAACTATGGAACAGGGGGAAATCAACGGAGTTTCTCCGAGAGTTCAGAAGCTGCGTGCCACGCGCAAGCCAATCAAATAAAGTATATCTACTGAACAGCCAATCAAAAAGCAGCATTGCTGTATCTGGGTAGATTTTGATATCTTGCGGTTTGACTACAGAAGAAGACAGACACTTGCCGAAATAGAGCAGGTTTTTATAAGGACGAGATAGACCCGATGATCACAGTAAGTCAGTAACCTACACATGCAGAGACCTCAACACCTCATGGCAGATAAACTCATATGATAAACTAAAGCCCTATGCTATTGCTATTAACAGCTGCATTGATGAATTTAGCCTCTGTACAGCCATTTCCCCTCCACAAAAACAGCATTTCTCATATATTCTTTTTAAAGTTCTGATACTCGTGACAGTGTAATGCTGATATACCAAAGGATTAAGTATCTCCATGTCTGTGAAACCTATACTTAAGTACAATTCATCTAAATGCTCCTCAGTGCTGATTTTAACAACTCTCCTCCACAACAGGTAACTTTACTACTTTATTCTTAAAGTCATTAATGACTTTATTCTCCTAAATAATAACTTTAATCTCAAAGATTTAAAAATGTTTTTTTCTTTCTTAATGTGGCCCTCATACTCCATTGTATTTATTAGATTATTATACTATAATAATTATCTTCAATCACTCTTCGACCCCCCCCCCCCAGGAAATCTCACTCTAAGCTTAGTTCAAAACTTGAGAGCCCTGCTGTTAGGCAGATGATACATGGCTCTTCCTGTCTTCTCTACCTGATGACATGACTGTCTCAGCTCGGAGACAGCTTGCTGATATCTCTAAATAGATGAGGGAACGTCACCTGCAGCTCAACCTGTCTTAGACTGAGCTGATTATCATTCCACACAGTCCCACCGTGGATCCTCAGATCATTATCTAGTTTGGATCGCATAACCTCATACCTACAAAGTCTGCCTGAAATCTGGGTGTCATGATTAATCACCAGCTAACCCCCAGGGTTCATGTTGCCTCAACTGCTCAGTCTTGCAGATATGCCCTCTTTAAAGGAATATTCCGGCATAAGCTTAAGCCATGGTCAAACACATCATAACACTGAGTTAGACACCCCCTCAAGAGATGAATTTTGCCAACCGTTGGCTTCTGTAGTACCACCAACTTCAGTAAAGACCACACGATAGCAATACACAGCGGTGTATTTCTCTATGTGCAAACCGCAGCCAAAAAGCCACTCATAGCCACAAAAATGAGCAATACAAATTATTAGTAGAAGTCAATACAGAGATCCTTCAAACCCATTATTTATTAAATTGCAGTTGTTGAAACTCGGTGAGTTAGTAGATTTCAGTATGTTGCAGATTATCTATAAAGGTCATAAGAAAATTTAAGAGAAAGTTGTTATAATTTAAAAGGATTTGAAATATTTAAAAAGCCAAGATTCAGAACTAAAATGAAAGAGCGTTGTGTTACAGTGAGAAGAATAAGTTTGTGGAACAATCAGAACAAAGAAACTAAAGAAACTAAATCAAATTTTAAAGCATTATTTGTGGCTATAGAGTGGACTTTTTGGTTGAGCGCGTGGCTTTCTGTATTGCTATCTGCGGTTGTTACTAAAGTTGGTATGACTAAACAAGCGATTGGCAACATTCATCTCTCGATGGGGTGTCTAACTCTGTGTTATGGTGTGTTTGACCCTCACTTAATTTTACGCTATCTCTTAAATATCTTATGAAGGGGGGGCTGACTCTATACATTTTTCTCCTTTCGGCTCCTCATTCACATGTTTGAGATTTTTCCGTGTTTGTATTGAATGTTTTAAATATTAACTAAATGAAATAAAGTATGAAAAAACAAATAATAAAAAAAATGCTTTGCCTGCTAGCTTTGCCTGGTTTCTTTGGCAAAGAGACCAAACACATCTCACCCACTCTCCTCCAGCAGCCGCTTGTTTGTGGGGGAGCTCGGACGAGTCCATCACAGAGTGAAGCTGAGTTCCGCAGTTCAAGGAGGACATTTTATGATTATTATTTCATGGAAATGCAATCAGAGTCCTTGTGTATCTTGAATAACATAATAACAGTTATAAACTGATATGCAAGAAAAGAAAGCTAAAGACCAAGATCTCAAGAGAACACTACACAGTTAGCTAGACCATTCTCCACTGTTGTCTCCAGTGGTTGAAAGAGTCTTCCAGCTACAGTTGACTTGCACTGTCCTGCTCTACTCTGGGAATTTGTGTTCAACGCTTAAGTAACCCAGCACTTGGTACCTTGGTAATTTTGTGGTGAAAAGATAATTGATGGTGATGGTGAAAGGTCTTAAATTCGATGAATGCTTCATTGTTGATGATCCTTATTTTATTAAGAGAGAGAAAAAAACTCTTATTCACTGTTGCGCATTGCCTTTTAAGAGATCATTGCCTTTTAAACTGCACAGCATTTAGACTTAAAGGGCTTGTTGCTCTTGCTGATCTTGTTTCCTCTTGTCTAGATCTTTGCTTGTGTTGTTCTTGTTCTCATATGTAAGTCACTTTGTTACCATATTACTATATTTTATTTACCATAAAAGGTTAATAAATAGACTCTAAAACAAGTGACATGTTTAATGGCGAGTTGCAACAATGAAATTCTGCTTAACAAGGGCAAATAAAATTCTGAATACGAAGTGGAACGCTCCTTCAGCTGTCCCTGAACTTCCTCCAGCTTCTCTGATGCTTCTCTGATGCTGCTCAATGCGACCCACCTCACATTGGCCCTCATTTATCAAGCTTGCGTATGGCAGAAAACTTGCGTACGAAAATTTTGACGTGAGAAATTGGCATTTATCGATCTGCACGTGAACGTACGCTACGACCAAATCTCACGACAGGTCTGACATCGTGTATGCAAGTCTGAGTCAGTGTGGATCTGCGGTGCAGCAAATATCTGTCTCAAAATAATTGATAAACAAACCTCAAACCTGTCATCAAGCACAATCAGCCAGATTTCATTAAAGATTAAGACGTAAATAAAATTTAACAAAATAAATTTGTTATGTCCTTAGTGAATAGGTCTATTTGATAACTCTACCCAGAAACACTGCCACAGAACAGGAGCGCCGTTTCAACATTACGCACACGCGTAATGTGGAGCGCTGTGTTTGACTTCTAAAAGGCAGGTGTCTCTGTCTTGACCCAGCAGTGGGGACGTTGTTGTACACTCCTGAAAGGGTGTGGGACATCATTTGGGCCAGTACAGTTTTGCACAATGTTGCACTGGTGAATGGAGTGCCGTTGGCTGTGCTGGTGCAATGTGAGGACCTGATGCCCGGAGAACAATAACAAGGAGAGACTCCACAAAGGTGCTGTACAGAGGAGACAGGACCTTATCGATGGATTCTGATGTAGAATATAAGTTTAGAAAGTGCTCTTGCTATTTATTCAGTGATAAAAAAATCCAATAGAAATCCATAAAAATGTGCCTCAGGGGCAGCAACACACCATTTAGTGATGTTAATAATTATTATTGTTCAGCCTCTGTCAGTCTCTCCAGTCTGCTCTACATTACAAAGACGCAACAAATTAAAACTACTTTCAATAATAGGAGCAATGTACCCTATGTCATACCAATAAACAAATATGAGGCATGTATGAGATATTAACTTATCATCATGAGCAACTTACTGACTAATGATTTATTCAAACTTCAGCCACTGTCCACTATTCCGCAGCAGCGCTGTTCACCGCCACCATAATCCTGCTCCAGACAGGAGTTTTCTGGACTGCTTTTATACCAGTTTTGATGCTTCCAAAGAAAAAATTCTTGTTAGTTTCCACCACAGATGTGAGGATATCCACTTTCAGCTCTGAAAAGTTTCGAAACTTTGTAACATTTCTCCTCTTTCACATTTGACCTCAGTGCGCGAGGCTTCTGAACCGCAAATATTTAAGGGCGTAAACATGTTAATGACGATCGATTTCAGCCGCCGCATTTATCAAGACCCGATCATATGTATGCTGGGATTGGTCAGATACGAACCCTCTCATAAATCTCACGTGTGTCTTATCATCGGATGAATCCTGCACTCAGATCTGCTTATCAAGCTTGATAAATGAGAGCCACTGTCGCCTGTTTCCTTTACCGCGTCATTGTCAACCTGTTGCATCTTGTTCTTTGCTCAGTCTTCATTATGTCTCTCTCTATCTAGTTGGGTCACCACTAGCAGTTTTGTGAATGTGGAGAGCAAAGTTTAATTTCTTACTAGATTTGCCAATGGTAAAGGTTAAAGGACAAATTTGTTGGGTGCCCTCCACAAAAATGTGGGGAAACTTTGTGAGCGCCCTATATCCAAAATGGCTATTGTCAGCCGAGCTGGAAATTAACTTTTTAATGGTTTGGCCCACGATTCTACATAATATATGGTTTCTGATTTGGGTCAAGAAATTCATAAATGATTGATCCCATCATTTCATTATGAACTGGAAAATTATAATAGTAAATAACACTTCCCAATCGCGTAAAAAGTCTCCAAAGTTGTCTTCTGCAGTAATTCAACAAAGCATATCTGACTCCCAATTATCCAGCCCCACATCCAAGTGATATTCGAACAGGCTCCCTCTCATATGTTTATGTTTCCATGCACTCATTTCACAAGAAAATTCCTTGCTGCTTTGAGACACTTTGTTTGAGGAAAGTTCTTTGACTCAAATTTTAATCATTATGAATGTACGACAGTTGAGAGATAATGTTATGTGTAGAAGTTTTCATTGAAATTTCCTGTTACCTAAGTTAGGTCATTTTAAAGTTAGCTAGATAACATTGACATTCGGTGCCTCACAGCTTGTATAGACTGACATAAGCTAAGATACATGACAGCTGCTTGTCATGGAAAAAAGCACAACATAGCAATATATCCAATTAGTTTTAACTAGCATTAACATCATAACCAGCAGTTCTGACCTAGTTACCTTGTCAGAAGTAACTAGCTACCTAGCTACATGAATGATTCGACTATGTCTGCAACATTGCTAATTTCAGCTCCAGTAGGCCCACCCTAGCTAGATAGCTGATGACTGATGACTATCTTCTGTTGGCACTCAACACATTTTTTTCCCTTGTTTTTTTTTAGTTTTATGTGAATGCAGCATTAAAAACAAGGCACAATGTCCTGAAATGTGGCAAGCTTTGTGAGTCATCTGATAAAATTAACCAAGGAAAATGGGACCATCTACATTCCAGAGCCACATTTTCCAGATTTTTTTCCACATCTTCCACATTGTGTGAGACAGTAATTTAACTTCGACTTTATTTATTCATTTTTTAACAACTTTAATGTGCCCCTGATGTGCAATAGAGATTCCAAACTGTAGTCTGTACATGATGTTGAGCAGTTTACCAAACTGCTTACCAAATTTTTTTATTATCATTATTTTCTGCAGAAAGAAAAGGAGAAAAATGTCTGGAGAGCAAGTCAACAAAAGCGACAGAGGTCTGACCAACATTCAGGGGTAAGACTACTTCTAAAACATGAGAACTGATGATATTTTTGGTAAAGCTAAAGTGATTTAAATCTGGTTGAATTTGGGGGGATCTGTTATCATTATAAAGTCAAAGAGAAAGTAATAAACTTGAGGGCTTAAATCACTGATCTTTTTCATTCTGAATCACATACCCCATATTTCTCCAAATCCCAACTGCATTAACTGACATATGACAAATACAGAGAATATATGACAAGATGAGCTGCTCAGCCTCCATCTCTTTGGGCGAGGGATGAAGGGCTCAAAGTGATTTTTTTCTCAAGATTTTCTATGTAGTTTCAAACTTGCTAATTCAAGGAGTCAAAAACTATTTACATCCTTTTTATTGTGTTACAAGAAACCAAAAATTAGCCTTAAGAACGTTGCCATGGTATAAAGCTAGACTGGCAGAACCAGACATTCACCCATTTATCTTTTAATGCTTGATACCCTGATAGGAAGTTGGGAATGGTTAAAAGAAAGAACAAAAGCAACCTTGGACTCTTTGTGGTTTTATTCTCCCACCAAACTTGATAATCTATTTCTTTTATCTCGTAGAATTACAAAAAAAACTTCACATAAGGCTCAAATTGACTGCAAGTTCTCTCCCATTCTACCCTATTTGAAGTAACCTTGGTTGTAGCAGGTGGCCTACCATCATTTAACACTAGGTGGCAGAGTCCTAATATTCATTGACTGTAAGATCTAATAAATAATTTCCTATATCATCTAAATGGACAATATAACCAACGTGATTTCTTGTATGTATGTATGTATGTATGTATGTACGTATGTACCTATGGTAAAATCTCTTATAGTCCTTTTACGTCAGGATGTGTATGAAGATAAAGGTTGACAGAGGAATAAATCAGTAATCCAATAAAATGACTAAATCATTTTTTCTTCATTTGACTTTATATTTGTTTTCCTTGAACAAAACAGTTTTGATCCAGAGTATATCAAGCAAAAGACATCCTACAAAATTTAATCAGAGGAACTGTTACATGGCTGGCTAACTGTTTCACTTTATCAAAATTAAAGAATGATCTAATAAAGTTTATAGTTTGTACAGTTTCTGTTGCATTCAAGAAAACATTCCCAGTTTCTTTCTTAAAACAGTTATTACACAACAGAATCATACTGAGGTTCATCCTTTCATAGTGAATGTTTTAGTCAGCTTTCTACAACATAGGTTATATACAGTATAGATAGAATAGAGATTGCTACCGTAGCTTGAAGTAAATACCTTTTTTTTTTTAAATACCAAGGATCAGGACCTGTGGCTTCAAAGACAAAAAAGTAAATTAAAGAAAGTTTCTTTCTCAGATCACAAACTAATCAAATTTAAGTCAAATGTAACAAGTTTTACCAAAAGAACAAAAAGAGTCTAAGTCATTACAGTTAGACTAATCTTGTGAAGTTTCTACATTAAATTCAACAATGTGTTTTAATGTCTCTTTGGTCAACAAAGACAGTTGGAAGTGTGTGGCAGCTTAGACTCAGCAGCAGACTCAGACATTTTTCACAGTTTCCCTCATGAGAAAAGGACAATACTGATGGATAAAGTAGCTGCCACTAAAACAACCAGCAGCAGCAGCAGGAGCACAAATATGGGATTGCGCTGACACAGAGACTGCTGTTCATGCTGCTCCTCATCCGTAGTCATCAGAGCCAGTGAGGTGCTGTCCGAGCAGCTCAGCTGGTCCACTTGTTTTGTTCCGTGAGGCTCCACCATCCAACGCAACACGTTCACCTTCATCTCCATGTCGTCAATCATGTGACCTATTTGGCTGATCTCCTTTTCCATGGTGCTGCGCTCCTGGATCTCCAGACAGGCAGGGAGGGTGGAGGTCTGAGCCTGGTGAAGGTCTGGCAGACTGAGGGCCCGAGCAGCTACCTCACTGCCTCCTCCTTTAAAAAGAAGAACATTCAAAAACTTGACCATATCTGATAATTCCCCCCTTACCTACAAAAGCTCCGAAGCTTCTTTGGGAAATAAAGGTCATACATTTCTGACCACGTAGTTTAATAAGCTTAAATCTTGGCATGACTGCTGGCCTCTAACTTACCTTGTAGGCCAGTCTTAACCAGGGTTTTAGTGTTTGCCAGACAGAAAGTGTCACCCATGTTAAACACCTTGCACATGTCGACATGAAGGAGCTCGAGGCTGGAGGAGAAGGACACCCAGAGGAGCTCCAACTCCTTACGCTGCTCCTCGGGGAGGCTCTTGTTCCTAAGGTGTGAGGTCAGGTGACTGCAGATGTCCATGGCCAACCTTTGAGCCTTTTCTCGAGTTTGTCGCAGCTCATCCCGAAGCTCCAAACTGTCTGTGCAGCTGCCAACACATGCAGCCAATTGCCGGTAACACGCCACCACCTGAGCAAAGAAAAGAAGCACGTTTATAAAGAGAAGCTGAGGCTGTGCAGACACATGTTAAGCTGCTTGGAGTTAATGCAAACATGCTGTATGTTCTAAATGACATAAATGTATGCCAGGGAGGAGACTGCGTAGATGAGGATAAGTCTCTTGGGATATCAGGGCTGCTGCACTTCCTCATCTTAGATTTAAACACAGCGATTTCAAGTCCACAAGCAGGGATCTGCTGTCATCATAATTTTCTTAAGTGTGCAATTTTTAGCGTTGAACTGATCAGCTTTGCAGCCACTGACTGACATAGATTTTCAGGTTTCACTGCACAGTCTGCAGAACAGTCTGTTCACAAGAAAACCAAGGTGGCAGTTATACCTTTTTATTATAAATATTTTTAAACAGTCTCGATGCTTCCGTGCCAGCGGCGGCCGGGCGGCGGATGGATTCTGTGGAATCACACAGTGATTATAATGCTTGTGTATTTGATCCGCCTGCCATGCTGGAGCAGAGCAGAGCTGTTTCAGATCCTGTGGGTTTTAGCTGTAAAGGAACATCTTAAATACAGGGCGATGATATCAATGCTATTGATACCAATACTTTTGAATGTCTAAGGTTGAGGTATCCTCAAACTGCTGACCTTTAGGTGTTGTTGTGATATTTTGGTCTTTTGCGTGCCTTTCATATAGTTTTATAAACCTGTTGTATTATCACTGTGTACAGCCATTTTACATACTATACAGCTTGCCGTTATTTCATTTTTGGCCTGAATTATATATAGCCACACTGCGCTCCTCTCCCTCTCTGCCACTCTTCTGCTTCGTCTCTGTCTGTGTGTGTGTGTGTGTGTGTGTGTGTGTGTGAGTGAGTGAGTGAGTGAGAGAGTGAGAGAGAGAGAGAGAGAGAGAGAGAGAGAGAGAGAGAGAGAGAGAGAGAGAGAGAGCTGAGTGAACAGGCCTGGTTGAGCCTGCCTGCTTCCTCGTTTGAGTGGCGCCGCTGAGCCATGTGACAGTGCAATAACAAAACACAAGAGAGGGAGGAGGAGCAAAGTGTGTGCTCCGTGCTGAGACAGGACTAGCACTTGAAAGTAGTGGCAAGCCGAGGGACAAAGTGAGCATGAGCAAAATGAAAGGAGCAGTGTTTGCACCACTGTCTTTTAAAGGGGAGTTGAGAACTGAATGTAGAGAAGAAAAACTGAAACTTAAGTATCAATCTCATTATGCAAGGATCGATCAATACCAAAACTAATGCTGGTATCGATACCATCAATAGTTTGGATCGATCTGCCCACCACTCATGTCTCAAAGAAACAAAATCATTAATGCTGGATGACTATCTACAACTCAATGGCTGCAATAACAACCCTGATCATGGATGATCTAGACAAAATGATACATAATGCGAGATATGTTCAGATATGTTATCCCTCCAGAGAGCTCTGGGCCTACCTCGAGATCTCCTTCCCACTGGCCGTGCTAAGAGCACCTTTACGGGGAGGCACTCAGGAGGCTTCCTTATCAAATCCCTGAACTGCCTTTGCTGACTCTGAGTTCCCTCCAGATGTCTGAGTTTCTAACCCCATCTGTATGGCTGGCCCAAACACCCTTCAGAGGAAACTCATTTCAGCTGCTTGTAACCATGATCTTATTTTTTTAGTCATGACCCAGAGTCATGACCACAGGTGAGGACTGGAACATTGATCCACAGGCCAAGCCTCCTTTTCACCACAATGGCCTGGCACAACACCTTCAGTCCTGCAGATGCCGTACCAATTCACCTATCAATCTCACAATCTATTTTACCCCCACTGAAAGAAACCCAGAGGTACTTGAATCCTTTCATCTTTTATACCTCATCATGACTCACACACTCATTTACAATGAACATGTTCACACTTCGAATGATCTGAACAGGTGTTTATGGCGCAGTCCTCAGTTTTCAGACTTTTGCTGATCCTGGACCAACTTTCTAGGAACATGTTAAAGCATAAAATTAAAATTAGTTAATGTTTACAAAAAAACACCAAGTTTATGAAAGAATTTGCAAAACATGGTATTCTGTTTTTATTCAAGTTTAACCTAAAGACCCAGCTTCACTGGAGTTGGGGTCTGTAGTTATTGCTGTATCAAATTGGGAAACAGTCACATAATTTCACCCACCAAATCATATACCTCTGAACATCAGACAGATCTGTAAAGTGGCCCTAAAACTGGACCAAAGACTCTGAGATAATCCAGGTTTCATTTTAAAGTGTGTTACATCTGCTAATTTATGTGGTTTGACTAGTTTAACGAGTGCATCTTCTGCAGCTTCTTCATTGACCCAGACTGTTGGTAATCTGAAAAATTTAAAAATGCAGGTTAAAACCAGGAAGAGCCAGAGCTGCATCAGTATTTTTCAATCATAAAACTGAAATATATTAAAGCCTCTCATTTGTTGGATGCACAACTCATTTTTTACTCACTGCAAATGTTAACTGGAAAATATAAATAAACCACGTGTTTTTTTACAGCTAAAATACTGCAGAGGATTGTGGGTCAAACTACAAAAACAAGGCCTGTAATGGAGAAAGATGTATGTACCTTTCATACAGACTGTAGAGCATCATAAAGATGCAGTGGACCAAAAACTTCTTTTCAGTCAGAGTGCTTTTTTAGCTGAAGGGGGTAAGATGCTGTAATGTCTTGTGTTACTGTGTACAAATATCTACACAAGAGTCAAAAATAAGATGGTTAAACTGCAGATGCAAAATCATTTTTGTCATTTCTCTTTTTATATTTTGCAAAACGGAAATACAATTTTTTGAAAAGTTCTGTAAATCCATGACTGTTCTGTAACACGGTTTTAATTTTATATAACCTTGGTTTAAATGGCTATTTTTTCAATCTTAACTTTTATTTTTTAGATATTTGTTGGTGTATGCATAGTACTCTGTGTAATCTTTGTCTTTTCCTTTTCTTTAACCTCACTAGGGACAGGAGTTTGAAATTAGCAATAGCTTTAATCTCTTAATTCACAACATCAGTCAGTTCAGCTGGATGGCAGCAGGCAGAAGATTTACTATGTAATCTGGGTTGTCTATCAAATGTAAATAGTCTCAAATATTTGCAGGAAAGAGTAAAAATACTTTTCTTTTAAGGGAAACTTGCATAGATTAACAGACTAACTTCTGCACAATAAAGTTAATTTGCACGTAGTGTTTATTTTTCTAGAACTGTCAGAGCATAAACTAAATATAAGGAATCTTTGCAGTTATTTTCAACCCCAGAAACTGTCAAAGCTGGACACTTCGGTATATGATCAAGACTTTGGTTTACAAGATGTCTAATATTTGTTTGCAGACATAAAATCAGAAGCAGCTCACCTTCATCAGAGAATCCACCAGCACTCTTCCATCAATCAAAGTGTTCTCCGTGCCCACTACACATCCATCGCCCACCTTGTTGTTTACCAGCGGCATCAGGAGGACCAGTCCCGTCTCAGACTCTTAGCTGGCCCCTTCACTTATCTGGCTGCCCCTGCTCTTCTTCCTCCTCTGGAAGATGCTTCATTCAAGAGTTGAAGATTGAGACAGACCTAGTCCCACATGATGCATTACAAAAGCCTTCTCCAGGGACTAAAGCAGATTACAGGTGAATGCACCTCAGAGGATAAAAAGTTGAACAAAAAAAGACAAAAATGAGTAAAAAGAGGAGAGGACAAATGTAATAAACTGATGCAAGTCTTAAGCAAGGTGCTAATCCTGTGATTGACCCCTTTGGACGGACGCAGGCTTACACCAACAGCTAATCTCATTAAGTATCACTGAGACCAGAGAGATGGATGAGCAGCTGGCCGTCTCTGCAACTATGACCCTTAAATGGGAGGAGGCTGCCCTAAGCAATAACAATGAACTCAGCTGGAAGGGTTCATATCATTAACATTGGTATCACCATGATAAAAGTATTATCACTAAAGACATATTTTTGTATTTTACCCATAAAGTTTAAATCTAAACCACTTATTAAAGCACAAATAGTGATACACTTAAGGAACTTAAGTTTCATGTCATTCTTTGTACTGTCAGGGTCTTTTGTGGTCCATCCCCTCAGGCTCTGGGTAATGGATGGCCTCATTTGACCGGGTTGTTTTGAGGCTCTGTGCGTATTAAGCATGAATTTAGTTTAGCAGTGAAAAACAGGATTTGTGTGTGCATAAAAAGGCAGTGCATAACAATTTTTATAATATTGGAGCATGCCATGGCCAAGAAACAACCTTAAAGCTGCAGACAACAGAATCAGAGTTTTTGAAAAGGTAAGATTCAGGTTAAATAAATTTGCACCTTAAATTTATTAAAAGAAACACAAATCCCTTTATAAAAGATCCATCCAAAAAATAAAAAATAAAATAAAAAAGACAACAAGAAAAGAGCTGCTCCACTGATAGTCCAGAACACTTCATGCTGCTGGGTTTTCAGTGCTGTGTAGTCCTGAGCAGCTTCCTCAGCGGTCAGCTGGTCGTTGTCTTGCGTGGGGAAGTCACCGCCTCCTTAACATTGGCCAACGTTTGGTTTTTGGCTGCATAGGAGATTTCTGTAAGAGCTCTGTGAGCCGGGCCTTCAGTGAGGAAATCTCCTGGTCCTTTTCAAAATTTTGCCGCAGGGCTTCCTCCAAGGATTTTTCCTAGGACAGAAAGAAAGATGAACTGTCAAACTGCATGCTGCAATAATTCAACAGTATGTGGTTAAAAAAAGGATGATTATCAGTTTTTGGTATTTTGGCACATTTTACAAGCTCTGGCAAAATGATGAAATCACCGGTCTTTTAGGATGTTCAATTGTTTAATTTTGAGAAAGCTGTGAAAACTTTCCTTGAAGATAGATGCATATGGTCAATGCCATGGCCTGCAAATAGTCCAGATCTCAATCAAATTGAAAATCTGTGGTGGAAATTAAAGAAAATGGCCCGTGACAAGTTTCCAACCTGCAAAGCTGATCTGTAAACAGCAAAGCTGATCTGTCAACAGTGATCAGAGAAAGTTGGAACCAGAATGATGGAGAGTACCATTTGTCACCTGTAAAGCCCATGCATCAGAGACTGCAAGCTGTAAGAGAAGCCAAAGGTGATGCAACAAGGTACTTGTGGTGTGTAGTAGGGTTTTTGTCTGTCTGTTATTTGCAATGGCATTTTTATTTCCCTCTGCTTATTCTAAAGAAGAAACTGTTACCACATTTTTTTCTTGCTTTATGTTATGATTTCTTAAAGCCAGAAAGTTGCCATTTTAAAAGACTTCAGTACTGTGTCATGGCTGTGATCAGCTTTTCTGCATAATTAAACTGAATGAACATCCTCCAAGACTGGTGAGTCCCACATTTTTGCCATTTTGGGGTCACAAGTTTTTCAGTCCCTCTTACTCACCTGATCATCAACCTTCCTCTGCAGAGCCTCCACATCAGCTGATTTCTCCAGGAAACTCTCTCTGACTTTCTGCAGAGTGTCACTGAGCTCCATCAGCTGAACCAAACATCAAATAGAAAACCAAGTCAGTTATAAAACAAGTATCACTGATGCAGGATCTAATGTTTGTAGTTGTTACCTTCTGTTTATCCTCACACATCCTCTCTGTGGCATTTTTTTCTCTAAATAGTTGGTTGCATCGATCATCTGCAGTCTGGATGGAGTGAGCTGCATGACCACAAAATTCAGCAGAAATGTAGATGCAGGAGTGTAGAGTATGAAAAGAACAAATACATGCTACACTGAACAGAAAATGCAAATAAGAAACTTCAAGAAGAAAATAAAATGGGTAAAACAAACAAACAAAAATAAAAAACATCACACGGACAGTGAGCCAACCTGCTGAATCCATCCCTTTCTGTGGCTGAGTGGTACACAGCAGATGGTCAACACTGGTCGACATTAAGTTCTCCAACTCTGACACTTTATGCTTGAGGGCCTGCAAAGTCAAGAAGAGACTCAAGTTGAAGCAAAGTAAAAATAAGGTAAGGGTCAAATTCTTTAGCATGATGTGAAAAGAAAAGAGCACACAGAGGACAAATGTCTTACAGGGAAAGATGGGAAGAAGTTCACCACTCTGTGAGAGACTGTGTGAACTAATGGTTGAACAGTTTTTGTGTCAAATGTGAAAGAAGGAGTGGATTTAATTTCCTACAGTGCGTAAAAACTTCAAAACTTAAGGTTTAGATTTGCTCAGATGACAAACCTCCACTTTCTCCTGCTCTCTGAGGAACTCGTCCAGAGGCACATAATCATCTTCCAAGTTGTTCATGGCGCTCTGGTAAGCATGCTCTTTGATTGCGTCTTTGTACATCTCAAAAGTGTTCTCCAGCTTCTCCTGGTAACTCTCCTTCAGCTCTTCTATCTGTTGACTGAAGAACTTTATTAATCCCCAAAGGTAAATTCAATTGCCTGTTGTCTCACATGACAGGTCTCTAAAAGTTATCTATTTACAGTTATCTACTATTTACACAAGAGGAATAAAGTCTGATGGCTGTTGGTACAAAAGATCTTCTGAATCTTTCTGTCCTGCAGTGAAGAGAGAGGAGCCGTCCACCACCATTTGGTCCATCAAGGTGTTGTGAAGTGGGTGATCCATGTACTTTAGAATAGACTCCACCTTCCTCAGTGTAGATCTCTCCACCACATCCTCCACTGAGTCCAGCTGAACTGAATCCAACCACAGAGCCAGCCTTTTTCACCAGTTTGTTAAGACGTCTTGCATCTTTGTGTTTGATGCTTCCTCCCCAGCACACTGCAGCATAGAACAGAACACTTGCCACCACAGACTGATAAAAAATCTGCAGCATCTTACTACAGATGTCTATTGATCGGAGTCTTATCAAGTAAAAGATGCGTCTCTGCCCCTTTCTGTAGATGTAGCCTATATTCTTAGACCAGTCCAACTTATTATCCAGATGTACACCTAGGTATTTATATGATGTCACCACTTCGATGTCCACTCCACAGGTGTTCACTGGCTGAAGAGGGGTTTTGGATCTATGGAAGTCTATGACCATCTCCTTTGTCTTTGAGGTGTTGAGGAGGAGGCAGTTTTTGTGACTCCAATCACTGAAGGCTCTTATCAGATCTCTGTATTCAGCTTCTTGACCATTTCTTCTACATGCCACAATGGCGGTGTCATCTGAGTATTTCTGGATGTGGCAGGACTCAGTACTGTATTTGAAGTCTGACATATACAGTGTGAACAGGAATGGCGCCAACACTGTCCCTTGTGGAGCCACTGTACTGCTCATTAATGTCCCAGAAACACAGTTCCTTAGCCTGACAAACTGTGGCCTTCCTGTCAGGTAATCTGCGATCCAGGAAATACAGGAAGGATCCACTCCCATCTCTGTGAGCTTGTCTTTGAGTATGGTGGGTTGGATGGTGTTGAATACACTTGTAAAGTCGAAGTACATGATCCTCCCATAAACCCCCGGTTCCTCCAGATGAGACAGGGTACGGTGAAGCATATAGAGGACAGCATCATCCACTCCAATGTGTTCTTTGTATGCAAACTGCAGGGAATCCAGTTTGTCTCCAACCTCAGAAGGTGTAGAATCAGCCGCTCCAGGGTTTTCATGATGTGTGAAGTGAGGGCCACTGGTCTGTAGTCATTGAGTTCAGCAGGACATTTTGTTTTTGGTACTGGCACAATGCAGGATGTTTTCCACAGAGCAGGTTCCCGCCCTGGTGTAGACTCCGGTTGAAGATCCTGTGGAGAGGTTGACACAGTTCTGCAGCACAGTCTCTAAGCAGTCTTGGACACACACCATCAGGACCAGCTGCCTTCCCAGGGCAAAGTCTCCCAAGCTCCATCCTCACCCCTGTTTTGGTGACAGACAAGGATTGGTGTTCTAGGAGGGTGGCAGTTGAAGTGGTTGAGACATTTGAACGAGATGGAGGAGGAAGGGGAGAAGTTGTAGTGGAGATTTGTTAAGGAGAGGAAGGTGGAGTAGCAGTGGGAGTGGGTGTGACAGCAGTGTCAAATCTGTTGAAGAACAGGTTGAGTTCATCAGCTCTTTCCTCAGTACAGGTCTATAACAGGTTTGCAGATAGACCAAGCTATGATCTGACTTGCCCAGTGGTGGTAAGGCAGTGGCTCTGTGGGTTTCTTTGACATTGGCATACAGGAGATCCAGGGTCTTGTTTTCTGGTAGGACAGTTCACAAACTGTGTGAATCCAGTCAGGTGAGAGGAGAGGGTGACATGGTTGAAATCTCCTGATATTATTATTAGTGCCTCAGGGTGTTGAGTCTGTAGCCTGGCAACACTATTTTGCAAAACATTGCACGGAATTTCTTCAGTTGATTTGGGTGGAATGTAAACAACTATTGTTATGTTATGACTAAATTCTCTTGATACATAATATGGCCGAAGAGCAACTGCCAACAGTTCAATATCTGGACAACACAACTTCTCCTTGACAGTTATGTGTGAAGGGTTACACCATCTCTGGTTGACAAATAAAGCCAGACCTCCTCCTTTCTTCTTGCCACTAGCTTGAGCATCTCTGTCTGACCTTATAAGAGTGAAGCCAGGTAGATCCACACTGGAGTCAGAGTTGTTTTGATTCAACCAGGTTTCAGTAAAACACAGGAAACTGCACTCACACTATGATTTCTCAGGCTTCACCAAGATCTCCAGCTCATTGCTTTTATTGGGCAGGGAGTTGATGTTTCCCATGATGATTGATGGAAGAAAGGGTCAATATCACCACCTCCTAGCATTCAGCTTTGCCTTCACCTTTTCACCAGCATGGCAACCACGATAACACCTCCTGATGTCCTCTGGAATTGTATGTTGTTGTCCAGATTTGCTTGTCCTCTATGAAAGGAGCTCCTCTCAAGTACACTCTTCGCCCAGCAGAAGTATCCATCAGCAGCCAACAAAATGACAACAAAAATATGAAAAAAAATCTCGCAAAAATGACAAAAATTAAAGATAATACGGAGAGACCAGTCTTGCAGCAACCTCTCGTCCATCATTAACATCCAACAGAAGCCATTTTTACCTCACAACTAAAATTTCATTTAGATTTCAAGAATGTACTTTACCAATATGATTACAAACATAAGATTTAAATATTAAGGACCACTATTAAGAAGAAATATCAAAAAAGGAAATCAGTGGGTAAGAAAATGACCAACTTTCTTAAGCAAAGAAAAACTGGAGTTACCTGCGGAGTTCTTCGCTCTCCATGAGCTGCTGTAACATGGCATCCCCCATTTCCTTACGAATCTCCATTTCTTGGACCAGATTTCTTCTTCGCTCAACTAACAGTTTAATTCGCAGGCCCTCAATCATACCCACAAGCTCCTATAAGAGTAAAATTCAAACATCTTCCTGTCAATTAAATGAACAACTGTACTTTGTGATTGAAAGAGAGTGATAGCTAGCTAGATAAACAGACAGACAGACACACATATACATACATGCGGTGCGGTCTCTCTGTATGCTTGGAGCCCCAGGCAAAAAAGGGGAATTTCAAAATTGTGATTGTACTACATCAGAGAAAATCATAAAATGTGTCTTAGTATGATGTAAAAGTAAAAGCTTTACATTCTGAGGCAGCAGAGTCATGTCAGCCTCATCTTCCTCATTCAGCAACTCCTCTTCAGACAGGTAGCTCTCCAGGGCTTGGCTGGCAATCACCCCATTCTTCACCAGAGGCTTTCCATCATGACTGACCAAACAAAGAGCCAGAGATTCCAGGTGTTTGTCTGGGATCACCTGAAGCACCTGCAGATGAAACATCAGAAGAGATGAGAAAAGAAACAGATTTAGCATCTTCTCCACAGCCATCCCGCACTCAGACTCAGACCTGTTTGGCCACAGCAGAGAATTTCATCACATGCAGAGTCTCGTCGTAGGTAGAGGCACACTGGTTAATGTTGACGATCATTGCAGCCCGTCCTTTACCACAGAATACGGACTGAAAGAGCTTGGTGAGTTTACTCTCTCTGAAAGGAATGTAGCCGTTCTTCATTCTGATGGAAAATACAGAAAAATAGAAGTCACCCACACACATTTCCACAGCTGGTGACAAACACCTTACACATATGTCCACCTGTACCTGTCTGTCTGACTGTTGCGGAGTGCAGTAATGCACTTCCCCAAAATGAGGAGGGAGGTATTGATGTTTCCTGCCTCCTTCAGTCGCTCTCCCAAGGTATTTGTTTTGTTGCATCTTTCTGAGCCGGCCAGGTCACACAGAGAAAACCTCAAAACAGAAGTCAGGAACACCCTCACCAGAGATTCAGAGCCAGACTGGCCACAAGGAGCACCAGGGATGTTTCCCGGTGGCCTGGCCTCATAACTGACCCGCTGGCTAAACATGCAGTCTTTTCTCTTCTTCAAGAACTTGCACTGTAAGATTTTTGAGCGCTCTTATTTTAAAGAAGTAGACTTAATCTCCTGTATGTCTTTGATAGCGTGAGTAATGTGGTGTTTTCACAGTAACAGCTCATACATGGAGACAGATTGATAGTCACTCTTGGAACGAGACTAAGTGCATTCTCCCGGTCTGGCCCTGCAGGGACTGATAAATATGTATTAAATGTAAGACTAATGGATCTTCAGAGGTTAAGTGCAAGAAGATTTTCAAGTTTAGCTCTGAGAGATGTTATGGTTTCATGTTAAAGTTTGTGCAGAGCATTAACATGACAAAAATCAACCCAATGTGCAAATATTTCACACCAGTCAGAGAAAAAAACTGGGATACAAACAAACACAAGTCAGTATTTGATGAAATCATGCATGATACAAACTCTGAGATTCTTTTGACTGAGCTGCCATCAATTTTCAGTAACTTCATGGTGAATATGCTGTGGCTGTAAAGAACAAAGAGTGAGTTTCAAGCAGTAAAATGTTGAAATTAAGATTTAAAAGAGTACAGAAATGAATTGACCTTCTGCTGGATGACTGGTTCATCTTAGTGGCTGCAGCGCTTCTGTTCCTGTTTCCAAACTGAAGTAGTCTGCTGGCTTCACTCAGAGTCTGGATGTTAATCCACCTCAGATCTGAAGTCAAATCCAAACATCATGGTTTTAATTCCTGACTTTAGGCCCCCCAGCAGCACCAACAGTTCCTGATTTGTTTCTCATGAGATCAGAGAATATGGTGAAGTGATGTGCTCACCTTTAATGTAAGCATTTCCAGCCCCGTCGTCACACACTCTGAGAGAAGCACGTTTCTTAGATTTGGAGTACAGCGAAGTTTGAAGCAGGTCATACACACACTCATTGTAGATTTCAAAGAATGCAACCCACAAAGCAAACTGACTGCAGTCTGACTGGTCGCTCGCTGCCATTAAAGAGTACAAGCACAGAGGAGCAGGAGAAGAGAAATTAGGAGGAAAAAAGTGGTGTCATTCATTATTCCTAATAAAGAAGTTCTTCTGTAAACTTGGAAAATTAAAGCACTTAACATGCAAGACACTGAAAATCCTATTTTTTTATTATTAAGGAGTACCATTATGTTGGTCGCAGGATGAGAGAGCAGAGCTGGAGCAGGAGTCGAAGTCTGAGCATCCACTGGCTCTGAGAGAATCACATTCCTGCTCAGGGACAGAAAATAGATTGTGTCAAAGCTTCAGAAGAAAATAGATCATTTCAAAGCTTCAGAAGCAGACTGCAATTTAATTCCTATTTACAGGAAACATCTGAGCAGCAAAATCTTTTACTTTTAGCTGAGGGACAAAGTTTTAGTGTCAGAAGGGTGTTGGTTTCCGTTGTCGGGGTGTAGGGCAAATATGGGGACGATTGCCTTAATGCAATCCTGATCATGTGTAGCAGCTATCCAACAGCAATTAAGCTTGAACTAAAAAGTTAACTCCTTACAAGTTCAGCAAACAAATCTCCCTTACAAAGTCCCAACTTAACTCTTGCTCGTCAGGTTTCTATGTCAGTCTGTGAACAAAGGAAACACATGGAAAAAGAAACCTTGACTAGACATCCTTTGACACAAGCTGGAGCTCCTACAAGCTGATTGTTCCTTGTATCACAAAACCATAACAGCAGCCAAGGAAGTCATCATGGCAAACAGAAGATGAGGGCAGCCCAAAATGCTGTCATGGTCAGCAAGTTTTCTTGTGTTTACCGTATCAGCTCTGCAATTAAAACTGTGTAACTGGCTTAGGGTAAAATGCACTGGCTTCATGAGACCTGCAGCTTTACAGCGTTGAATGGTGTTTCTGTCATCCAGGGGCTTTTCTACCCCCATGGAGACAATCAGTAAATTTTCAGAAAGTATCTGAACCCAATCCCTCTCAAACAAACATAATCTGAGATGATTTATGTGACAATACTAGAAAAATAGTGGTATGTCTATTGTTGCCAATTATGCAAATCAAAGGCTCACATCTTTATTATGGTGTGTTGACCAATCAAAAGCTTTATATATGATCGACTGACCTTACAATAACCCCAATGAATGGATGCCATGGTACAAGAATTGTATTACTAAACAGGGCATCCCTATCAGCCCACTCAATGTCAAATACAGCGCCCACTTGTGGACTGAGCAGTCCTTGCTTTTCTTGTCTTCTAAACGCTTAAGTGGGGACATTTGACATCAAACCTCATCCTGCTGACTTTTAACGGTCAATTTAATCATCTAATGTGACTGTTAAATTGGACAAATGTAGAAACAGGGCTGTTTCTTCAGCTGCTTGGCTGACACTTGACTGAGTTGAGGATGAACTTATCTCACATCTCTGACTGAAGCAAAAACAGCTGCTTTAGCACTCCTCTCTTGCTTCACTTGGTCAGGATTTAGGTGTTGTACATCATTCCTGAGGTGAGGTTTCATGTCCATTCCTTTATACTGACGGCTGCTAATGTAGTGAAAAGTGGCATCCAGCACTCGAGGGAGGATTCCTGGTTCTTTCTGACTCCCTGAAACATAAAAAAACACTCGGACCTGCAGGAAAACTTCATGAGCATTGTTGTTTTGCTTATTTACCTTGGATTGTGTAGGTTTTTCCAGCATTGGTGACTCCATAGCTGAATATAACAGCAGTTTCTCCATCCAAGAAATTAGACAGTTGGCCTTTAACGGTGTCCTCAAACAGCTTGGACTGAGTGGTGTCTGGACCAAAAATCTGTTGCCAAAAAAAGATGTGTCAGTGGGAAAAAGGATTTCATAAATGTCTCATCAGCTTGGAAAAGAACACCACAGTTGCTGATTTTTCCAACCTGTGAGAAGGAGAATTTATGGATTGACAAGCCAATGCCTTTCTCGCTGCTTTTCAGGGTGGCAGAACCTTTTGGTGCATTCAGGGTCACCGTCTGGCTGTTTTCTATCAGGACACACCCCTGAATGAAAAAAAATGTGCAAAAATGAATAAGCAATTGACATGAAAGACAACTTTTGTGGTGAGCAAAACCTCAAGTTAAAAAGCATCACTGTGAAGCAAACTGAATGCTGCATTAATGTTTATGCACAACACTGAAAAAGATTGGAGAAGCATGTTTGAGTTTCATTCAACTTGTCTGAGTGTGGGGGTTGGACGATGGGTGGTGTTTCAAGCATCTTAGGACCCATTTTAGATTTTTCTCTCTTTTTTATCAGCGATTTCTGTCAAATTGCTCAAATAAAGTTGTCAGTATTGGATGTGTTGCAAGTCTCCTGATGTACTTTACATTTAGCTAAATGCAAAGATGAACATGTTTTGGTGTAAAATACTCTGCTGGAATTAGTGATGTGGAGGTGAACTGGTTTATTTCTTGTCTGTCAAACAGGTCTTTTTATCGTGCTTAGAAATGCCTCCTCCTCTTGTGCTGCACTCTCATGAGGGGTCCCCCAGATGTTGACCATCAGTCTCTTTTTATCCCCCCCCCCCCCTGACAACTCTATGCAGCTGAATGACAAACTTAGTAATGGACTTCCATGAGTACAGCCTTAGCCCCCCATTAATGTTTTGAATAAGTTATAACCTAAAATAAGTATGGGGGAGCCATGTCACATCATCTTGCCATATACAGTAAAATGGTAAGTGTCATGAAATTATATGTCATGTTGTGAATAATAGCAGCTTTGATTATGGACCAAGTATCATCTTCTGAACCTGATCCTCTTTTTCAGAGAGTTCTTCCTTGGAGAAAGGCCTGACTCTGAGGTAAACTCTCATGGTCTGCTGCTCTGCAACACCTGGAGCTTCAATCTGCAAACAAAGACCAACAATCAGACCACCAAATACACCTTAAAAGAGAGGAGCTGGCTGTATCTTGTTATTTATAAGTCAAAAATGTCTGCATGAGAACCTCTCCAAAACCAACAAAATAAAATAAATGAATGAATGAAAGTGTGACCTCTCAAAGTGAGAGTCTGATGTGAAGCCAAAAAGATAAAGAAAAAAAAATACCAGCTGGGATGAAGAGCTGGAAGGAGAAACTTCACCGGTGATGTCCATATCGACTGACTGCATATTGTCTCCTCCTTCAAAGGTCAGATCAATAATCTCATTCTTGGCTCCAAAATGTCCCTTAAAAGTGTGCTGATCCCCTTTCAGCTAAAGTTGTCTTCTAGTAAGAGAGATTTGTACAGCCTCTCTCTGTGTATACTATTGTTTAAAGGATATTTCTGCTATGAAGTGACTTAATTCAGCAGCATATAGCCTGTTGACGCACTTAAACACACTGAGAGCACCTCATCAGGTTTAACTGGAGGCAGGTGCTCAGTCAGACAAATTAGCAAGCAGGGGCTGAGAAACTGGGCTGAGACAAGAAGTCAATTTTGCCTCAATATAAGACAGGAAATGTGTTTGGTGTCAACATTTTTGGTCTTAAAGGCGTGTTTTATGTTTCAGGTTAACTATTTTTGTTTAAAGTTTTTTTTTATCTGGGAAGCGAAAACCACTTATTTAACAAATTATGACCTTTCTTCATAAATGTCACACTGAGAAAAAGTCACCTTTTTGAAGTCCACTATAGTGAGATAATTATCCCAGAGTAATAAGAAGATAAGACAAGATGAATGATGATGAATGATAATGAGATGCTTACTGGAAGTTTAAAAAAAAAAAAAGCAGTTTCCTGTTTATCAATAAAGATATTACAGAAAAATGTACAGTTCATCTGATGGTCCATTTTGGTTTCATAGAGACAGTCCCTTTAATTTAAGCCTGTTTTATGTGCAGCAAAAAACTCCATAGGGCAGTGTTTTTCAACACTGGGTCGCGACCCCACATGGGGTTGCCTGTAACTCCAATGGGGCCGCCTGAAATGTCCCGTAATTGATTTCAAAAAAATTACTGATAATGTAATATAATAACTAATAATAACTAATTTTTGTTTTCAAAATTAAAACACCACAAACAATCTTAAATGATTAAAATCAGTTTCTATCTGTTAAAAATCTTAAAAACTATCCTTTACTTTCTCAAATTAAATCTAGTTATAAAATGCAGCATCTTGATTGGCGGCCACGATCATGCGACACTTCCCTCCATCAACCTGTAAACACACTTGCAGTCAGTAGGGAAAAACTGAAAACAAGATGGAAAGATTTCTTCGCACGCCTGGCCCTGTACAGACAGTTCAGAGAGGAACGGAGACACTGACACCAAAAAGACAGAGAAAATACGACGAAAGTTTCCTTCAGTATGGATTTACAAGTGTCATCGAGAGCAACGAGGAGAAGCCGAAATGCCTGCTGTGTGATCACATCTTGCCTAATTCTAGAAAAAAAAGTGTCTCTGGGGTCCCCAGAAATTTGTGATGTCAAAATGGGGTCACGGCTCACAAAAGGTTGGGAACCCCTGCCATAGGGTGTCTTTAAATCAGGATTGAAATAAAATCTACTAGTTTTTCCACTTTCACTTGGAAATAAAGGTGCTTGAGTCTGGAAAGAGTGGAAAATCCCATAAATCCAAATAGTTTGAAGTCCAGCATGAGGTTTTCACAGTCTGTGATGGTTTGGGGTGCTTTGTCATCTGCTGCTGTTGGTCTACTTTGTTTAATCAGGTCCAGAGTCAACACAGCCTAAAGTCTACCAGGAGGTTTTAAAGACCAGGGGCCTCATGTATCAACGCTTGCGGCGCAAGAAAACCTTGCGTACGCCAAAATCGGCGCACACGTCCAGATTTATCATCGCGAAATGAGCGTCGGTTCCAGCGCTAATCAACGCAAAGTCAGGAGGTGGTGTAGAAATTGGCGTTGAGCTGATACTTGCGTTGACTGTGATTCGCACTTTGGCGACGCTGTGTGGCGGTGTTTGGTGACTCACTATGTGACAAGCGTGCACCAAATCCCCGTGGCCGAGCAGCACGTCGCCCCACATGACGAACCAGCAGCAGACGGAGGGATGCGAGCTGATCCCTGCCGGGCCGCCGTCCTCGCGCGGGAGAATCTCATCGCCACAGTGTGAATGGGTAAGAAGTGAATACACAGTTCAATGAGCCAAATTAATTTATTTTCTCCACCAGACGCTCGAGGACATTAACGAGCCGGTCCAGCCGCTCGTTGATCCCCGCGATCCCCCTGATGATTTCTTCCTGCGATTGCAGGACCCCCTTCGCGAGGACCCTTCCACTGCGTCCGGGTGGTCCAGCGGAAATGCCGCGGCTGGTGGACGCTCCACCGCTTGTCGGCGCGCTGGTGCTGATGCTGGTGCTGGTGCTGGGGCCGGGGGCCGGGGTGGCCCGAATGCCGCTGGTCCTGGCCGACGACTCCGAGCCGGCGGACGGGCTGCCGCGGGCCGGGGTTCCGCAAGCCGGCGACACGGCCGACACATTGATTTCTGTGACACAATAAAAATATTTGTTCATTTCAATTCCTGCTTCTGTGTATCTGTTGCGTTTACATCTCTCTCCACGGTATCATAGGTAATGTAATCCAGTATTTCGAGGTCAGTTATGCACATTACGGTTGTTTATTGCATAAAAAGTTATCGAAAAATGAAGTTAAGGGCGAAGTATAAATCACGTCTAAAAATAGACTGAATCCCGACGTTGAAATGAAGTATAAACTTGGACTAGACGTCTAATATACGTCTTTTGCTCAGTGGGATGACAAAGCATGTGGACATTTGTGTGACACGCCACTTACCCTATAATAATAATCACCACCACCCGCTGCTCAAACGGCGTGAGGGTCTCCTCCCCCGGACCCCCACCTGTCTGGCCGGTACTCCTCTGGAGGGCAGCTGTACGCTGCTTGACCTCCACCTTGAGGTCCGACCACTTTTTTTTAATCTCCGCGGGGGTGCGTGTCTCGGAACCCACCGCATTCACCCTCTCGCAAACTTACTCCCACTCCAAGCGTTTTTGTTTTGCACTGACGCCAATGGACAGGCTGCCAAACAAAACACGCTGTCGCTCCTCCACCTCCGCCACCAGCACCTCCACCTCGCACGCCGTAAATTTCGTTTTTCTTGTCATTTTGTCTGCGTGCGAGGACAGGGAGACCCTATTTAAATAAATCTGCATATTTATAGGAGGGTGTAACGGGGACGGGCCCAGTCACTCCGACATCTGCGCTCAATTCCACGCTGATTGGGATTTATCAAGGAATCACACGCGGATTTCGGCGCCCGCACACATTGATACATACGGATTTTTTTCAGCGTTACGGACCTTGCGTGCGCTCGTTTCTGGTATGAGTTCCACGCAAGTGTTGATACATGAGGCCCCTGGGGCCTAATTTATAAAACCTGGCGTAGGATCCATACTAAAAGTGTACTTAAGTCGAAAAGCTGAAAAGTGCGTGGCCAAAAAAAAAAGATTTATAAACCCTGCCTACGCACACCTGCAGGCACTTTCCCTTTATAAATCACAGACCAGCCGGAGAGTTGCGCAGCAGGGATTTGATTCATGCCCCGCCCTCCCACACCCAAAATTCTCCATGTATGGTCATGCAAATTACCTCATGAATGTGATTTGCATATAAATAAGTCTGATGGATCCACGGCATTTCACACTTAATCATGGCATCAGCAAGTCGTAGAAAAAGGAACTTTTCAGAGACCGAGGTGGAGGTCCTTGTAGATGAGGTGGCGACGAGATGGGAGACCTTATTCGGCGGCCATTCGAGTGGCATCACCAATAAAAGAAAAGCCACCGAATGGCACGCCGTTGCTGTGGCGATAAGTGTGGCTGGCACTGAGCGCAGCGTTGCCGAAATTAAGAAGAAGTGGTCTAATCTAAAGATGGAGGCAAAGAAAAAAGTGGCTTTGCACCATCAGAGCGTGGCGGCGACAGGTGAGGATCAGAAAACACAAGCACGTGTGACACTCATGCATGTGTTCCAAAAAAACTACTCCGTTATCCACTGCTGCTTATGTGGTGAAAGTTCGTAAACCAAAAAGATTTAGTCGAAATATTCAACGTGGAAACTATTTGTTACATTTCAAATTAAATGCTACATCCTGAAGTCAAAATGTTGAATGAGAAGTAACTTCTGAATCATGCTCGCAAGGTTCCTTTTCTGTGATGTCGCCAGCACCTTGCAACTTTTGACTGAGCAGAAAGTCTACAAATTTTACACACAGGTGGCGGCCAGACCACAGAGGTACCAACACCACTTCACTGCAAAATTGCCTCCGTTATTGGAAGTGCCAGTGTGTGTGGCATTGTGTCGGAGAGTGAGGGGGACACAGATTTTGCACAGACTGAGGAGAGTGGTAAGTTACAATTTTACCCGTTTATTGAATCAAATGTTTGTACAGACACTGTAGGGGAATCTCTTCATACATTTAGGTTAAGAAATATAGAGTAATTATCTTTTAGTAGAAGCTACAAATAATCTAGGTTGGCCTGCTCCTGCAGCCCCACGACCATGAGATTGTAAGCAAGGCTGTCTTGCAGGAGCCCAAACTATCTGTCTGTTGGAACATGTAATCTCTGCCAGGGTCAAGACGAACCTAAACAAAGTGTCGTGGGGCAGACATGTCATCATGAGGGGCCTTCTGGAGAATACACATACATACACACACACACACACACACACACACACACACACACACACACACACACACACACACACACACACAGGATAAAAGGGAGTAGAAGAAAAGCTAGGGAGGCTTCCTTCGGTCTTGGTCGAGACCCTGTTTGTCATCTGTACTGATTTCTACATCTGTACTATTAAAGACGCCCAGGCTGTTCTTCAGATCTCATCCTGTCTCCTGTGCATTGTTTATGCTGGACTTTCCACAACAACACATGGCAAGAAATGATGTGCATTGTGTCCTCAGTCACTTTGCAGTTGGAAGCAGTGGGAGGGCACACTGGCTGCAGGCCCGTCTGTCCCCAGCATGCCCAGCGGATCCAGAGTGCGCAGAGGCGGCCGGGTTCTCACAGAGACTGTCCTGCAGACACAGAGGGACACGATCGGAGCCATCCAAGAAGTGAGGGAGGAACTGGCACAAATACGCACAGTCTTGCAGAACATGTGTGACATAATGTCGGCGGCAACGGACGCAATAAAAGAGTTGTTGAAAAAGTGAAACGCACTTGCACTTGCCTTTTTACACACGCCGCATCACTTCCTCACGTAGCCTTGCTCCATGCTGATGTTCATCATGCCGGGGAGGTGGCTGTGGGTCGGGGTCCACATGTGGCGGGGCGGGGGGTAGGTCAGGTTGGAGGGGGATGGCGTTCCTCACTGCCAAGTTGTGCAGCATCCCACACGCCTGTATGATTTTACACACCTTTCTGGGGTCATATAGTAGCCTGCCCCCCCGAGACATCTAAGCACCTCCACCTACTCTTCAATAAACCAATGGTGCACTCCACAACAGAGCGCGCACGGCCATGCACAATGTTAAAGCGCACTTCCTCTGCGCTCTGCGGGTTTGGAAATGGTGTGAGGAGCCACCGCCTCAGTGGGTAGCCGCTGTCGCCGCAATGTGGGTGCAGTCAATTGCGCCGATTACATTAGGGAAACCGGACATTGCTGCAAATTGCCTTTTGCTGTTGGCCTGTTCAACAACAGTGAGGGGAAACCTGACGTAGCGACTGGTTATTTGGATGATCCCATCCAAAACAGCTGGCAGTGCGGCACTGAGGGATGGCTGCAAGATCCCAGACCTGTTAGCACAGAATTTATTATTAATTTATATTTCGTGAATCTGTACATTTAAATTACGCCTATATTGTGATATAACTGTCATAATAAATACCTGTCTGACAATTCCCTCTGGAACGAGCCCATTGCCAAGAAACCAATTGTTGTCAGCACCTTAACGTGTGCCGGTATGGCGCGGTTCTGGTGTGTTGGGTGCTCGAAAATTGGACTCAATTCAGCAATTAGATCCAAATGCAAGGCTCTAGGGAATCTAAAACAGCTTATTAGCCATTCATCATCATGAGCCAGGAAATCTTCCTGATCTTGGAACACCCTCTCCAGCCGGATCCGTCCATTGGCGTGGTCTTCGAGAAGCGCAAGTGCATCCATTGTGCTGCATTGCGCACAACTGTCACTGTATGGCTTTCCATTAACAAATTGTTCTCACCTTGCTCCAATTGTCTCCAAAAAGTGCGTAAGTAAGGTGTGGAGTTTGCTTAAAGTTTCACACATTCCTACGGTAGTTTTTTTTTTTATAAATCCCAACTCTTGTGTAAGAAGTGGTGTAAGCACTTTCAAGCCAGGTTTTGTCAATGGGCCAGGGGCCTCATTGATAAAGCTTGCTTACGCACAAAACCTGGCTTGGAAGTGCTTACGCCACTTCTTACGCAAGAGTTGGGATTTATAAAAAAAAAACTACTGTAGGAATGTGCGCAACTTTAAGCAAACTCCACACCTTGCTTACGCACTTTTTGGAGACAATTGTAGCAAGGTGAGAACAATTGGTTAATGGAAAGCGCGCGTATAAAAAGCCATACGGTGACAGTCGTGCGCAATGCAGCACAAGTTTCAAGTTTTATTTCACCCCCACTCGCTCCCTCCGGTCCTCCTCCTCCATCCACCTCTCTGTCCCCCCTGCCCGCCTCAGTACAATGGGGGGCAGAGCCTTCAGTCGCTCTGCCCCCCAGCTCTGGAACTCACTACCACCCGATCTCAGAAACACTGACTCCTTTCTCTCTTTCAAAACACTACTCAAAACCCACCTGTTTCGGTCCGCATACTCCCTGTAGCTGTTTTATCCATTCCCTGTGTCGATTTTTATCTGTTTAAATTGCTTATTGTTTTATTTATTGTCTTATTACGAATATCTTGCTTTTAATATTGTACAGTGACCCTGGGTGCTTTGAAGGGCGCTTTCAAATAAAATTTATTATTATTATTATTATTGTCACATGCCTAAATGTACAGGTACAGTGGCAGTGAAATGAAAGTGACGTCTGCGATTGTGCCAAAAAAAACATAATAATAATAATGTAAAGTCTGTTCAGAGGGTGTTGTGAAGTCAGTTATGGGGTGTGTGTTATGAGGAGTTCAGGATCCATGTGGCCTGGGGGAAGAAGCTCCTTTCAGCCTCTCAGTCCTGGCTCTGATGGAGCAAAGCCTCTTACCAGAGGGCAGCCACTCAAACAGTCTGTGGTTGGGATGGTGAGTGTTTGATAATCCGTCTTGCCCTGGACCTGCACCGCTGAGTGTAGATGTCCTGGAGGCCGGGCAGTGCAGTATGGGTGATGCATTCAGCACAACGGACGACTCGATGCAGGGCCTTTCTGTCTTGAGAGCTGCAGCTGCTGTACCAGGCAGTGATGCTCGCAGAAAGCACAGACCCCACTGTGGCGGTGTAGAAAGTTTGCCAATTTGAATTTACAAATGTGCAAAAAAACAAATTCCATTTACATGCACTTGTTTTAAGATTAATATGACTAAATCTTTTTGGTATACAAACTTTCACCACATAAGTAGCGGTGGATAATGGAGCAGTTTTTTTTTGGAACACATGCATGAGTGTCACACGTGCTTGTGTTTTCTGATCCTGTCGCCGCCACGCTCCGACGGTGCAAAGCCACTTTTTTCTTTGCCTCCACCTTTAGATCAGACCACTGCTTCTTGATTCTGGCTACGCTGCGCTCAGTGCCAGCCGCGCTTACCGCCACGGCAACAGGGTGCCATTCGGTGGCTTTTCTTTTATTGGTGATGCCATTAGAATGGCCGCTGAATAAGGTCTCCCGTCTCGCCGCCACCTCATCTACAAGAACCTCCACCTCGGTCTCTGAAAAGTTTCTTACTGTAATTACCATGTAAATACATGGTAATTACAGTACTGTAAAGGAAGTGTTACCGGGAAAATTTCACAGTATGCATCTGACCAGTCTGCTTCGCCTACTGTTACCCACAGTGCAAAGCACCGGGGCAGACGGCGGAATAGCGAAGAGCGGCAAAACTTTCCACCCGAGCATTCATTTTCTAAGAGGACGGCTAAAAGATTTCTCCTTCTTACAACCTGTCCTCTCCTCCCTCTTTCAGCATTATTTGTGCACACCACTGACAAGAATGTCATGTTTTGTTAATATGCCGTACAGTTTTTATCCTCAATTTTCAATGCCTTAAATATACCCGCTTCTCCTCATCTTTTACACTGTACGGTACATGTGATGTTTACCACACACAGCGCATGCTGGGGGGAGGGGCAAGGATAAAAAGTAATTGAATATAATGTATTAGTATAATAATCTAATAAATACAATGGACTACAAGGGCCACATTAAGAAAAACATTTTTAAAACTTCAAGATTACTTATGAGAATAAAGTCACTACGAATGAGAATGAAGTTATTAATTTATGTAAAGTTACCTGTTGTGGAGGAGCGTTGTTAAATTGAGGGCTGTGGGTCATCTACATGAATTGTACTTCAGTATAGGTTTCACAAACATGGAGATACTCAATCTTTTGGTACATTAGCATTACATTGTCATGAATATCAGAAATTTAAAAAGAATTTATAAGAAATGCATCTTTTCTACAGAAAAAAACAGATGGACTTTGAGGGAATTGCTGCTTTTGTGGAGGGGAATGTAGTGATATGCAGTAGGAACCATACAGCACTCAGTGCGCAGCCCGGTCAGTTTATGGTGTTACACTGTTTACTACATATGCCGGGTTCTCCCTCCAGTAAAGTCAAGTCTGCTCCATAAACACTGTGGCTTCCTTGACTCCATAATACTTCATGGTGGCAGCGGTTATTAATGTGGATCGCCCGCTGACGCCTGGTAGGAAAAGTTCGCTAAACGGCCAAAAAAGGGAGACGTCATGGCATCACACTTGCCGACAATGAACTGGGCCGCCCCGGATCTGAGTGAAGCTATTTCACTGTTTAAACAAAAAATGTCTCTGTACCTGGAGGATGAGGATAACTGATGCAGCCAAACAGGCAAGGAAAATATGCCGTGGCATTGGAGATGAAGGACCGAAACAGCTGAATGCCAGTGGACTCAGTGATGATGACAAGAAAAAAACAACAAAACTATGGGAATTCTATGAAGGTCAGTTAAAATTGAATGTAAACTGCAGGATCCATAGACTCCATCTAATGCAATACAGGCAAAAAGCAGATGAAAGCATTGATGATTCTGTGACCAGAGCCAGGACACTAGCCCAAAAGTGTCAGTTCACAGATGAGGAGCTCAGTGAACATTTAATTGAACTTATCATTGCTAGCACACCCCATGATGCACTGAGAAATGACCTGTACAGCAAACCTAAAGGCCATTCTCTGGCTAATGTACTAGCAGAGGGTCGAAAATACGAGGCCCTGTCGGCAGGCAATGAACAATTACACCAGCTTGGCATGTCACATAGTGAGACAATCCATGCAGTGGACCGAGGGCAGACATGCCCAAATTGTGGCAGGAGCCACAAACCCTGTCTATGCCCTGCATACAATGATGAATGCTCTGCATGTGGTACCAGAGGCCACTGGGCAAGATGCTGCCCGAAAAGCAAGCAGCAGAGGCAGCAACGCTCAGGGTGTGGTCAAAGAAGCAATTCTCCTCCACCTCAGAATAGACAGGAGAGACGACAGCCCTCCAGAAGCCAACACAAACAGCGGGGAGAGTCCCACATCAATGCCATAGACAGCACAGAGGCTGAAGAGTGTGAGTATCAGTCACAGTTCTATTCAATCACCATCAGTGAGAAATGCATGCACAGCATTGAGAGCAAGCCACCCAGAGAGGAGGCGTACACAACTCTGAAGTCACCAGAAAATCTAAAAAAGAACTACAGGAGGCTATCTGCATACAGCGGTCATCAGATCCCCTGCCTGGGTACCATTAACATCCCATGCCAGTACAAAGAGTCCGAATGGGTTAATGCCAAATTCTATGTTGTGGATGTGCCAGGTAGTTGGCCTGCCAACGAGTGAACAGTTAAAGCTGGTAACTGTCAATGTCGATACAGTGAGTGAGAAGGCAAACAAAAGCCAGGGTATGGCTCACAAAAAAATGAAAAAACCACTGAAGAGGATATCAAACAGTGCAGAGCTGAAGGCGGTTTATCCAGATCAGTTTGACAAAATAGGCGCTTTAAAACTTCAGTGGAACCATTAAGCTCTCTCTGAAAGAGGATGCTGAACCATTCATTGACCCACCACGGAAATGCAGTATCCACATAAAAGACAAGCTACAAACAGAACTGAATAAAATGGTGGAGCAAGATGTGATACGAAAAGTTGAAGAGCACACAGACTGGTGCTCCAGTATGGCATACAGCACTAAAAAGGACGGGTCCCTCAGAATATGCCTAGACACTAAAAAACTGAATGCCAGCCTTAGGAGATGCCCACACAAAATGCCAACTGTAGAAGAACTGAACCCAGAGTTTGCAAAGGCAAAGGTATTCAGCAAGCTCGATGCAAAGGCAGGGTACTGGTCTATACACCTTGACAAAGACTCACAACTCCTGACAGCATTCAGAACTCCATTTGGCAGGTACTGCTGGAAGCATTTGCCATTCACCAAGTATCTCCCAAGACCACTTCTAGGCTAAGATGGATCAGATCCTGAAGGGGCTCCAAGGTGTTGTGAGCATAGCTGGTGACTTAGCGGTCTATGGAGCAAATGAAGAAGAGCATGATATGAACCTGATCAACATGATGGAACAAGCAGCCGAGCTGGGTATTGTGTTTAACAGTGAAAAGTGCACAATAAAACACAACAGTATCTCGTTCTTTGGCAACCTGTACACCGACAGAGGCATCAGGCCAGACCTGGCCAAGATCAGGGACATACAAAAAATGCCAACACCCCAAAACAAAGAGGATCTGCACAGATTCATGGGAATGCTGGCCTACCTCTCACCCTACATACCAAAGTTTGTGGATAAGGCCCACACCTTGAGAGGGTTGCTGAAAAATGAATCACCAGGGTTATGGGACACTGACCACCACAAGTGCTTTGAGGACCTGAAGATAACAGTAACCGAGGATGCCTGTCTGAAATACTTTGACCAAAACACACCCCTAGCCCTCGAGGTGGATGCATCTCAGAAAGGCTTGGGTATAGCCCTGGTGCAGAACAACAGACCCATTGCCTTTGGCTCAAAAACACTAACTGACTGCTGGTCAAAATGCAGCAACATAGAGCGAGAGATGCTAGCCATTGTGTATGGGATGCAGCGATACCACACTTACCTGTATGGGAAGTCTTTCCTCGTGATAACAGACCACAAGCCACTTGTCACCATATGTGCAAAGCCGCTGTATGCTGCACCACCCCGGCTCCAGCGCATGCTGAAAAAGACACAGGGATAAAAATATCAAGTCACATACAAACCAGGGGAGTATTGCACAAACCAAGATAAGGGATTAAGCCGGGATATGTTGGTTATCCTGGCTGAATTTAGCCTCAAGTCGGTTGCATGAAAGCAGGTCAAATTTAACCTGGTCAAGTTACTATGGTGATTTATTTTCTGCAGCTAGCCTGCTCCAGACTAGGCTAACAACTAGTCTAAGATTAATCCTAGTGATTCATCTGGTAGTTTGACTGTCAAGCCTGTGAGAAATTAGTGTTTCACAGCATTTTCATGCTCTTTCTAAATATGTTGCATCATTGTAATTGTCCTGCATTCAAATTTTACAGATATATTGTAATTTGTCATTTTATTGAAGTCTGTTGACTGTCTTTTAAATTAATTAATGTGGCATAATGTTTACTGTCAGCTCTAGTGTTATATTGCTATGCAAAGGAAGACTGCTTGTCAAATTGCCATCTGAGGTTTGATGAATTTGTGTAATATTAAAGTTATTGAGATTAGAAAAAATGGCTGATGAGGTAGCAAAGGTGGTTTCAATTCAGTCTGTGGCGAGGGCAGTAGTATATATAGGTCCAACTCCCATTCACCTGTTTCCTCTTCATCATGTCATGCCCTTTTTTGGAGGATGTTTTGGACGAGGAAGCCCTAATCCTCAGACGAGCATTTAGGCGGCAAAGAGTGTTCTGGGACAGGTCAGACCAATTGGCCTTCGGAAAAGAATATCTCATTGAGAGATATCGCTTCTCTGGTGATGGACTCTGATATTTATGTAGGCTGCTGGGTCCTAAAATTCAGCACCAGACAGGACGAAGCCATGCCCTCATCGTACCACAGATGGTTTGTGTGACATTGAGGTTCCTTGCGAGCGGGAGCTTCCTGTATTCTGTTGGGGATGCAGAGAACCTCAATAAAGGAACAATTTGCCGCACAATAAGACGTGTTTGTCTGGCACTGAAGGCACTCACACATATATTCATCACCTTCCCTGGCGACAGAAGACCCCTCTACATCAAGGAGGAGTTTTAAAGGTTGCAGGTAACATCCATTGCAACCACTACTTTCAAATTTCATCAGGCACAACTGGATACTCACTATTTTTGTTACAGCCTTCCCTAATGTCATTGGTGCAATAGATTGCACCCATGTGAGAATTAAACGCCACTCAGGGGAACATCAGGGGGATTACATCAACAGGAAATCCTTCCACAGCATCAACGTTCAGGTGAGAGTTTTTTGTGGTTACTCTGACCTACATAAATTACTTATGTGCATTAAAGGACCGTAATCGGTTACATCTCACATCTTATCGTTTGTGATGATCTGTGATGTTGACTGCCTTGTGACCAATTTAGAGGCCAGGTGGCCGGGCTCAGTTCATGATAAGTTAAGCCACACATTTTATTGTTAAGCACCTTGGACATTATGAGTCTTCACCCCTGCTGTGTAGTTTAATAAATGATATTTTGTTTTATCAGGTGAATTCTCTGGTGTGCTGCTGGGAGACAAAGGCTACGCCTGCGCGTCATACCTCCTGACTCCCCTCGCGGACCCCCAAACCCCACCACAGCAGGCCTACAACCACGCACATGCAAAAACAAGGGCTCGGATCGAGATGACCTTTGGACTCCTGAAATCTCGGTTTCAGTGCATCACCTGCGGGTTTCCCCGGACAGGGCCTGTGATGTAGTTGTAGCATGCACAGTGCTGCACAACATTGCAGGCCTCGGAAAGGAGAGGGCCCCTCGAGTCATTGCGGATGTTGTCTGGGAAAATGCTCCCATTTTGCCAGACAACATTAATGGCAGACTGGTCAGGACGCAATACATTGTTATTATCATTGTGACTATTATTTTACTTAGTCTTTGGATGTAGCCTCTTTAATAAAGAATTTTCTGTTACTTTTTGCTGTGTATGTACGCTTTGTCTGGCATTGGTAGCACAGTGTGTGGTTCTTTTAAATTCCGTGTCACTAAATCAATGGTATACACATTCATGAAAAAGAGGACATCACAATGTTTTCAAATTTTTTCCTTTTTATTTCACAGTCACGTGTTGTTTGGAAGCTGGAATACAGAGAGCAAAAGTACAAATATTAATACTCTGCCCATAAAAGCATGCTACAGGTATAGCATGCACTGAAATACTCACTTCTCGTTCTAGTTTCTGGATCTCCAGGTCCAGTTTCCTGAGGGTCCTGCGTTTGATCCCTAGATCAAGCTCAGTTTCTTGTAGCTTTCTGCTCTTCAATTGGATTTTCACATCTGCAAGTGCGATCTGCTTCTGAAGATATTGAGCATATAGAGCTCGGACCGTTTGTGAATTCTGTAAAATAAATATCAATTAGCAGAGCACAATTTATGCAAAATGTAGATTTACTTAAGCCAATACTCACAATGTTACCAGGCTGCCTAGGAGGCTGTGCAGAGTCTGGGTCCTGTGACACATGTTATTTTGTATTAGCACCAAATCACTGACCTCAATGGACTAAATAAATCAGGATATTTCCAAAAAATTGACATAGTAACCTCATGCCTTCTGGAGTCTACTGAGATGGTCTCCTCATCTGCTGAAGTGCATCCCGCCGCTGCAGAAGTGCCTTCCCCCTGCCATACACATACATGCATATCTTCTCTGATGATTTTTGACAGGACATGCCAAGCCTGTGATTTCAATCAAATGTACTAACCGGATCATCTTCTGGTGGCTCCAAAATGTGAGTAGCTGTGTTTCCATTACCCATAGATTTGCGCGAAACCTAAATATCGCAATAGAAAACTGGTAATGGAAACATATCGTAAAAGTATAATGGAAAAACTATTCTCGCAATTCTCTGTCACCGGACGTGACGTAGCGGGTCATGTGACCAGTTCATTTCAAGCAAAGATGGCGCGGTATGTGTGGACGGGGGGAGGAGACAGAGTTATTTCTGAAGTTTTGAATTGTATTTGTATTTTTCTGAAGTTTTGAATCCACAACTTGTCAGTGAATTCCTCATTAACGATCCTCTCCCAGAAATCCCTCATCCGTGTCCGCTCCCATACATATGGGCTTTGCCTTTGAATTATCACCCGCTGCCTTCGTCTTCTGATGACAGCAGTGGCAACAGCAGTAATGGTCACGGAAATAACTGCTCCAAAATGCAAAATGTTTTGTGTCTCGTCCATGTTGGTGTGCAAAAAGGCTTAAGGAATACGAGGTCGCACAGGCAGGAAGTTTACCTTGTTGCTAGGCAACGGCCATCCAAACACGGCTCGTGAGAGGCAGACGGCTCGCTTATGCACTGAACACCATTCAACGGAAACACCTGCAAATCGCAATTGTACTTTGTCGAAATTTGATAAACATTGCTTTTATTTTGCGAAAAGATGTAATGGAAACGCAGCTAGTGTGTTCCCAGACACTGCAAGGAAATCCAAAGTCAGGTAGTATAATATATTAATTTAATTGTGTTCCATGTGCAGTAGTACTGCAATATGTACCTTGTATGAAGCAGCCAGTTTGTGTTGCTGGGACATAGTCTGTGGCCGTCCCTCCCTGGATCCCCTCCATCACTGGCCTCCCTTTATTCGCATGGAGGGCCAGCTCCTCCGCTGGGGTGAAATCCTGGCTTGGTGGGCCGCCCCCCATGCCATTTTTATGGGCTTTGTTTTTTACTGCTACAATTATACAGATATTCAGCATGTCAGCAGACACTTAAACTATTCACCACATTTGTTCATTGTTGTCTTGACTAAAGTCACTTACCTGTCTGTAAAATGTTCTTGTATTTGATTTTGACTTGCTGCCAGGTCCTTCTCTGGCCAGACAAGTTTGTTCTTTATGAAGGATAGATATATAAAACAGATTAAAAAAAGATGACATGGGGAAAAACATTAATTAGACAACACTGACACACATTGTGGATAATTGTTTGCAGATAATTATATTCTACATTTCTTGAGTAACATGCACTTCTACTTGCCTCATTTAAAGCAAAGTGTACAACTGTTGATTTGTGGAAAGTAACTCCTTTAATAATAATGATGACAGTTCAAGTGGTACGGAAACTTTTATTTTAGTTAGAACATATTACTCAGAAATACAGATTAAAAATTACCTAGAACAACAGACCAAAAAAAAAAAAAAACTCAGAAAAAACGGATTTCTCTTTTTTACTCAAGTGAATACATTACACTTCCGTACTACGGGCAACTTTTTATTAATTGGACATTTTTGGACTACTTGTATTAAGACTGCATTAAGCCGGTCCGCAATTGTTTGCCAGGCTTTCTCTCTTTCCTTGATTATGGTGCTGGTGTTGCCTTTCTTACAGATTAGGGGTTTGACTTCTTCGTAAAGCTCCATCAGGAGCTGCTGCTCAGCGGGGGTGAAGTAAGTCGCGCGACTGTTGGGCATCTTCCCATCCATGATTCTGTGGTCGATCCTGTGGTCTACTTAAGAATGCCATGTGTTGACAATAAAAAAAAATTTAAAAAAAAACAACAAAAACACATGCTGCTGCTGTTCTTCTTGTAAATGGCCTGGTTCAGAAGGAAAGAAGGCTAGAGCATGTTGTGACTTTACACTTTTGAAACCAAATACCTATTAGTGCATGCATTTATTCATTAAAATGTATCAATTTCTAAATTATTTATTTAAAAATATTTTTATTTGCAGCCTATGCAGACATTTTTTTCAGATAGTCATACATTAATCATAATAGAGGTAAAAAGTTCATCTAATCTTGATTTAGATTTTTTTCCATAATCACCCAAACACTAATGCAGTTCAGAGATGAAAATAATGGTGAGGAAGGTGAAAGAGACAACCAATTAAAGCAATGTATTACTCTTGTGGTACATGAAGCACAAAAGCTGTAAATTGAGACTGTAAATTGTACATGCAGGTTATGCTGTTATATCGTCCCTACCAATGTTGAGACCAAACCTATGCCCTTGCTTGAGAGCCTTGTAATGCACTATGCTTAGCCTGGTTTAGTTGGTTTCCGGTATGGAAAGGTACATCATACCCTGGTAAACTGCAACAACACTACAGTGTTGCCCATTCATTTACGCACTGAAAAAATCGAATGTGTTTTTTAAGTTGATTTTTTAGCCCGATACCTGCGATCAAAACGTGTTCTGTCTATGCAATGACTTGTTGATCTGGTCGCATTTGATTCTCATCACAGCACTATAAATACAGCAAAGTTATGTTTTCACTTATGTTGAAGTTGCAATCATCGCTTAACATATTAACAGAAGGCATCTGCATGGTGTGGTTTTATTTCCCTTTGTCCCGATGGTTTGACAACTACAGTGAAAACCCTCTGTTAGAGCCATGAATAGATTTATTTTTGAAATTGAATTATTTGGGTTGTCACATGTGGTGTTTGATATTGTTTGGGGTCATCACAGGTATTACGTCACAGATAGGGGCGGTGATTTGTTATTATGAGGACCTGAGCACACCTGGGATTTGATTTTGGTTTTGTGGAGAGCACGGGGACGGGACGCCGTAATTTTTGTTGACCGCCGCTGTCACCGCTGCAGACTTTGGTTTTGTTAGATTGTTGTTTATTTTAGAGCCAAATTGGTAGTTGGCAGTTATTTCTCTAAACCTTCAAACGAAGCGTATTTGTTTTGGCGTTTTTTTTGTTTGATTAAGGCAGCGCGTCGGACAGAGAGAGACCCGACTCCGAGCTCAAGCGCCTTTTTTGGTTCTGTCGCTACATTTTGTCAACAAAAAAAGGCATTAAAGGAGACATCAACGGACAGCGCAAACGATCAAGGAATTAATGGAACGAGGATTAATGAATGGAACCCCGGGAATGAAGACATCGGTGGAGCCATGATGGATGAAACTCTCCAATCCATCACTGAAATCAGGTGAGCTGTGATGCGCGTAAACCAGCTAAGCTGTGTATGAATGGAAGGAAACCCTGCTGATGCGCTGAATGTGATGTCGGCTGGAAGGATGTCGTCTCGTATGTGCATGCGTTGAATGCACGAGCGATATAAGGAAAATGAATCAAATAAATAATGAGGTTGCAAGCTTTGGAATGGATAAAGGAAAATGAGAAGTTAAACTCACTGCAAAGGCTTTGCAAAATAAAATTGAGAAGCTTCAAAAGGAACGGAAAACAACCGTGAAAAAAATTAAAGGGCTCATACCTCAAATTAAAGGACTGGTGAACAGTAGAGAAAATGTCTCACAAGTGCGACTCCTCTTGGATAATGTAATCAAACTTTGTAAAAATGCCACAGCGTCACACAATGAGTTCATTCCTTTAATCCCTGAGGATGAACAAATAATACAAACTGGTTGGTTTAACAGCATCATGTCTTACAGCAATGCATTTAAAGGGAATACTGAAAGGTGGCTGAATGAATCAGAGAAATTATCTGATAGCAAACATCCCGTTAAATCTTGCCTGGCTGAATTTGATGAGCCAGAGTATTCACCTGGTGAACCTCAAACACCACTGCCCACTTTTCATCAACCAATCTCACAAGGTTTGAAATCAACAATGGAGGATGCATCTCTACTCCGGGCAGATGACATGCAAGATGGAGTAAAGCCAAGTGACAGAGTGTCAAATGTGGGAACCAAAGCAGCAAAATCAAACGCCTCATCTATGGGGAAAAGGTCTGCTGCTTCTAGCATTTCTTCTGTTTGTTTTAAAGCTGAAGCTGAACTAGCTGCATTACAGATAAAACAAAATCTATTAAAGAGCAAGCATGAACTGGAAGAAGAGGAGGAGCGGTTGCGCCAAAGGAGAGAGCAGCTTCAACTGGACGAGCAAATTGCCGTACACATGGCGAAACTGACCGTGTATAGATCTCGGAGCATCATGAGTGGAAAAACCTTGATGGCAAGGTATTCGGATGGAATGAATTCTTATTTGGGAAAAAGCCAAGGAAAAACACAAACACTTAACCTGAAGGCTAGTTCATTCGTCCCAGCAATGGCACAGAAGGATATTGAACATTGCCACCTGGCGGCAGGAGTAAGGCCTAAGGAACAGTATCCATCTCAGTTCATTCATTCTGAGCCAATGTCAATGGAATATCAAGAACCAAAGCAACCTTTAACATATCAGAGTGTCCAAAAAGAAAGCAGGATGCAAAATGTCATAAATCCAGATATGATGCCACAAAATGAAGATGGAAACAATATGGTTGACATTATGAGAAGGCAAAATGAAATTACATCACTGTTAATACAAAAGCAAAGCTTTTCTTCCTTGCCCAAAAGAGAGATACCAACTTTCGATGGCAATCCTTTATGCTATCATGCGTTTGTGAAGGCCTTTGAAAATGCTGTGGGGAAGAATACTGTCAATTGTAGTGACCGACTTTATTACCTGGAGCAGTACACTAGAGGTCACCCCAGAGAACTCGTCAGAAGCTGCCAGCATATGGATCCTGCGAGAGGATATGCTATGGCTAAGACCCTATTAAAGGAGCAGTTTGGAAATGAGCTGAAAGTGGCGTCAGCATATATGGAAAGGGCTCTCTCATGGCCACCCATCAGAGCTGAAGATGTAAAGGCCCTTAAAGAGTACAGCTTTTTTCTCAGGGGCTGCTGTAATGCTGTTGAAGAAATGCAATACTTGCACGAATTAAGTATTCCCGCTAATATGTTGACCATCATCAGAAAGTTGCCCTATAAATTAAGGGACAAATGGAGAACTATTGCCAGTGAACTGCAGGAAAAGAGCAGCCGAAGAGCAACATTTATTGACATTACCAACTTTATTGAAAAGCAAGTGAGAATCCTGACAGATCCTGACAGTTCGCAAACGCGAACCATGACCTCGCTCAGGAGCAAAGGGAACAAGCTTTGCCACCTTGGTAGCACCCACGGAAAACAAAACTGGTATTGGCATCAAAGATAAGGGTCATGTTCAAATATCACGGAAGGACTGTCTTTGTTGTGGTGAAGGACACAGTTTGGATTTGTGTCCCCAGTTGGGAAAAAGAGCTCACAAAGGGAAGATAAGCTTCTTGAGAGAAAATGGAGTCTGCTTTGGTTGTTTGTGTATTGGACACATGAGTAGAGATTGTAAAAAGCGGATTTCATGTGCTAAATGTGTCCTTAAGCATCCCACAATACTCCACATCTTTCCAAAGGATAAAAAAAGGAACCTGACCAGACTGAAAGGAAGTCAGAAGTGCCAGTGGACAGCACTCTGATGTCAAGTGTTCTTACAGGGGCTGGAGATCGCAACTGTAAGCTTCCTATAGTTCCAGTGAAGATCAAGTCCAATAAGGGGAACAAGATCATTACCACATATGCTTTCTTGGCTCCAGGGAGTACAGCGGTTTTCTGTACAGAGGCCTTTATGCACCAGCTGGGCCTCACAGGAAAGAAGATCCGCATTCTCCTGCGCACAATGGGCCAGGAGAAAGTTATTGAAAGTCATATCGTGACAGGGCTGGAGGTTGCTGACTTGCATGAAGAGCACTTCTGCGAGCTACCAGATGCATACTCACAGAAACACATGCCGGTTCACAGAGGGAATATACCAAAACAAAGTGATCTTCTGAGATGGCCTCATTTAAAGAATGTTGATTTACCCAGAGTGGATGCAGGGATCGAGCTGCTTATTGGAATGAATGCTGCCAAGGTGATGGAACCACTGGAGGTTATTCGCAGTGTCAATAATGGACCATATGCCGTCAGGACAATGTTGGGATGGACGGTGAATGGACCACTGGGAGGAGACAGTGGTGATGGGATCGACTTTGAGCAGCCAGAACTATCTGTAAACCGGATTTCAGTTATGGATTTGAATGAACTCTGGCAGCGACAGTATAAAATGGATTTCCCGGAATGCAGTATGGACGAGGAACCTGGCATGTCAAGGGAAGATCATAAGTTTATGGAACTGGTCACAAACTCAACAAAGCAAGTTAATGGTCACAATCAGATCAGCCTACCACTGAGGAACAAGGACGTTAGCATGCGAAACAACAGGAAGATCATTGAGCAGTGCACCCTCCATCTGAAAAGGAGGTTTGACAAGGATCCTTTGTTTCATGCTGATTATATTTCTTTCATGACTGACCTTATTGCCAAAGGTTATGCCAAAAAGGTGCCAGAGGAGTAGATTGAATGCAGGGATGGCAAAGTGTGGTACATCCCACATCATGGGGTTTACCATCCAACAAAAAGAAAGATCCGAGTTGTCTTTGACTGTGGTGCGAGCCATCCCTTAACTCTGAACTCCTGCAGGGACCAGGGGCCTCATGTATCAACACTTGCGTGGGACTCATACCAGAAACGAGCGCATGCAAGTTCCGTCACGCTGAAAAAAATCCGTATGTATCAAGGTGTGCAGGCGCCGAAAGCCATGTGTGTTTCCTTGATAAATCCCAATCAGCTTGGAATTGAGTGCAGATGTCGGAGTGACCGGGCCCACCCCTGTTACGCCCTCCTATAAATATGCAGATTTATTTAAATAGGGTCTCCCTGTCCTCGCACGCAGACAAAATGACAAGAAAAACTAAATTTACGGCGTGCGAGGTGGAGGTGCTGGTGGCGGAGGTGGAGGAGCGACAGCGTGTTTTGTTTGGCAGCCTGTCCAGTGGCATCAATGCAAAACGAAAACGCTTGGAGTGTGAGAAAGTTTGCGAGAGGGTGAACGTGGTGGGTTCCGAGACACGCACCCCCGCAGAGATTACAAAAAAGTGGTCGGACCTCCAGGTGGAGGTCAAGCGGCGTACAGCTGCCCTCCGGAGGAGTACCGGCCAGACAGGTGGGGTTCCGGGGGAGGAGACCCTCACGCTGTTTGAGCAGCGGGTGGTGGCGATTATTATTATAGGGTAAGTGGCGTGTCACACAAATGTCCACATGCTTTGCCATCCCACTGAGCAAAAGACGTATATTAGACGTCTAGTCAAAGTTTATACTTCATTTCAACGTCGGGATTCAGTCTATTTTTAGACGTGATTTATACTTCGCCCTTAACTTCATTTTTCGATAACTGTTTATGCAATAAACAACTGTAATGTGCATAACTGACCTCTAAATACTGGATTACATTACCTATGATACCGTGAAGAGAGATGTAAACGCAACAGATACACAGAAGCAGGAATTGAAATGAAACAATATTTTTATTGTGTCACAGAAATCAATGTGTCGGCCGTGTCGCCGGCTTGTGGAACCCCGGCCCGGGGCAGCCCGTCCGCCGGCTCAGAGTCGTCGGCCAGGACCAGCGGCATTCGGGCCACCCCGGCCCCCGGCCCCAGCACCAGCACCAGCATCAGCACCAGCGCGGTGGAGCGTCCACCAGCCGCGGCGCTTCCGCTGGACCACCCAGACGCAGTGGAAGGGTCCTCACGGAGGCGGTCCTGCAATCGCAGGAAGAAATCATCAGGGGGATCGCGGGGATCAACGAGCGGCTGGACCGGCTCGTAAATGTCCTCGAGCGTCTGGTGGCGAAAATAAATTAATTTGCCTCATTGAACTGTGTATTCACTTCTTACCCATTCACACTGTGGCGATGAGATTCTCCCGCGCGAGGACTGCGGCCCGGCAGGGATCAGCTCGCATCCCTCCGTCTGCTGCTGGTTCGTCATGTGGGGCGACGTGCTGCTCGGCCACGGGGATGTGGTTCAAGCTTGTCACATAGTGAGTCACCAAACACCGCCACACAGCGTCGCCAAATTTCCGTCAACGCAAGTATCGGCTCAACGCCAACTTCTACACCACCTCCTCACTTTGCGTTGATTAGCGCTGGAACCGACGCTTGTGTCGCGATGATAAATCTGGACGTGTGCGCCGATCTTGGCGGACGCAAGGTTTTCTGGCGCTGCCAGTGTTGATACATGAGGCCCCTGATCTTACAAGTTCACTGATAGGAGTGGCGACCAGATTTTGGAAAGAACCAGTGGTGATCATGGCTGACGTGGAATCCATGTTTTATCAGGTACAAGTGCCAGCTGAGGATGCTGATTTGTTGAGGTTCCTCTGGTGGCCAAATGGGGACATGAGTCAAGACCTTGTCGACTTCCGAATGAAAGTGCATCTCTTTGGGGCGACCTCTTCCCCCAGCTGTGCAAATTTTGCCCTCAGAAGATGTGCTGAAGACAACAAAGCACGGTTCAGCTCAGAAGCAGTGGATAAGGTCCTGCACTGTTTTTATGTCCACGACTGTCTGGTGTCAGTGGCCTCAGAACACGAAGCAATAGCTCTGTATCATGAACTGGTCTCCATCTGTGCTGCTGGAGGATTTCATCTCACAAAGTGGATAAGCAACAGGCGTGATGTTTTGGCTACGATACCTAAAGGGCACAGAGCTAAGGAGATGAGAGGATTGGATCTGGAGCAGAACCTACTAACAGTGGAAAGAGTACTTGGTGTGGAATGGTGCATCCAATCTGACCCGTTCAAGTTCCGAATTGTCATCAAGGATAGACCACTCACCAGGGGCCTTATTTATCAATCGTGCGTAGAAAAGGTTCTATATTCTTGCGTAGGAATGAAATTTAGAATGTGCGTAAGTACAAAAAAATCCATATTTATCAAACGTGCGGACACCGGTCGTACACACACGTAAGTAATCGGTGATGATAAATCCCACCTGTTCTTTACTACCGTACTCGTGCATGGTTAGAGTCATTTGCATTCAGGAACGCCTCCAATTGACCATATATGGCATCAACAATCCCTTTAAAAATGCGTGTATGAATGTTTTTCCTCCTCCTGGAGGTGCACACTCACAGCGCTATTCTGCAGAATGAATGAGTCGTGCGTTCCTCCAGGCCACCGGGCAACAACGTTTAACAGAATCAAATGTGTATCGCAGATTATTTGTGCATCGATTGAATGAAATCTTTTCCTGTTGACAAATCTGAATTTATCGTGTGAAGGTGCTTTTATTGCGATGTGGGTGCAATCTATGGCTCCACTTATGTTTGGGAATCCGGCGATGGCGTGAAATCCTCGTTTTATTTCGGCTTGTTGCAGATGTGTGTTTGGGAACTGTATGTAAATTGAGGCCGGAGAAATTATTACATCCAACTCTGCCGGCATGATTCCGTTTAGCGTTGGCTGCGAAATATCGCATATGTCTCAAATCTCATGCTGAAATGTTCGGGTTAGGGTGGACAGGAGCTGGATGTGCGCTGGGATGGCTTTGGTGCGTTTTGTTTCTCGCTCCGACACGGGTGGTAAATCACGGCGTAAATCCATTAAAATGTTTTGGGGAAGCGGTACCTGCTGAGAATCCACTCTGAGTTTTCACTGAACAGATCAGCACGCTCTTTGAAAACGCGCTCCCAGCGGAGGAGCAGACGCTTCTCCAAGTCCTCCAATAGCGCAAAATAAACCGTGATACTTGTATTTGTACTTGTAAGAATTCTTGTGAGGTTGTCCTGTCACAGCAGATTTTTATAGCTTGTCTCACCAATCATTCAAAATGTCTGCTAAATTACTAATTGATAAATTTTGTATAGAGGCAACGGGAACATGTGTGGAGTTTGAGATTGGGGAACGCTGTGACTCCTTTAATGGGTTCTATTTGTAGTTTTACTGTCCTACCACTAGGTTTTGTGTGTACGCATGGTCACACAATTGAGTACAGCCACCGCACAGTCTGACTTGGACATGGAACAACGACGGAAATTAGAAAAGACCATGGAAATGTACAAGAGGAGCATGATTGCAACTTGCTTATTGGTGGAGGAACTGGAGAAGGCGGAACTAGAGATCATCAAGTTTTGCCAAATGAGAAGGGTTTCCGGAGGAGTTTTCTAAGCTGCAAAAGGGCTAAAGGGTGAAGGGTCACAGTAACATCTACACATTATGCCCCCAGATGGAGGATGGTGTTCTCAGCGTTTGTGGTCGGCTCAGCAGGTCATCTATGCCTACAGAAACTAAACACCCCATAATACTGGCCAAGGATTTGCATATTTCTGGACTCCTGTTACAACACATCCATCAAGAAGTTGAACATGGAGGCCGTAATTATATCTTGTGCAAACTTCATGCGAAATATTGGATCACTGGTGCCAGCACTGTCATAAGGAAAGTTTTGTCAAGGTGTGCTGTCTGTCGGCGGGTTTAATGCTCAGCCCATGTCCCAACAGATGGCAGACTTGCCAGCTGAAAGAGTGACTCCCGACGAGCCTCCATTCACTCGAGTTGGAGTAGACTATTTTGGACCCTTTGAGGTTAAAAGCAGGAGAACTGTGGTGAAAAGATATGGAGTAATCTTTACCTGCTTGGCCATACGAGCGATCCATATTGAGGCAGCAGCTTCGTTGGATACAGACTCTTTCATACACGCACTCAGACGCTTTATGGCGAGACGTGGACAAGTGCGAGAGCTGCGCTCAGATAACGGAACAAATTTCATAGGAGGAGAGCGTGAGCTGAGAACAGCAATTGAGCAATGGAATCAGTCTCAGATCAATGAAGCCCTCCTTCAGTAAGGAATAAAATGGACTTTTAACCCTCCGGCGGGTTCACACCACGGAGGATCTTGGGAGAGGTTGATAAGATCAGTACGGAAAGTGCTTAACTCCACACTGACAGTACAAAACCTGGACGAAGAGGGCCTTCACACTGTTCTTTGTGAAGCAGAAGCTATTATCAACGGGCAGCCCATTACCAAAGCGTCAACAGATCCTAACGACCTAGAAGCCCTGACACCCAACCATCTTTTACTTCTAAAGACTGTACCATCTCTGCCATCAGGAGTTATTCAGGAGACAGACATGTATGCCCGTAGACGGTGGAAGCAAGTCCAGTACATGGCAGACTTGTTCTGGAAGAGATGGGTAAAAGAATACCTACCGCAGCTGCAGGAGCGGCAGAAATGGTCAGGCGTGAAGCGCAACCTTATTCCTGGAGATATAGTGCTTATAGTTGACAACACAGCACCTCGGAATTCATGGGTCATGGGGAGAGTTCTGCAAACCTTTCCAGATAGAAGAGGATTTGTGCGTCAGGTGCGCATCAAAACTAAGAGCAGCTGTTTGGGCAGGCCAATAACTAAAGTCTGTCTACTACAAGAGGCAGAAGCTGGAGAAGACATGGCTGGTGCATCATGACCTCTTGACCTCCTTTCTTACTCTGACTCTGACTGACTCTGACTATACTGACTGACTGACTTGAAGTGATGGTAAAGATCACTCTGATTAAGACCATGTGCTGGTAACCTCTGGTCTTGCTGACTGACATATTTACAGGAAAAGATAAGAAGAAAAGAAGATTGCATCTTGAGGACCTCGAGTATTGATCTTAAACTATATCATGTCTCTTAATAATTTGTAATTTGAATAATTATTATGTAATAACTTAATAATTAGGGGCTGGGGTGTTAGAGCCATGAATAGATTTATTTTTGAAGTTGAATTATTTGGGTTGTCACATGTGGTGTTTGATATTGTTTGGGGTCATCACAGGGATTACATCACAGATAGGGCCGGTGATTTGTTATTAAGAGGACCTGAGCACACCTGGAATTTCATTTTGGTTTTGTGGAGAGCACGGGGGACGGGACGCCGTAATTTTTGTTGACCGCCACCGCCACCGTCACCGCCGCAGACTTTGGTTTTGTGAGATTGTTGTTTATTTTAGAGCCAAATTGGTAGTTGGCAGTTATTTCCCTTTTGTTTAATAAACCTTCAAACGAAGCGTATTTGTTTTGGCGTTTTTTTTGTTTGATTAAGGCAGCGCGTCGGACAGAGAGAGACCCGACTCCGAGCTCAAGCGACTTTTTTTGGTTCTGTCACTACACCCTCTAATACAAACTCCTATCTCCTGTCAATTTATTTCAAATACCGTTTTGGCTGCTGATTGAGTCCGACTGTTTTAACGTTTACTCACCTTTCTGCATTAAAGCTTTACAACCTGTCTCATGCCAGCTGCCTTTCCTGCTGTGTGATGTAAACATCGCTGATGGCAGGCGCTGTGTGTGGTTAACAACACGTGCTGTACCGTATAAAGGATGAGGAGAAGCAGGAAAATTTGAGGCATAAGAAATAGAGGATAAAAACTGTACGGTATGGTAACAAAATGCTTAAAGTTGCCGAGTTACATTGTGTTAAAGGCGACCTGCCATCAAAAATGTAATTTTGTGTGTTTTTGTGTCAGATAAGGTCCATATTATGTTCATCTTTTGTTGTAAATGTGAAAACAAACCGTTACGTCGTTTGCATTCTGTAAAGGTTTAAAATAAACGGGTAAACCAGGCCAATTGAAAAAGCAGGTCCTTCTGATGTCGCGCTGACCTTGCTCATTATTATTCACGAGTGCATCCTCAGTGAGCCGCGCCCACTCTCTCGTTCTCGTACCCAGTCACAGTCAACATCACTCTCCAGCCAGAGTGAGACCCAGCTACCACTGTATCCGCTATGGGTCTGTTCCAAACGACCGGTGTTTCCTTGGGTTCACTGCCGGGAAAATGAACTTAATGCTGGGCAGAATGAATGAAAACACCGCTGGAGATCTCTGGCTTCTTCTTCAACTTCCACCTCCTCTTCGGACTCGGGGTCTAAAATATATGGTTTAATACCTGCCATTTTTAGCCTTTAGCATAAGGTGACCAGACGTCCCTGATTTCCGGGTACAGTCCCCGAATTAGAAGACCTGCCCCCGGCAAAAGCTGTCCCTGAAAATGTCCCAGATTTAAGCGTTTTATGAATGAGAGCAAAAATGTTGCGTGTGGGCTTGAACAACGGTTATTACAGTAGCCGAATGCGTAGGAAGCACAAGTAAGCAGTCCTGAACAACAGTTCTTACGGGGGTTATTACAAGGGGAATGCGCTGCTACTAAATAGTACCGAGATTTTGTCTGTGATCACGCAGCCCCTGCATCCTCCTTGCCGCCGCTGCACCGAATATCCGCGGATATCATTACAGACATCTGGGGCCTCATGTATCAACCATAGACTGTATATAAGATGGACGCCGTCTGTCTCCTCGCCGAGTGAAGCCACTCCGAGAACAGCACCCCCTAGAGCCTGGCTGCAGTACAAGTCATAAACCTCGATTCTGCCAGCCAAGTGAATGGAGCGGCAGACGGCCTTTAGAAATTAATTTCACAGAAAATACACTTTTCTCACCCCCGACTGCGATGTTGACATGTAGTTATTATTAGACTGGTTTGTGTTCAGGTCTTTTTTTTCCTATGCAGCTCCATTTTAAAAAGTTATAAGGAGTTATAAAAACAGGAAATTGCATCATTCTCTACACTTTGCACTTGCTGCTTGTGTGTCGCTCTTTTTTGTTCATCGTCAAGGCCGATCGGGTTTGCTAGCGGAGAAGAGGATTACATTTTTTCCATCGTTTTTCTCTTTTATTGCATTGGAAAAATGAGTTGTTCTGCAGTAAACTGTGTTAACCGACATGTGAAATCAGGATCTTTGCAGTTGTTCCGGTAAGTTGTGTTTTTTTTTAATGAAGTCATCAGTTTGCTAGCTACATAACATTAAACGGTCTGGTTTAATTTAGCTAATGGGGTTTACTTACAGATACCAAGCAGTAAGTTCTGTGCCTTATTTAAGCGTTTTTATTAGAAGTTAAACAATGAGGAAACCCCTTAAAATCCGCCTTCTTTTTATAACAATATTATGACTACGTGACTTTGAATTTGAATTAAAAACCGTACCGATCACACAGATTCATACTAGCAACCAAATACTACCACAGAGTATCAGGGCATGAAATGAAAACTCGAGGCATGAAGTCATAATGTTAAAGGAATTAATTCGCATTTAAGTCATTCCCCTAATATTGCATCACTTTATGAGAACAAGGCCATGTAAATGAATATAATGAGAGTCATGATGTTTTGAGTCGAAGTTTTGGTAATGGATCAACCAGTTTACTCAGGTATGTTACAACGAGAGCAGCCTGCGCTAAAGTCAGGTATGGTTTAATTAAAATGCATCTTTCGGATGCACCGTCCTAGCTTTCTGGCAGAAGATTGACCGCCGGTTCAGTCTCCTCCGTACAGCGGCAGTAGTATTACAGCTTCTGGTGACATAACGATATTTGTCTAAGATAAACCTCTGAAACTGTCTTTAATGGGACAAAACGTCGAGAAAACGAGACCCTATAAGTGTATAGAAGGACATGCTCAAAAGATTACTTATACAAGTTGCATAACTGTTATTTATTTTATGTTATCAAATAACATACATAAGTCATAAGTATACTTCTGTGGAATGACAATTATCATTCACAGCAGCATGGTAGATCATGTCTTATTCAAGTTTTCAGGTTTTCAAGATAGATAGATAGATAGATAGTCTTTGAATTTAGAGTTTTGGCTTCAGCCTGTTTGCAACAAAGCAAGAATTAAACTGAACGCAAAACATTAACTTTGTGTTGTTTACAAACTTGACAAATGGCAGTAAGCAATGTTACTGTATTTTTGTAAAGTTTCCCTTTAGGTGACAAAGCGAGGCTGAAGCAGTGGCTGGTGAACACAAGACGGCAGGACTGGAAACCAACAGGATCATCACGTCTTTGCAGTGCTCATTATGAAGAGCATGCCTTTACTGTGGACTCAAAGGTTAAATTTTTTCTTTTTTAATGGACAGCAATTTTTATCTACTGGTCATTATTAGTTAGTGTCATCAGTCATTTTCAGTTTAAGTTGGCGCAGCCTGGAGTAAAAAAAAACAGGAATCATGTTGCAAAAAAAATTTGAGTGATACCACATGAACAGCTTCTCATGCTTAGACCAAATGTGCCCTGTTAGATAAAGGTAACAGCACTAGCCAAGTAGTAGTCTCTAAGAATGCTAACTAAATGAAACCTTTTAAATAATTGGACAAGTATATCAAAACCTCTATAGTTTTACATGCTGAGCTACCACCTGGTTTGAGACATAAGTGTCTTAATGAATTTAAGTGCTGGTATTCACAATTTAATTGATGAATTTCTTTGTGTTTTTCAGACTTCATCACCAACCACTGATGATATGGTGGATTCATCTGCTGCAGCCTGTTTCCTTTCCACCCAATGCAACTCCCAAAGTACTAGATTATATCTTTTTAAGTTCCTGGTAAAATAACAAACATACAGGTTTTCTGCAAAGGAGTTAAGTATTTATAAATCACAAATAAATACTAAAATGCTAGTGTCCTCTCACAAGTGTCCATGTCATGCTATCTGATTTACATTAATTACATGCTGTTCACTACACATATTGTCAGTTTGTTTTTTCAGTTTTACCACACTTCGTCTACTTCATGTTTTTTTCTTTTGATAGCTTTACATAGAAAAATAAAATTTTGAGACAAATACTCTGGAATAATAAAGCATATACTGTGTTTTTTCATCTGTGCTGTAAATCAGAAAATTTTATCATGGTACAACAAATCACAGAAAAGCATGTGAAGTTTCAACATTAATTTAATTTTTCCAACAATAAAAAACATCCCCTGCTACATTCGTCGTGGGGAAAACGCCTTGAGGAAGACCATCGGGTGGAATAGCTGGGGTATGGCAGAAAGTTTTAAGACAGAGAGAGAGAGAGAGAGAAGGAGGAAGAGCTGTGACAGAATTGAACAGTGTGATGGTTACCTTTGTAAAACAAAATTCACAAAATTGTGCTCGTGTAAACAATTAAACAAAATGTGCACATCAATCACAAATAAAGCAGATAAATCCTGACCATTTTTTGCTGCCTATTGTAGGTGAAATCCCAAATCTAGCACCACCCTACTAGATTTGGTCTTTCAAACACAAGGCAATATTATTTAAAAAAATGTCATTACCCAAAGGGGTGAAATGAACTCCATCGTTTAAAAAAAGGCCAGGATCTCTGTGCTTTATTTGAGGATGATGCACAATGCTTCCGCCAATAGATGAAACAAAAGTAGCCATCACACTGTTCACATAGCGCCTGGCTTTGTCCATTTTCTTGGGGCTGGATCTCCATCGGCTCCTCTGGGTGATGGCAGAGAAGATGATCCTCATGGTGGGGAACTGCCGATGGAGATCCTGGAGGTCCTGCTTGATACCCGCCACAAGCTTGATGGTCTTGGTGACCCCCAGGTCATTCCCGCTGCAATGGATATAAAGGACGTCTGGCACAGCTCTTCCCCGACAGCACTGATGAAAAAAAGGGAGGAAGTTCCTCCAAACCATGCCACCCCAGCCAAACCACAGGACACGGGCATCCAGACCAAGGTCGGTCCCGATGGTCTGCCTCGCTCTCGTTTCCCCACAACGAATGTAGCTGTCCCCAATGATGAATATATTTGGTTCTGTAAATGTATTGAACAATAAAAGAAAAAAAAAAGTTATTTTCCTACAAAACCTCGCATGGCTTGTGATTCACAAGCTGAATCACAAGCTGTATAATAATTTTTACAGTAGATATAATTTGGAATTGAAAACTTGAGCTTGCTCTTGTTACATCACAAAAAAACTATATATAACATTACCTAATAAAAGTCTCACTAAAATCATATCCAACTAAATCAACATCCATCTCAATGAATTATTATCCTTACTTCTGGTCACAGTGGCTGATGTTGTCGTGCTCATCTTTAAAGCTTCTTTTCTCTGTCTAAAAAAAAGAACAATATAAATATTTGCTGTTCATTCAGAATTTTGTTCATTTTTAATCACAGGACAATAGCATATATCTTAACAACTGATAAACTAAAAATATCACTTATTTTGCTGTTTAATTTACGAAGGCTATTGCTAAATTGCAATGCTACTTTAGCTTACATTTACACCGTTTCTTTCAACAAAGAGAGATGACTTACTTCCAATCAAGTAATAGATGATATCTTTATTCGTATTAGTTATGATGGTATTTTATGTTCTTAAAAGTTAGTACGCTCACAAATGTCACATTATATCAGGAGAAGTGGAACTTACTTATTCTTGGTCGCGACGAGCGGGGAAGCTATTAGCGATACCGATGTAAGGCTGGAAGGACATCCGGGGGGGGGGCACTTATTGAGCGGAACGTCATCGCGCCGAGTCTCCCGTCCAGCCAAAAACGTCTGCGTACAACGCTACTGCGCAGCTCTGGTTGCAAGGAACCCAGAATTACCGAGAGCTTTTTGGCTTCAAATCCGTATACAGGCGGAAGGCGGAACCACGGCGTCCATCTTATATACAGTCTATGGTATCAACACTTGCGTGGGACTCATACCGGAAACGAGCGCACGCAAGGTCCGTCACGCTGAAAAAAATTTGTATGTATCAAGGTGTGTGGGCGTGTTTCCTTGATAAATCCCAATCAGCTTGGAATTGAGCGTAGATGTCGGAGTGACTGGGCCCACCCCCGTTACGCCCACCTATAAATATGCAGATTTATTTAAATCCCTGTCCTCGCACGCAGACAAAATGACAAGAAAAACTAAATTTACGGCGTGCGCGGTGGAGGTGCTGGTGGCGGAGGTGGAGGAGCGACAGCGTGTTTTGTTTGGCAGCCTGTCCAGTGGCGTCAGTGCAAAACGAAAACGCTTGGAGTGGGAGAAAGTTTGCGAGAGGGTGAACGCGGTGGGTTCCGAGACACGCACCCCCGTGGAGATTAAAAAAAAGTGGTTGGACCTCAAGGTGGAGGTCAAGCGGCGTGGGGGGGGGTTGTCGCCGCTACCCGTGGCGACTCAGACAGCCTGCCGGAGGGTAAGTGGCGTGTCACACAAATGTCCACATGCTTTGCCATAGATGTAAACGCAACAGATACACAGAAGCAGGAATTGAAATGAACCAATATTTTTATTGTGTCACAGAAATCAATGTGTAGGCCGTGTCGCCGGCTTGCGGAACCCCGGCTCGCGGCAGCCCTTCCGCCGGCTCGGAGTCGTCGGCCAGGACCAGCGGCATTCGGGCCACCCCGGCCCCAGCACCAGCACCAGCGCGCCGACAAGCGGTGGAGCAACCACCCGGACCCAGTGGAAGGGTCCTCACAGAGGCGGTCCTGCAATCGCAGGAAGAAATCATCAGGGGGATCGCGGGGATCAACGAGCGGCTGGACCGGCTCGTATATGTCCTCGAGCGTCTGGTGGAGAAAATAAATTAATTTGGCTCATTGAACTGTGTATTCACTTCTTACCCATTCACATTGTGGCAATGAGATTCTCCCGTGCGATGGCGGCAGCCCGGCAGAGATCAGCTCGCATCCCTCCGTCTGCTGCTGGTTCGTCATGTGGGGCGACGTGCTGCTCGGCCACGGGGATGTGGTGCAGGTGTGCCACATTATGGAGGACGCCACACGCCATCACAATGCGGCACACCTTCTCCGGGCGATACATGAGCATGCTGCCACTCCGGTCCAGACAGCACCACCGACCCTTTAACTGGCCGATGGCTTGTACCTCCGCTCTCGGTCAGTGTGGGGGTTGTGGAGAGGGGTCATCAGCCAGGTCCTGAGGGGGTAGCCACTGTCACCTTCAGGAAAAGCACAGTGTGTCAAGTCTTGGGCTTGATGCTTTGTAATAATAGCAAGCAATAAGCAATCGATAACCCACAACATCCATCGAGTACTCCCAATCAAACACAGAGTACAATACACCAGTGTTGAACACATTTGGTTCAAGTCACTGATGCACGTCGAGTTTCTTGAATAACATTATATCATTACGTATTTACTCACCCAGCAGCCACCCGTCCGTCACTGCACCTGCCTGGAACCTCTCCCCAACAGTGCTGTTGCACAGGATGTGCGAGTCGTGCGTTGAACTGGGCCACCTCGCAACAATGTTGGGCAGATTCATCTGCGCATCACAGATGATCTGCACATTGATCGAGTGAATGCCTTTACTGTTGATGTAAGCGTACTCGTCATCGGACGGTGCTTTTATGGCAACATGAGTGCAGTCAATAGCTCTGATTACGTTTGGGAATCCGGCTATTGCTGCAAATTGCGTTTTAATATTGGCCTGTTCAACCGCACCGTAGGGGAATTTGATGTACCTGCAGGAGAGGTGGATCAGCTGGTCCACCACCGTGGGCATGGTCCGGCTGATGGTGGGCTGGCTCACCCCAGAACGGTCCGCCATCTCCCGCTGGAAGGAGCCTGTGGCCAAGAAGCCGAGTGTGCCCAGCACCAGCGTTGAAGGCACCGCTCGGCTTCTGGCCGTTGTGCACTGGAGCGCACACAGCTCCAGGAGGATGGCCCGCGGTAGCCGGAACCGGCTCACGAGCCACTCGTCTGAGTTCTGGAGCAGGTCCTCCCGCTCCATGAAGTGACGCTCGCGTCGGATTGCACGGTTTTTGATGTCCTATAGGAGAGCAAGTGCTGCCATTGTTGAAAGTTGTCTTCTCTATTTGTAGTTGTATTCTGCACGAGTGACGGTTCTTTTATAGCCCCTCCAGTAATGCCGACAGGTATTCGTGTTTGTGTTAATGTGTTAACACAAACACGAACACCTGTCGGCATTACTGGAGGGGCTATAAAAGAACCGTCTGTTTAACAGTTAATCCACTGCGATGTGTGAACGCTTGTCACATAGTGAGTAACCAAACACCGCCACACAGCGTCGCCAAAGTGCCGTCAACACAAGTATCGGCTCAACACCAACTTCTACACCACCTCCTCACTTTACGTGGATTTGCGCTGGAACCGACGCTCGTGTTGCGATGATAAATCTGGACGTGTGCGCCAATCATGGCGAACGCAAGGTTTTCTGGCGCCACCAGCGTTGCTACATGAGGCCCCTGGGCCCCTTACTTCAGCAAACATTAGCAATGTAGCAATCAAGACAACCCTGGGTGTGAAACCCACACATTCCTCACAGGAAAGCTTCCTTATCTGGTCCCAGGAAACAGGATATAAATCTTTCCAGACTTGTTTGCAGGTTGACTAAACCTCTGACTCTTCATGATTGGTCAGTTCGGAGAACAAAGACAGAGTTTTTATTACCTTTCAAACTGACTCCATTGCTGACCATCTAAATAAACATTAACGTCTCAACCCAGATCTCCCATTTGAGATTTACCTTCTTAAAGTGTGTGAACATACGGACCCCAGGATAAGGGGGGGCACTGACCTCCAGACCTCGGTCGTAAAACCCTGTTTGACCATACACTGATAAAGACTACATTCCTTTGGTGAAAGAATACAAATGACTGATCCTGACATCTTATGCATTCAGCAATGCACTAATCTGTCTAATCATGAAATTTGTGTTAAAATGAGATGTTTCCCATTTTTCTATGTGCTCCAGAAGCCGAGTTATCGCTCTTTAGTTTCTTTAGACCAACAGCTTTTCAGACTGTTTCATGAACTTTTAAGAGTTAAATTGATCGACTATGAATCATAACTTAACTCTAGGTAACAGAAATAGTTTAGAAATGTTTGGTTTATATTTTAGTTGTTTATTTAGTATTTTTAACCATTAGGTGGTTATAATGTCATTGAATAATCTGAATGTGAGTATTTAGAATCCATTATTAATCATGATGAAGTTCATTCACATGTGTTTACTCTTTTGTTGTTCACAGCTTCCATGTGTTACTATCTGTTCCATTTCAGAGTAATTTAGCATGTTCAATGTGATACTTAAAACATAATGAGAATGTTTGATGTGATCCTACACTTCATTCATATGTGTTTAGTATCAAATTATTTATCATGAAACCTAGCATTCAATGATATTAATCATAGTGAGTGAGTATCAGATCTGACTCTTTTACCCGCCAAAAGAATAAGTTAGATCAGATAATCAGAGATCCGATGTCTCCTCTGCTTGGAGACCACACGACCCCTCCTGCTCTTTCTCCTCACACACACACCCCAGAGACACTCCCAGTGTGAGAAGATAAAAACCAGTGAAGTGGGGTTGCCCACTCTCTTCTGCTGACTCTCTTGTCCCCGACTCTTGTACTCTTGTACTCCTGGCTCATCCTTCGGCTGACTTCAGTCGTCTTCTGAGCTGAACCGCTCGAACCGCCAGTAGCCCCGGACCTTCGGAACCTGTTCCATCTTCTCCAAGGACCAGTCTCACTTAAGTATGCAAACCTCCAGAGTTCCAAACAGGGCTGGTGCTGTCTCCTGCGTTCATAACTCAGATATCCACTTATTCTGGTAATCTTAGATTCCTCCAAATCCACATCCGAGTTTATCTCGACACCAAAGTTATTGTAGGTTAATATGTTAGCGCATATTCACTCACTATCATTAACTTTAGTGCTCCTAGCCTGACTCAGAATCTTTATTTATTCACCTATTATTATTTTATCCTCATTATCTTATCATCATTTATTGCATGTGTGTTGTACCATCAGTTATCCTGTAATAAACAGATCATTATTTTTCTAAGTTCCTGTCTGTTAGTGTTCTTCCAGAAGTGGAGTCCCTGAAATTAGAATTTCGACTTAAGATATGAGACTGATTAATTAAAACTGACTTGATGTTTGATTTCTGAATTAAACTTTTGTTTTCTTTATTTTCCCACCATTGAGGGTGGGTGGTGCCCCTTTCAACGAGTGCATAAATGTCATAATTTGAGATTATTAATCTTCAGACATTTATTATAAATTCCAATCGCTACAGTATTATTTTGGTGCGGCCTTGTGAGGCTCATTTCAACCGCTACAGCAAAATGGATAAACCGAAATCCAAACCTCCACTCCTGAGCCAATCATTGCACAGCAGGCATCACAGCAGCGATCCAATCAGAGCAAAGCTCATTACCATAAATGTAAATGAGCCAAAATCAGTTGGTTTTCCTGTAAGGTTTTTTAGGCATACTAAAAACAAACCGTCAAATAACTTTTCAGCTAAAATTATGTTGCAAACATGATCAGAGGACATCAAGGATTATGAAAAAATGATAAACATGGGTATGAAATTTTGACGGCAGGTCCCCTTTATTACAGGTTTCCTTCATTTCTTTTGAGGAGTGTATTTATTGCATAAATACTTCTCAGAAGTTGGACATATTTGCATTTTACTTTTGAGAAATTTTAAAAAATATTAAGTTGAGGAGTTACTGGACTTCTAATAGTCAAACAATATTTGCTCAAGTTATTAGAATTACAACCAAAACCAAGCTTGATGCATTTTAATTTTCACACGTGAATACGATAGTTTCTTTTGTGAATTATGCTGACAGAAATATCACTAAACTTAATCTGAGTTGGATGTGTAATGACAGGACTTTAATGTTACTCATGTTGCGCTCAAATAAGTGATTTGCCAATAGGTACAAGAAAAAAAAAAAAAGATCCCGGTCCCAGATAAAGCCTTTTAGATGTAAAATGTCATCCTCCTTTTAAAATTGATAATGCATTACCAAGATAGGATTTAGGCCAAAAACTTTTTGTCGTCAAAAAATGACATGGGTCATTATTTTAATAGGGTGATGTCAAAACAAACAAACAAACAAAAAAAAGACAGGGCTCAGTTTCAGTTTCTTTATTGAAAATCTGCATCAGCTATGCATCTGCGATGGTCACCTCAACCTCCACACCGGGCTCGATGCTGATGGAGGTGATCTGCTTGACAATCTCAGACGGGCTGTGCAGATCAATCAGGCGCTTGTGGATCCTCATCTGGAAGCGATCCCAGGTTTTGGATCCTTCACCACAAGGGGTCTTCCTGGTGGTGATACGCAGAGTCTGCAGAGAGACAGTAGAGGACAGACTTCAGTGGGACCAATGTAAAAGAACGTGGTGGTGTTATGTTAAAGGTTGCAACTGCCTCAGATTTTAGTGCTGGTCTCTGCATCTGTGTACTCCAGTACCTTGGTTGGCATGCGGACAGGTCCCTTCACCTTCAGGTTCTTCTCCTTGGCCCCACGAATCAAGTCTGCGCACACTGAGAAAACAGAAAACTTCAGCACGAAGATCTGACAGAAACATTCAGCTGATGGTGTTAAAACCATGGCTCAGAATAGCGTATACAGTCGTCAGGGTTCTTCGGATATTAATTATATCCTCATAGCTCAGGTCTGCTTCAGCTTCAACTCAAACCACTCAAAGTGGACTCACCCTTCTCCAGAGACTTGACGTTACGGCTGGTGAGGGTAATGCGGATACGGTGGATGGCGACCTCGGTCTCAACGGGTGCCTTGCCTGTGTCCTTGAAAGCCTGCAGGTGTAAAACAGAGATTTGAAAACTAATAAAATCAACCCAGAGAACTTTGAAACACAAAACTTTGGAAACCTCTTGTTTTTAGAAGGGTACCATACAAATGAATTATAATAACTTATTTAGGATATAATTTTGCTTTACAAACTGAGTGTTAACTGAAATTTTCCAACGTGCCTGTCAAAACAGCCAAATCACAGGTCTTTTGACGTGATCCAAAATGGATTTAATATTTTAAAAGACCTCCAACTTGACTGTAGACAATTATAAAAGATGAAAAAAAAAGCCACACGTCAGTAAGACTGATTTTTCTGCTCACACAAACCCACTGTCTAAAGTCCAATGTAATAAAATTTAATGACATATTTTAACACAAAATAATGCAAATTATGATGGAGCCAAATCACAGTCACTTCCAGGCAGTTCATGAGGGTCACTATAATGATTGAGGAGTTACAACATTTAAAAAAAAGGAGGTGCGTGTCTATTGTTGGGGAGAAGTTATGGAACAATACTCAAAATGAAAAGCCTGATCCCTAATGGTTTTCTAAAAATGGTTTGTAAAACTGATTTTGGAGCTCTTTAAAGTTGATGATATACCAGTTACGCAATGAGATGCAGATTAGAGTTCAGGGCTCTCAAGTCTCACGCATTCAGCATGTGACACACGCTTTCCCACCCGTTCACACGCCACACATTGTATTTCTCACGCACTTAAATGACCATGGTGATGTCCACCAAGTTGCACCTCTTTAACTATGGAACAGGTAGAAATCAACTGAGTTCCTCCGAGAGTTCAGAAGCTGCGTGCCACGCGCAAGCCAATCAAATAAAGTATATCTACTGAACAGCAAATTAAAAAACAGCATTGCTGTATCCGGGTATTTTGATATCTTGCGGTTTGACTACAGAAGAAGACAGACACTCGCCGTAATAGAGCAGGTTTCATAAGGACGAGAAAGACCCGATGATTACAGTAACTCAGTGACCTACACATGCAGAGACCTCAACACCTCATGGCATATAAACTCATAACCCCCCCCCCCCCCCAAGGAAATCTCACTCTAAGCTTTGCTCTTAGAGTGAGATCTCTTTGCATCATATTTCCCCCACAACCTCATTCACCGACCATGACAACATGACACAATAATTCTGTTTGCGAAACAAGACAGCTTGTTAGCGTTAGCAAATAGCATGCCGGGATTTTACCGCGTTAAACTCACTTTTTAGACCAAGGACACACCGTAAAAATATGCCCAGGACGGGAACATAAATTACAATTTAAAAACACATACCATTGTGATTATTCCTGGCCGACTTATTCGGGAAAATCTTAAACGAACAGCGGTGAGCCAGGAACGACTGCTACCAAGCTATCAACGTGGTTAGCTCCTCACGGAAAGACTGATCAAGGGCCTTTTCCTGTCTTATGTACTGTTCATCCGGGTAAGTGCTTCTTCTTCTCTGGTGTCAGCTCACAGTGGCGCCAAGTGGCCACCATAGACATAATAAAAGATAGACCCCGCATCGGCCGCTACCATGAATGGGCGCTGTCGAGAAATGCGGCCGCCATCTTGGTCCGGTCATCCGCCTCACTCTGCACCGCTGTTTAACCGGCGGAATGAAGTCTGAGCGCATTAAAGGAATCATAGTTCGCTCAATACTACGTAATTTTCTTCTCTGCAAACGCCATTCAAAGAGGCATGATAGAGGCCATATTTTTTTGGCGTTTTCAAATACTCAGAATGAATAAAATGATATTTTAGAACATGACAGCAGTGGCTGTATTATAGTATAACAATTAATCAAGTATATATCTAGGTTTAGAGCTAGGTTCCTGCTATGTCTCAATAATTATTAATAACTGGCGGTTTTAATAGGCCAATTCATTATATATTGATTTGATTATATTTTATTTAGTTTAATTTTATTTATCCATTTGTAGACACACACAAATAATGTCATATAGAAGCACTATTTTAATAACTGGAAAATACACACAAAGAAATACACACAAATATATAGCCTACATATCAAAAAAATTTAAACACAAGAACAGCATGACAGGACAGCATCTAAACTACATATCAATTTGCTTGTTGGCTACACAGCACAGAGGAATCACTTGCTGCGAACTTCTCCCTCTAACAGCAATCTCCCACTTCTTCCTCAAGTTTTTGTCCTTAGGAAATCTTCAAAATGAAACAGGAGATCACCACAAAGAAATCTTTAATAGAACAGATAATAAAACAGAGCTCACTTTCTTCCTTCTTCTTTCTATTTTATTTCTTAACGTTTCTTAGAACCTCTCTCAAACAAAAGTTTTTCAATCTAATGCAAATCTGTTGATAATAGAGCAAAGTTGCTATTATTGTGAATAAGCTAGCTGTTCGCAAATGCTGTTTCCTTTTTGGAGTTGACCTATAGTCTTCCTCTTTGGCCAACAAATGACTCTACAGTCATTCAGCAACGTTTAATCATAACTGTGGAAAGTTATTTCTTGAGCCCTGTTCTCTGCTGTCCGCCTGTTGGCACAGGAATACGCCGCACAGTGCTCCGGCATCGCTGAATGAATGAATGAATGAATATGATTGACCGGAGCGTATGGGAAGCTTGACCTGACCAAGATGGCGGCCGCATTTCTCGCTGCGCAGCACCCCCAGCGGGGTCTACCCTTTTATTATGTCTACGGTGGCCACTGGCCAGAGCCTTCGAATTCGCCAATTTAGACGAGCATTGCGTACTGATTTGCCCCAAAACACTGCAAAAGATACCATCCCGAAGGGGGAAACTTTTCAGAAATCTGGGAGCAGCTAGAGAAACTGTTCTTAACACGTGCACACTGCTGAATCTGGAAGATTGGAACAACATGAAGAAGCTACTGCAGTATCTGCAGTTCTTTGGAATATAAATAAATTTTTATGCTTTGTTCAGAGTTAACCAAATTACAATTCCAAACATAGCAGAATCAGTTCAATACAGTAATTTAAATATTGAAATAACGTGTCAGTGAGAAATACTTATATGGGATATGGGAAAGCGACGATGCATGTTTAGACAGGGGGGAAAAAAACACAGTAGGCAAATAAAATAAAGTAGATAGTGAAGCAGTCCATTGGAATATACAACAGAATATGATCCAGAGCCAACAGATATCGCATGTAAACAGCATAGGGCAGCAATACACCTCGGATGCGTCAAGTCTGCCAACCCCCCCCCCCCAAAAAAAAACAAAAAAAACAAAAAAAAACAAAAAGTGCACTTGAAGTGGTATTAAGATTGCTTAACAACATATGGGACACAGGCAAACTGCCGTCGACATGGAAACAATCAGTTATAGTATCAATACTAAAACCAGGTGAAGATTCATCAAATCCCTCTAGCTATAGACCTGTTGCATTAACATCACAGGTAGGGAAACCTATGGAACAGTTGGTGACAGAGAGACTGTCACATTTTCTTGAGAGCAAATACATTCTCTCACATTACCAGAGTGGATTTCATAAGGGAAGAGGGATGATGGATAATGTCTTGTGTTTAGAGTCAGAAATGAGGAAAGCTCAGACCAACAGAGAAATGGTGATTGCAGTACTTTTGATATTGAAAAAGCATATGATATGTTATGGAAGGAGGGACTACTCATCAAACTCAATAAATTACGTGTAAACGGAAAACTGTTCAACTGGATGTTAGATTTCATGTTTGGAAGAACAATAGAAGTTAAAGTAGGTACAGAATATTCTCAAATATATCAAGTTGAGAATGGAATACCACAGAGAAGTGTCTGCAGTCCAGTCTTGTTTCACATCATGATCGATGATATTTTGTTTTCTGTTGCAAAAACACAAGGGATATGTTTTTCTAGATGTCACAAAGAGATCTCCCTGAAATTATATGGTCAACAAATTGAGCAGGTCAGTGTCGTTAGACTGCTTGGAATGTGGTTGGATGAAAAGCTGACTTGGAGGCAACACATTGACAAAGTGAGGGATAAGTGTAAAAATGTCAACAATCTCTTAAGATGCCTTTCAGGAAGACACTGGGGTGCAGCCAGAGCGTCACTGCTAAATATATATCAGGCCATTGTTAGAGCAACACTGGACTATGGTTGTATAGGCTATCTAGAAGCAGCAGAAAGTCATCTGAAAAAGCTGGATGTGCAGCAGACACAGGGACTGAGGATATGTAGTGGAGCATTTAAATCCTCTCCAGTAGCAGCCATACAGGTAGAAACAGGGGAACAACCATTACAGATCAGGAGAATGAAACTGCTGTTAGCTTACTGGGTCAATCTTCAAGGGCATAGTACTTTACATCCCGCTAAAGCCATCCTGGAGGACTGTTGGGAACATAATGAATCTAATATAATGAGTTTTGGGTGGATAGGAAACATAAAAGCAGTACAAGCAGGTTTAGGTCACATACAAATCAGTCCGATGGTCCCATATTCATATTCTCATATGACCTCCCTGGTTATTCATAGAACTGTCAGTAAACTTTGAAATACAGCAACAATTGAAGAAAAGGAAAACAGGAGCTGCTGTTTTCATTCCACACTACAAAATACATGTTAAGAAAAGAACCAGAGACCATTTATCAGTATATACAGTTGAGTTAGTAGCTCTCATTTTAGGTTTGGAGAGGATAGAAGCAAACAATCATAAAAATACACTAACAGCATCAGACAGCTGGGCAGCTCTTACAAGTATCAAAACCATGAAGTCATGTAGGCAAGAACCTGTATATAAAATACATAATGTACTTCACAGAATGCACAAGAGGGGTTTGACAATTTGCTTCATTTGGGTTCCTGCCCAAGTAGGGATAGAAGGGAACGGAGTTGATTTTCTGGCCAAACAAACACTCAAATCACACACTGTAGATACAGAAATTCCTTTATGTAAGGCAGAGGGTAAATCAATAATCAAGAAACATATGGAGAAAGTGTGGCAAGAATACTGGGACATCCAAGACATGGGAAGACACCTTCACAATATACAGCAAAAGGTTGGGTTGGGAAGAAGGAGGGGCAGGAGCCAAAGGGAAGAAGCAGTCATCACACGACTTAGGATAGGACTGAACAATACACTATGTAAGATAGGAAAACACCCTGATGGCAGATGTGATCAATATGGGCAGGCTGAAACCGTCCAGCATGTGTTGTTGGATTGTGGAGGATATGAAGAGGAAAGAAGGACACTGGCAGCAGCAGCAGAGGAGGAAGCCAGGATGGAGCTGAATATGAGGAACCTGCTGGGAACAGAGTCAGAAATTACGCTCAAGCATATAATGGCATATTTGAAAAATACAGGGCTAATGGAGAGTATCTAATTCCCTTATTTAGTTATTATTATTATTATTATTATTATTATTATTATTTATTTTTATTTTATTTTGTCTGCCAATTTACTGTTCCACACTCCAGTCCAATAAGTGGCGGTAATGCACCTTCAAGTTGGTTTGCCAACCGCCAATAAACTCCATTGAAGAAGAAGAAGAAGAAGAAGAAGATGAAGAAGAAGATTTCTGTTCCAGGAGAACACAGTTTCACTTAAACTTGGACACTGAACTTTATTTCACTAAGTGTCATGGTGTCCAAACACAGGCCGACGGGGGTACAGGGGTTCTGTGAACATTACTGTCTGCCAATCGAACTGGAGATGAATGGAGCCGGACTGACGCTGTGAATACGGAGATGAATTTCGGTGTCCCCGCTAATTCAATGCTGCTTTTTCGTGCCTGCGACGAGGGGGACTATGACACCGCCCGGGGGATCCTGGAGCCCGGAGTTCCGAAGGATTCCGGGCGGCAGAGCAGGCTGCGGTCGGAGGCTGGTTCGGAGTGCAGCCCCGCGGACATGTTGTCTCTGGTACCGGTGGACTGTACGGACGAGGAGGGCAACACCGCCCTACAGTTCGCCTCTGCAAGTGGACATGAAATCCTGGTCCGGTTTTTGCTTCGAAAAGGGGCTTCGGTGGACAGCCGCAACAACTACGGCTGGACCCCGCTAATGCAGGCTGCCAGGTGGGGCTGACGGCTGGAGTCCACTGTAGACAAAACCCCATTAGAAAGTCTGCCAAATTCTAACAACACACCTTAATTTCGATTGAGAAACACCGAAGATGTATTATTAGAACTTCCTTTTTAAAACACAAAGTTTAATGATGAAAACTAATGTTTTCTGTGGTTATTAACCACTAACATTTCTTATTATAACCGCTTGGGGAGAAATTACCAGAAGGATGTGTTATGATTATACAGGGGTCTAACTTTTATTGTTTAAAAAAAAAAAAGAGTTAAACGTGTGGGAAATGAGGCCAGTTTCAGTTTGATTGAGCCATATACAGAGGGGATAGCGACCCCCAACTGCAAAATCCACACATTTTAGTCCAGCCATAAGAAGTTCGGCTGTATTGTACTCAGTATTGGAACCCTTTTAAAACACAACAGTCTATGTTTATTTGGCTTCAAAATAGTGTGTCTTCTAGCAAAAATATATAACCCAGCTGACTTCTGACAGTTGAATGTTTTATTGTAATTATTTTACATTGAATTTGTGAGAATGGGGCTGTTTTTTCAGCTACATGGATGACACATACACCTGTACTGGTTTCAGGCATTCAAAATGATGGTACAAAAAATTTTTTTTTTTCCTTTCGGCGATTATAAAAAGATACCTATATGAACTTTATGTTATTTCATAGATGTCAAAAACTCCCCACAGAAGCTTCAAATGCCCTTTTCTTATAGTAAAGTACACCAGGGTTGAGACTTTGATTCAGATGAAGAGGGTCATTGACTGGTTATCATTCTTGACATGTTATTTGATGAATTTGAAGTAAACTAATCTGTTATTCTCACAGAAAAAGAACAACTAATGGTGACTGCAACAAAACCTAGAATGCCTTTGTGCCCAACATTATTAACAGCATGAGAGTTTAGTCAGGTGAAAGAGAGGATCTTTAATTATTCCTACAGAGTTTGCATAAGTGCTTGGATTTCTACCAAAAGCTCAAATTTCCTTTTTCTCATTTTAAGACACAAGTGTTGTGTGCAAGGTTTGGATTTTAAGGCAAAAGTCCTCACTAAAAGTTCACACTTTGGAGTGACATCTCACAGAGCAACAGCACTAACGTCTCTGAGTCATTTTCTGTCTTAATCTCTCCATCCAGGTTTGGTCACCTGACTGTTGCCCACATCCTCCTGGAAAACGGGGCAGAGATCAATGGGCGGAACAGGTTAGGAGCAAGTGTCCTGACTATGGCAGCCCGAGGGGGACATACTCATGTACTAAAGCTGCTTCTAGAGAGCGGTGCATATGTGGATGACTATGATCATCTTGCTGTCGCTGCAAACTTAGACTCTAACGGAAACAACAAGAGCTGCAGGTTAGACTCTAAGCTGAAAGTTACTCAAGATATCATTAAAATAAAACCTTGTTTCATGAACCACAGTTGAATTTCCGTTCAGGGATCAATGTTCTTTTTCTTTCTGTCCACAGTGGGACTGGTTATGGAGCCGCTGAAGGCTGCCCTGGAGGAGTAGGCAGAGAGTTTATGGATATCATAGCCCTGATGGTGGCTGCTCAGTTTGGACATGAGGCCACAGTGCGTTTGCTGCTGGAGTGGGGATCTGATGTCAACTTCTCCCAGAAGATCACAGGCTGGGGACCACTGATGGTTGCAACACTAAGTGGGAAGGTGGGCTTGACGGATGTTTAAGATTCTTTTGCATTGTAACAAGGGATATAAGAGTTTAAAAAATGTTAAAGGGTAAGGGACGAATCTAATAAGTGGGATGAAAAATGCAAAGCAAAGGTAGGCAGTGCCAAGGAGGCCTCTTTGGACTTGTGTTTTGTCTGTAGGTGTACAGACATGACAGCAGCAGGTGAATGTTTTACAGCTGGAGGTGCACCACCAGTCTTTCCATCACAAGGACAAAACCTGAGCCGCCGGACAAAGAAGATTTGAATTCTTGCAAAATGATCTGGTTGGAAGACAAAGCAGAAATCCTGTTTTATGACATCCTTGTTATTATTCACTAGGAAGCACAGCCACAGACCAATTACATGATTATCTCTCTGGCAGTTCACAAAAATAGTTGTGTGTTTTGAAGGTGTCTGTGGCTCAGCAGCTGGTGGAGCGAGGAGCTGACCCTGACAGAGTCAACGTCTTGTCTATGACGGCCTTTGAGCTGGCCATGCAGCTGAAACAGAGAGACATCAAGGCCTACCTGGACTCCATCACGACTGTCCGACCTCAGACAGGTGAGAGTCATCACCTTAACAGTCATGTTTGCTTTATTATCAAATTGTCACAAAAATACGAGCAAAGCATCCTAAACAACGCAATCAGTATAAGAGGGAGAATGATGTGGTTAAATAGAGACAGATTTCAAGTGAGTCTGTTACAGTTTATTGTATTCTCCTGGGCCCTAGGATATTTCTCTTTTTGAAGTTATCATTATTGCATGTCAAAATTAATATTGTTTGTAAAATGTAGGCCAGTGTAAAAAAAATAATGTTTGAGCATGTTTTGGGTGTGGAATTGAGCAGCGGTCTGAGCAGTTTATAATACATCTGAGAACCTTTTTCTAAAACAAGGCGAAAAGAGAAATTTAAAAATGTTGATCTGTTTCCACCAGGTTTTGTCAAACAACAGTGTGTCTCTGACTCTAAGGTGTGGATGTATCTGCACTGCAATTCACACTGCTGTGAGAGTGAAACCAACAGTGGTTCCCGGCCTCTGTCATGTTTGTTTGCCCCTCTCACCAGTACTTCAGGTTACAGCTGTGTTGGCTTAAAAAATCAGGGGAAGTAAGGAACTAAAAGTGGAGATGTAACAATATCAAAATTTTACAAAACAATAATATTGCAATAACAATTGTTGTTACAACAATAATAATCCTTATTTCTTCTTATTTTTTGTTGTTGTTGTTATATCAATAATAATGATAATAATAATAATAATGATAATAAAAAAAGTAGTTAGAGATTAGGGGTGTAATGATTCATTTTGACAACGATTCCATTAGTAGTAATGTGATTTGTGGTTGCCAATTCGATTTAAGAACAATTCTGGTTCATTTAGAACAATATGTTCTGAAATGATTCAGTAACTTGAAATCGATTCAGTAACTTTTAGCCAAAAATTTAACCAGTGTGACTATGAATTAAATACCTGGATACTGGACAGTGCAGGTGAAATTTCCTAGATTCCTATTGTTCCTTGTAAGGGAATCAGGTATAAATTAATGATGGTTATAAACAAAGAAGTAAACAACATTTAATAGCAAATGCATTCACATTTTATTTGAATAAAGTGCAACCTCCACTCCAGGTTGAATTAACAGGGGATTAACCTTGTCTGTTCTCAACTGAAATACTCAATAATTTTTTAACGAAAGTACATTAAGTACAACCAACATCTCTTCAGGTTGAATTAACAGTAGGTTTTCCTGCTACTTCTGCTGTTGTTTTTCAGCATAGAAATAATATAAATACAACATACAATGGACTGTAATGGTGGCTTGATCATTTCTCGCTTGCCGACTTCTCCGCCGCCATCTGCCATGCTATGTTTTTTTGTCTTCTGCCACGTGGCGATGACGTCACAGACAGGTAGACTGAATTGAGTAATGCTTCACATATTTATTACTTAAAGTGCAAAAAAACCCACATCGATGTACAGTGTGCTGTGCTTAAATCTATTGGGTTATTTCTTAGGCCCGAACTACACGAATGCGGATATATTTCAAACCGCACATATTTATGTCTGATTAGGCCTCCCTACCACACCAAAACGGGAGTTTGGAGCACTCAAAACGGATAAATCTGAATCCGGAAAAACAAGTGGAAAAATAAAAAAATATCCGTATCCCGTATCCGTAGTGGATTTGTGTGGTTGGACTTTTACGGATCGATGACGTCAAACTGCAGCTCGCACATGCGAATTAAAAAGAAAAACAACAACAACAACGATGGCGGACAGACAGGGTATTCTTTACGTTTGTTTTGCCCTTTTGGGGCTAATTTCAGCCTTGCAAGTGAACCTTGTTTTATACAATTACATCCACCAGTCAGCCAGCTCACAGACGCGTCTTCTGCGGCCAATACTTTTATTGGTCACATGATCCGTCACATGGACCCGACGCACTAGCGTAGCTTCCGCAAACAATGCATCACGCTGTTACGATTCATCGGCCAATCAGTTAGCTTTGTTCCTGAATTTTTTTTAAGCGGCACCAGATAGGATTGAGTTTGAAGGCTACGTGTGGACGCAGATATTTCTGAGAACTAACACGTGTGGACAGATACATTTATTTAGACGGGTGTACAAAAATATCCTGATAAATAAATATCCATATACGTGTAGTTCGGGCCTTAGTGTCGATACAATCAATTTATGAAATTTTAAAATGATGTTAGATCGATATATGTCATCTAGAAGGCCAACTTGCTGAGCACAGATCGCTATAGTTGGATCATAATAATATAAATCGATACATTGATGTTGTAGGTGAATTGTTACACCCAATGTGCGAAATACCCGACCACAATCGAGGGGTCCACCCTAACTAGTGCTCCAGTATCAGGCTGAAGTAATAATAAAATAATAATAATACATTTTATTTGGAGCGCCTTTCATGTCACTCAAGGACACTTTACAGAACATATAAAACAATGATAACAAAACACTATTAACAATTACAATCATCAATCATCAAAACAGTTAAAATCAACAATGCAGCATAAACAACAGCAAAGGAATAAATAAAGAAATAAATAATACCAATTAAAATTAAATTAAAAGAGTGAGTTAGGGGTGGTGGGATGGATAGGCCAGTTTAAACAGGTGTGTCTTGAGTTTGGATTTGAAGAGGGGGAGGGAGTCTATGTTGCAGATGTGTGATAGTAAAGAGTTCCAGAGTCGGGGGGCAGAGCGACTGAAAGCTCTGCCCCCCATGGTGCTGAGGTGAATAGGGGGCACAGTGAGGTGGAGAGAGGAAGAGGATTGGAGGTGGCGTGATGGAGTGGCGATGTGGAGGAGGTCAGACAGGTAAGTAGGGGCGAGGTTGTGGATGGCTTTAAAGGTATACAGGAGGATTTTGAGCTGGATTCTAAGTGGGACCGGGAGCCAGTGGAGCTGCTGCAGGATGGGGGTGATGTGGTGGGACGAAGGGATTTTGGTGATGATCCGAGCAGCAGAGTTGTGGACCAGTTGAAGTTTATGGAGAGACGTGTGAGGGAGACCGAAGAGGAGGGAGTTGCAGTAGTCCAGACGGGAGGTGACGAGACTGTGGACGAGGATGGAGGCGGTGTTGGGGGAGAGGGAGGGACGGAGCCGATTGATGTGGCGGAGATGGAAGTAGGCAGTCCGAGTGGTAAGGCTGATGTGGGATTTGAAGGAAAGAGTACTGTCAAGGACGACACCCAGACTCTTGACCTGAGGGGATCGGGAAACTGAGGAGCTGTCGATGGTAAGGGAGAGACTGTCAACTTTGGATAGGGTGAATTTGGAACCTACTAGAAGAATTTCTGTTTTCTGACTGTTTAGTTGGAGAAATTTGGCGCTGAACCAGGATTTAATTTCGGATAGGCAGGTGATGAGGGAGGTAGGTGGGAGGGTGGAGTTTGGTGAGCTGGAGAGGTAGAGCTGGGTGTCGTCCGCGTAGCAGTGATATTGAATGTTGAATTTACGAAAGATGGAACCAAGGGGGAGGAGGTAGGTGATAAACAGCAGGGGCCCCAGGACAGAGCCCTGGGGCACACCTGAACTGACTGGGGAGGGGTCGGACTTCAGAGTCAGGTGGCTGGAGAGACTTGTTGAGGAGAGTGAATAGTGATCTGGTGTTTCCTTTGTTGCACATTATATGTAATCGTTAGCTGTTTAAAAAAAAGGAAATACAAAAACTAATTTGTTTTTTCATGGCTTTTATGAGAGCAAATTTTGTAATTGCTCATGAAGTTTTGCTTCTTATGAACATACCTCAGCTCAGATGAAGTATCCTCCAAATGGCTCTCCTTCTCTATGTACCGTAGCAGCCGTTCCATATTTTTCTATATTTTTACTACTATTTACTACTATTTTCTTGTATTTATTACTATATTTCTAAAAAAAACACTATTTTGCCCGCTCTGTCTTACTTCACTCTCTTACTTCACTTTCCTTTTCTCCCTCACCCCTGTCAAAGTTTCAGTTTTGGTGGATCGTTCAAGATTTCCATAATATATACCATACATTATATAATGACAGAAAGCACAGTTTCTGATCCGACAAACTTTGACGAGGATATGGTAATAACACTCCGGGCATACAAACATAGCGCGGGGCTGTGGCTGGTAGAGGATTAAGAGGGACTCCCCAAATTTTGCTGTTGAGGGTTTAAATAGTAGATGACTTTTTGAGACATGACAAATGAGACTACAGACAATTGTATTTCCCTTCGGGGATGGCTAAAGTTATTCTTGTTTCCATTCTTTTCAAGGGGTCTCTTATGTTAATTGAGGGGTCTTAGACCCCCCCCAAGCCTCCAGATCTTGCACAGTGGTTACACCCCTGTTACAGATACATTAAAAGGTATTGTTCTTTAATTTTTCTGTTTGAGAGGTGAACACACAACAGCAGCTTCACATACTCACAGACATGCACACACACATATAGAGCACTGTTCCACCCTGCCTGCTCTGTCAGCTGACAGTGATTCCATCTCATCTCTGTAACTCCTCGGTTTCAGGCTCTGATTCTGACACAGCAGTAAGAAGAAGGAGACCCATTATTAGTGACAGTAATGTTAATTCTATTTTTCTCTGACATCCTCTGATGTTACTACAGAAACTGCGGCAATAAAAGTATATTCTGTCAGTTGTCTAAAGCCCTTTTTCTTTTTCTGACTTACTTTTTAGGCTCTGTGCTCACAGTATTGTAGTTACAGAAGAGTGTTTCTAAGATTTCTCACTAGGGCTGGGACGATATGCTTTCCTCCAGATTCTATTCTTATACGATTTTTTTGGATGCCGATTCAATTTAAATTGTGATTCTATGATATTGTCGACTTTCTCAATTTTTAGTCTGTATTTTTAACACCAGTGAAACAGTTGATTATGATTGTCTACTATTCCAGGAACCATATCTCCCCAAAAAATACATATCACATGTAAGTCAGTTTTTAAGATTTATTCAGCAGCAATATGTTTACTCTCTTTTCAAAAGCCTGGATTGCATAAAACAGGCAAAAATAAAAGAGTATAGAAAAACAGGCTTCTGAAACCTTTCTGACAAAATGAGATATATGTAGGCTTTCTGAGGTAAACTGATACATTTTAACATTTGTCTGCACACAAATACTGTAGGAGCCTATAAATTAACATACTCCATCAAGGGCGTAGGTTTGGTCTTAACATTGGTACTGACAATATAACAGTATAACCTGCATGCACAATTTACAGTCTCAATTTACAGCTTTTGTCCTTCATGTACCACAAGAGTAATACATTGCTTTAATTGGTTGTCTCTTTCACCTTCTTCTCCGTTATTTTCATCTCTAAACTGCATCAGTGTTTCGGCGATTATGGTCTAATCATCAGCCAATCAAACGTGCGTTTGAGGAAAAAAAATGGACCGGCACATTCAACAAGTGAAAAGGGGTAAATGTAAGTCAGAACATAATGAAAATAATTCACTTAATAATGGTAGGGTCGATTCTATCCTTACAAAATATGGGAAGACAATCTAAATTACCTATATAACTGCACTCATTATATAATGCAAATAATGTTGCTTAAAAGTTGGTGGGGACAATTTGAGCACCCTGAAAAGTTGGTAGTGTTATGTCCCTACTGTCCCTATGCAAACCTACGCCCTTGTACTACATTATAAAGTGAACTTGAACCCTTTTCAAAACCTGGACATGTATGTAAAAAAAAGTAAGGGCATACAAATGCACATTGCACACTATAAAAACAAATAAATGCAATATTTGATAAAATATTTCAATATTTTGGATAGATTTTTTCTCCCAACCCCATTTCTCACAGACTTCTGCTTTCCCCAGTTTCTTCTCTCTGTTCATAGTACTGTTATTAGTGGAAAAGTGATATCTACTGTGATTATTTAAACGAACCCCTCTTTACTAACAGATGATACCGAGTGATGCAGAGTCTCTCAGAATAAAATAAGAATAAGAATAACTTTATTGATCCCCAAAGGGAAATTCAATTTCTGTTGTCTCACATAATATGTATACAAAAGTTATCTATTATTTACATAAGAGTTATAAAACCTGATGGCTGTTGGTACAAAAGATTGTCTAAATCTTTCTGTCCTGTAGCGAAGAGAGAGGACTTTCCCTTCGGGGATCAATAAAGTTATTCTTCTTCTTCTTCTTCTAGCATTCAGCTTTGCCTTCACCTTTGCACCAGCACGGCAACCACGATAACACCTGATGTCCTCTGGAATTGTATGTTGTTGTCCAGATATGCCTTTCCTCAATGAAAGGAGCTCCTCTCTTGAGTAAACTCTTCGCCCAGCAGAAGTATCCATAAGCAGCCAACAAAATTACAACAAAAATATGAAAAAAAATCTCGCAAAAATTACAGATAATACAGAGAGACCAGACCTGCAGCAACCTCTCGAATCAAGCGCATCATTTGATGGATCATGACTGTTGTTTCAGATATCAGACCTCCTCTGTTCTCAAACTTTTTCTTTTCCACACAGATGATGAGAGGAGAAGACCGGACATTTTTAGCGCCCTTAAGCTGGGTAAGTGAGATGAAAAACCTTTAATATTAACTTTGAAAAACCCTCATTTGATTTCTGCTGATCCAATCAAATCACAGCATAGCTGCATTTTTATGTATCCTATATCATGTGAATATGTTGGTACGTGTGTGTTTTTAATATTTCAGGAAACTCCCAGCTGGTCAAAGAGATCTTAGAGGAGGATCCAACTCAAGTGAATGTATCCAATCAGGAGGGAGCGTCTCCTCTCATGATGGCGGCAGTAAGTGGGCAGTTGGAGGTGGTGCAGCTGATGGTGGAGAAGAAAGCAGACATAGATAAACAAGATAGTGTCCATGGATGGACGGCTCTGATGCAGGCTACTTATCACGGGTTAGAAAAGCTTTTTAACACAACATGGGCCTTTATTTTCAGACCTTATATGATGAACATACAGCACTTAAAGATTTTCTTTCTCCTTTTCTGCTTTCTTACAGTAACAAAGATATCGTGAAATACCTGCTGAGTCAGGGGGCTGATGTCAACCTCAGAGCCAAGAATGGATACACAGCATTTGATTTGGTGATGTTATTGAATGACCCAGGTACCATGAATAACAGCATCCAGTTATTCCCAAAATAAGGTCATATAAGTCAAGATAAAAAATGACAGCCAGGATTTAAACACAAACCATGTGCAAGCTCCCATGAGGAGGTTTTATCTAGTTAAGAATCAGAAATCTGAAATCAATTGTGGTGCCCTTTCTGACCTAAAAAAGCACATGCTGTCACATTTTTATTTATTTATTTATTACATATATACCTGTCACCTCTGTAAAGGGGTAGGTTTCCAATGAGGGGACTGAAGGATTGTCTATTGTTATGCTAACACATGCTCTAGTAAAATTTTTCACTCAGATCCAAATAAGTACATGAGAAGCATAAAAAAAGATTTAAAAAAAGGGAAACCAGACAAATATAACGATAATAACTGATATCAAGCATAGAGTGCAGTCATGGGAATTATGTGCAAATATGTGAGAAATTTCCATTTGGTCTAAAGGTTTTAATTGCAACAATCAGTGTCCATATGGCTAAAGGCAGCAGAGAGTCATATACGATACAGGAGGCTCTTTTCCTGTACCAGTGGGTGTAAATGTTTGTGGTTATAGGCAGGCTGCTTCCCACAATCCTTTTGTGTGTCTCATCACAACTTTTTGTGTGATCAACTTTTATAGAACCCATAAGTGTGACTATATTCAGAAGCCCCAAAAAGAGGTCACTACTACGCGAGGCAGAGTTGTGCGCAAAATTTTGAGGTTGTTTTTGGGTCAGGTCGATGTTTTTTTAAGTGCTTCTAACTTGGTTAAACGCATATTCTGAATTCTCAAAGACAGTGCATGCATGCGTTGCGTCAGTGGTTTTGATTAGAAGTGAGCGGAGGGGCAGAGCTGCAGACTGCACTGATGTGCTGCACTGTTTTGAATGAATGGATACACATTCTGCACATTTTAAGGATTTTATAAACTATCCCCCCGGACAGGTCGGACAGCCCCCAAAAGAGGATATGTCTGGGTAAAAGAGGACAGATAGTCACCCCACTTGGAAGGCTGGGAAGACTGCCGCAATTAAACAATGTATTAATACATGCACATTGCAGGTGATGCTCTGCAGCCTAACGGTCATATCACAGAAGACGAAAGGCAATAATGAGAGCCTACCTAGATTTTTCGGGCGCTTCCTGTGATTGATGCAGATGGGGTTCACACTGCTCTAGAGTTCACTTGATTGCAGTCCGAGACTACCCCTACCAGGCGGACTTGAGAGCAGTTGACTGGTCCGAACCAGCGTTCACACCAACCAAAATGAACCGCACCAAGGAGGTAAATGCTCCAGGGTTCAGTTCAACTGGACTAAACAAGGCTGGCGTGAATGCATCCTTAGTACAGCCGGATATTTTGTTTTTGGCACTGGTACAATTCAGGGTTTTTTCCACAGAGCAGGTACCCGCCCCAGCTGTAGATTGGAGCACAGTTTTTAAGCAGCCTTGGACCAGCTGCCTTCCCAGGGCAAAGTCTTCCAAGCTCCAACCTCACTGCTGTTTCTGTGACAGACAAGGGCTGATGTACTAAGAGGGATGTAGCTGAAGTGGTTGAGACATTTGAACAAGATGGTAGAGGAAGATGAGTTGTAGTGGAGATTTTTTGTGGAGAGAAGGGTGGAGTTGCTGTGGAAGTCGATACGTCAGCAGTGTCAAATCTGTTGAAGAACTGGTTGAGTTCTTTGGTCAGCTCTTTCCACATCACCCTATAGGGGTGCAACGGATCATCACACTCCCGGATCGACTCATTTCGCAGATCAGTCACAGATCGAATCATTTTTCGGATCAGCAAAAAAAAAAAAAGGCACGACGAATAAACATAAGTTTGTCTTTTGTTTATTAACACTTGTTAAATTAAAAAATAGAAAATCAACTCCAAGTGCACAAGGCATAATATCTTTTTTTTTTTTTTTTCGGTTGAATTTGCCTTTTATTGATGGTGCAGGGTGGGGTGTGGGGAGATGGGGGCGGGGACATGCGCTGCATGGTCGGGGTCAGGGTGGAGCCCGTGGCCGCTGCGGGGATGGTACTCTCCATACATGGAGCGTGTCTAGCATGGAGGTCAGCTTGGCCGTGATCCTCCTCTTCCCAACCTCCTCCACAAGTTCCAGAGGGCATCCCAGAACAGAGCTGGACGTCTTTACAAATTTGTCAAGCCTCTTCCTGTGATGCTGCTCCCCCAGTAGACCACTCCATAGAAAATAGCCCACCACAGAGTCATAGATGGTCCTCAAGAGTGCCCCCCACACCCCAAAAGACCTCAGCCTCCACAAAAAAGGACAGAGCAGATAGATTCTGCTCTGTCCTTTTTTGTGAAGTGTGTTGGTGTTATGAGTCCAGTCCAGTTTATTGTTCAGATGAACACACAGGTACTTGTAAGATGTCACCATCTCGATGTCCCTTCCCTGAATGTTCACTGGTGATGGGGGGGAGTGGGGGCGCCTGCAGAAGTCCACAACCAACTTCCTCGTCTTTCCAGCATTTATCTGGAGGTGGCACAGGATTCTTTTCTGCTTCAAGCCCTGAGCATGTGTTTGAAGCTCTTGTTTTGCACAACTTATGGTTTGTTGTTGGGGAAGCAGCAAACAGGATCACAAGAGACATAAAAGCAATCTTTAACCAGAAAAAGAAAGCTTTTAAAGATGGTGACGAAGAACAACTCAAACAAGTGCAACAAGAGTTGAAGAGGAGACTGACGCTGGCAAAGCTGGAGTACAAAAAGAAGATAGAGAATAATCTACAACACAGCAACATCCGTGAAGTGTGGATCTCAGTACCATCTCTGGACACAGCAGATCTTTTGTACCAACAGCCATCAGGCTTTATAACTCTTATGTAAATAATAGATAACTTTTATAGACATATTACGTGAGACAACAGACAATTGAATTTCCCTTCGGGGATCAATAAAGTTCTTCTTATTTATTATTATAATTATTATTATTACTTAAAGGAAATGATCTGCTGCACTACTATATTAATAATCAAAATAAAATAAATGAGTTAAGACTTAATTAAAAGTTAAGGGCTGAATTAAAAGTCATATCAAGTAAAAGTACACTTGTAAAAATGTTTTTTTAAACAAGATTTAAAACAGGATAAGTATCTTGTCAGTCTGATCTTGTCAGTTTGCTCCATAGAGCAAGAGCTTTGACAGACAAAGCCTGGTCCCCCTTGGTCTTCAGCCTGAACTGAAGAATCGTCGGCAGACCCTTGGCTGAGGACCTCAGGGTACAACTGGGCTCATAAGGTGTGAGGATATCAGTGATCTACTTAAGGGCAAGTCCAGACAGTGCTTTAAAAGTTCTCTCTTAAAATCAACTCTGAAATTGCACTGGGAGCCAGTGGAGGAAGGCTAAAATAGAGGTGATGTGCTCTCACTGTTTTGTTTTTGTGAAGAGTCTGCCTGAGGCATTCTGGACTAGCTGTAGTTTATTTAGGCTCTGCTGCGATAGAAATGAAAACAAGGAATCACAATAGTCCAGGCAGGGGGAGTTGAAGGCATTTATGACTGTTTCAAGGTGTTTTCTGGGAAGCAAGTGACTGATTTTGGAGAGTCTTCTAAGCCAATAAAAGCATGATTGAATCAACGGATTGATGTGCTTCTCCAGATTGAGATTGTTGTCAAAATTGACTCCTAGATTTTTGTGGCTGTTGGAAATAGGAAATATTTGCTGAGAGAGGCTCTAGATGTCCAGTGATATGTGCGTGTGCAGTGTCTGGGCCAATTTTGATAACCTCTGTCTCGTTCTTGTTAGCTGTAGAGTTGTGGGCCATTCTGTTTTTAATGTCAGTTATACAGATAGAGAGTGAAGAGATGTGATCCTTTTTGTCATGGTTGAAAGAGAGGTAAGCTGGGTGTCATCAGCATTAAAAATCAATGCTGTGTCTATGAATCACATGTCCAAGGACAACATATACACTGAAAACAGGAGTGGTCCCAGAATTGACCCCTCGGCACCCCACAAAACAAATTAGCACTGGATGACTGTGAGTTCTCAATGGTAACACAAGGAGACCTCCCAGTTAAATAAGAATAAAACCATTTCAAAAGCTGATCCACAGACACCAACCTGAAGTTTGAGACATTAATAGAATAGAATAGAATAGTCCTTTATTGTCATTGTAACAAGTACAACGGAAATTTAAAGTGCCAGACGGTCAGTACATGAATAAAAAATTAACACTACAGTAATAAATACTACAATAATAAAACACACACACGCACATCTACCATACATTCCATCAACTGGTATTGCACAAATCCACCACATGTATACATTGTGTTGCGGGTTATTCATTAGGCATTGAGGGTAGTTATTGCTGTTGGATAGAAACTGTTTTTGAGTCTGTTTGTTCTGGATTTGATTGTTCTGTAGCTTCTGCCTGACAGCAACCCGGGATGGAAAGTGTCTCTGACAATGCTCTGAGCCTTCTCAACACAGCAAGCACAGTGAAAGTCGTCCAGCAAAGGAAGGGGGCAGCCGACTATCCTCTGGGCTGCGTTAATGACCCGTTGGAAGGCCTTTTTCTGTGCTACTGTGCAGCTGCTAAACCATACACATAGACAGTATGTAAGGATGGATTCTATGGAGCATCTGTAGAAGGACAGCAGCTGTCTCTGTGTGATGCTGTTTTTCCTGAGGACCCTCAGGAAGTATAGTTGCTGTTGAGCCTTTTTAAGCACCTTCACACTGTTAACAGTCCAGATCAGACCCTCCTCAATGTGAACACCCAGGAAGCGGAAGTCAGACACCTGCTCCACACGTTCCCCGCTGATAATGAGCGGTGGAATGTCAGTCTTTTATCGTCAGTAGTCAGTCACCAGCTCCTTGGTTTTTTGCTTTCTTGAGCAGAAGGTTATTCTCCCTACACCACACTGCCAGATGTTCAACCTTATTTCTGTAAGCAGACTCATCTGTCCCAGAGATGAGCCCCACCACCGTAGAGTCTGCAAACTTCACTAAGATGTTGTTGTGGTTTGTGGAAATGCAGTCATGCCTGTAGAGAGTATACAATAAATGGCTCAACATGCAGCCCTGTGGTGAGCCAGTGCTGAGGCTAAGGGCCATGGATGTGTGATGGCCCACTCTAACCCTCTGGGTGCGACAGGTGAGAAGGCTGTAGATCCACATGCAGGTGGGGTGTGGAATGCCTAGATCGATCAGTTTGTTAATCAGTTTGTGAGAAAGGATGGTGTTGAAAGCAGAGCTATAGTCCACAAAGAGCACCCGTACATAGCTCCCCTGCTGGTCCAGGTGGGCCAGTGCAGCATGAAGGGCTGTGGCCACGGCGTCTTCTGTGGATCTATTTGCCCTGTATGCAAACTGATGTGGGTCCAGGCTTTTTGGCAGGTACGATGTGATGTGACCTCAGACCATCTTTTCAAAGGATTTCATCACCACCGGGGTGAGAGCGACTGGTCGGTAGTCATTGAGGCTGGAAATGTGAGGTTTCTTGGGCAGGGGGACGATGTAGGAGGTCTCCAGGCATGCTGGGATGGTGGCCTCAGACAAGGACTAGTTAAAAAACCTTTGTGAAGACTCCAGCCAGCTGATTCAAGCAGTCCTTTAACACACACCCGGACACTCCACTGGGCCCAGCAGCCTTCCTAGGGTTCACGGCGCACAGGGCATGCCCCACCTCATGTTCTATGAGGGTGAAGTTGCTCTGTGCCGTGAGGTGTAGTGTGGCTGCCTTGGGTGTTTCCACCTCAAAACGGGCAAAGAAAGTTTTCAACTCCTCTGCCAGGCCTCACCCTCAGCAGCACCAGACCTGAAGGCGATGTTCCTCTCTCTCAGCAGCTGCTGGACCTCCTTAATGTCAAACTGAAAACAGATTTTTACAAAGTAATGTCAATTGATTAAAACTAACAAAGTAAAATTCATGATTGCATAAATATTCACCCCCTTCAAGTTTATATGCAGCAGCAATGGGCAGGGATGCCTCCCGGTCGACGTGGCCCCCAAAGGTAGCGTCTTCCTCACCTCAGATCTCGGTGCCCAGTCATGTCTCCTCACTATCAGCTGCTAACTGTGTAGATGCGTATGTATGTGAAGTTGTGTGTGTGGAAATGTATGTCTATGTTCACGGGTGTGTGTATGGGTATAATTGTGTGGGTGGGAGGTTTGGGGTTTTCTTGGGGATTTTAATGTTTCATTTTGTTTTTATGCTTTGTAAGGCACTTTGTGTTACAACTTGTAGGAAAAGTGCCATATAAATAAAATAAAGTTGAAAGTTGAAGTTATAGATTGTAGATGCTCCTTTGCCTGCAATCACAGCACTAGGTCTGTTTGGATACTTGTGAATCAGGCTTGCACACCTAGACACAGGATTTTTTCTCTATTCTTCCTTGCAAAACTGCTCAAGCTCGGTCAGGTTGCCCGGGGATCTGGTGTGAACAGCTCTTTTGAAGTCCTGCCACAAATTCTCAATTGGATTGAGGTCTGGGCTTTGACTTGGCCACTCCAGAACATTCACATGGTGATCTCCAAACCATTTTTGTGTAGTTTTTGTCATATGCTTTGGGTTGTTGTCTTGTTGGAAAATCTATCTTCTCCCAAGATGGAGCTCTCTTGTAGACAGACTCAGATTGTCCTTCAGGATTTGGCAATATGATGCTGCATTCATTTTCCCCTCTACCTTAAGCCCTCCAGGGCCTGCTGCTGCGGAGGGGATGGTGTGTTTATGGTGGTGTGTGCAGTGTTTGGTTTTCACCAAATATACCGTCTAGTCTGATGGTCAAAAAGCTCAATTTTTGTCTCATCAGACCAAAGAACCTTCCTCCAGTTGACCGTGGAGTCTCCCACATGCTTTTGGACGAATTTGAGTCGGGCTTTGATTTGAGCCTCAACCGTCATCAACCGTGGCTTTTTTTTTTGCCACTCTCCCATACAACTTTGACTGGTGAACAACCTAGGCAACAATGTTGGTATGTACAGTCTCTCCCACCGTAGTCGCTGAAGCTTTTAACTCCTTCAGAGTTGTTGCAGGTGGCTTTCCACACCAGTCTCCTTCTTTCCCTGTGTTGTCTTCATTGTGTGATTTTAGCAGGAAACTCTGCTGAACCAGGGACTGGCCCTTCCAAACACAGGTGTCTTAAAACTACAGATACTAACAACACACTAACTGCACTTGGGTGATCTCCATTTCACTATTTGTGATACTACCAGCATTCATGAGCTGGGCGTCAGCTGAATAAGGTCGATCACTTTAAAGGGGGTGAATATTTATGCAATCATTTTTTCTACATTATGAGTTTTAATTAATTGACATCACTTTGTAAAAATTTGTTTTCATCCTGTCATATCAGGGTTGTTTTTTGTTAATTCTTGTAAAAAAAAAATTACAATGACCATGATTTCATTTGTCAAAGCAATAAAAGGAGGAAACGTGTTAATTGTAATTGTATGAACTGATTATATTATAGCAGGAGATTGAAGAGAAATGGTCAGGTCCTGTTAGGGAGGCGTGTGCTGCTTTCTAAAATTTGAGACTTTGTTAACTAAATATTTTTAAAATTCTTTCACACTTTGCTGATGTAGAGAGCAAATTCACATTGAGAGGAGTCTCACATATTTGATTTATCTTTGTCCTGGGATTTTTGGCAGATACAAGCTTGGTACGTCTTTTGGCATCAGTATGCATGCAAGTTGACAAAGACAAGTCAAAACACCGCAGCAGGGCTTCAATGACACACTCAAAAAGCCGACAGTCATTGAACAATGTGCCAGTACCACCTGATGACAAAGGAGGGCTAAAGGTAAAGAAACAGAAAAAATTACAATCCACACCACTGATTAGTTTTATGTGTGGCTTCACCACAGTTGTCATCAAAAAATACTTCTGATTAATCATTTTAATTGGAGTTTATGTCATTGTTGGAAAGACAGCAGCTGCCTCCATTATCAACTTGATCATGGTTGTTTAATTTCACCCCATTTCAGTCCTGGTGGAGCCGGATGTCAAACCGTTTCCGGCGGCTGAAGTTGACCCACACGCTTAGACACGGCCTCTCGTCCAATCGCCTTGCTCCATTTCCTGATGACACTGAAACCTCATTGGACGCCACAATGAAGGCAGAGAGAAAACCTGCCGCTGGGTGTAACGGGGCACTGAGTCCTGCTCTGGGAGGAAGTGACATCAGCTCTGCCTGGGCCATTAAGAGCAAAGACGCTGGTGAGTCAGGGCCAGACTGTGTTTTTCTCCAGTTCTTAAGGTCCTTACACACCAGGCGCGAATTCGCCAGGCGAATTATTCGCCTTTTTTTAAAACAGCATAAAGTCAATGCAAGCTTCCACACCGGCGGCGATTTTTCCGCGGGGCGAAAAGCCTCTTTTATTTTTTTGCTCTTGTGTCAAATTTTTCGAAGATTCACAGGCGAATATCTGGACCTGCTAGACCTCTGACCAATCAAAAGTCATGTTGTTGATGACGTCACAGACCCATGCGGCTGCAGTTCACACGACACACACCACCACTGGCACCAAGAGCAACGATGGGGGAGAGTGTGTACCACAGAGTGGTCACCCGGTGTGTATAAGCGAGAGTGATTTTTTCGGACCAGCGTCAATCGCAAATTCGCTGGTGTGTAAGGACCTTTAAGGTCCTTACACACCAGCGAATTTGCGGAGCAAAGCAAAAAAGCTAGATGAAATTGCGAATATTCGCCGGTCCGAAAAATCACTTTCGCCTATACACACCGGGCGCGAAGCAAATATGCGTATAAATTTTGCAAAGCGAATTAATAAATATAAATTGTCTTTGGCACGAGTTCTTTCTTGCCAAGGAGGAGAAGAGAACAAAGAAATTGAGTCAACAACATCCTCAAGCGATGATGAGCTCGTTGTGATGCTTTTGGCAAAAAAAAAAAGACAGAAGAATAAACAAAGGAGTGTTTGGGTACATCCCATATTGACTTTGAGGAAGGAGATGGGCGAGTTCCACACCACCATCCAGTGGTCCTGTTCCGCAATTACCAGCCTCTCTCCCATCGTTGCTCTTGGTGCCAGTGGTGGTGTGTGTCGTGTGAACTGCAGCCGCATGGGTCTGTGACGTCATCAACAACATGACTTTTGACTGGCCAGAGATCTAGCAGTTTCAGATATTCGCCTGCGAATCTACGAAAAATTCAACACAAGAGCGAAAAAATAAAAGTCGCTTTTCGCCCCGCGGAAAAATCGCCGCCAGTGTGGAAGCTTGCATTGACTTTATGCTGTTTTAAAAAAAAAAGGTGAATAATTCGCCTGGCGAATTCGCGCCTGGTGTGTAAGGACCTTTAGTCTGGTAACAGCCTTGGAATTTGAATTTCTATATTCTATCTTCTATATTTCTATATTCTAGCTTTAAACATAACTAGTGTTAACCTAAGGCCAGTTATTCAGTTTTAGTGTGCTGTGTGGTTACTACATGAACACAGTGCGTCTTAGCCTCTCTGTTCAATAATGTGTGAGAGGGAAAATAGTGTTGTAGAGGAAAGGTTTTGTAGTGAAAGACTGAAATTGTAAGTAAGAGAATTATCTCTGTGTGGCTCTGACTCTTGACTCATGGGCTGAAAGAGAGGCCTACAACATTCCTCCTTCTAAAAATCCTGCGGATTGCAGCAAGGTGTGCTGTACAAATCCTGTAGGAAGACCTTTTTTTTTTCTTGAGATGCTCCCAAATGTTTGAAGTTTTTTAATGCCATGGTGTTGCACTAGTTCTATGTCTTGTTTGTTTGTTTGTTGCTTCCTGATTGTTTTATTGCATCCTTATCTTTAAGAGATAGTTGAGAAGCAAGGTGACTGACTCTTTGGCAATTCGGTTCCATGAAACAACATCATGTTCCCTCACAGTATGACTTTTAGATGGTTGCAGCCCTCAGCATTCTTCTTACAAGCTCAGAATAGGCTACTGTTTTGCTTGATTACTGAGACATGGTTGAAGGTAGGAAAGTTTTAAAGGTGAAGGTCTCTGATTAAATGAAGGTTTTGAAAAGTACTGTATATAATTCAGAAACCTGTTATTAGATTTGTAAGAGGGAATATACTAATGAGGCTGTGGTCCCTTTTCCAGGTCTTTGCAGAACATCCTCAGAAAAGGAAGCCTTCCTCATCACCACAATGGTAGGAGTGATTGGTTTGACTCAATTAATAGTTGGATTATAGATGGAGTTTTTCATGTATCATAAAGTTTGAGCAGTTGGAACAACCTGCTGCAGAGTAATTGTTATCGTCAATAAGTTTCATATCTTTAGGATTTAGGTTTGGAGCTTCATCAGTAAGTCGCTGGAAAAAATATTTAACTGTTAGTTGATGTTTTCCATCCCCTCTAGCTCAGGACTGATGCACCTTTGACCAGGCTGCCCAATGACAAGCTTAAAGCAGTGATTCCTCCTTTCCTGCCTCCATCCAACTTTGAGCCGTGGAACTCAGACCGTTCACGCCTCCTCAAGGAGGGAAAGAGTGAAATACCCCACCTGCCAATGCCTCCGCAGAGAAAGCTAAACAGCAGTGGAAACTCAGATATTGTGAGTGAGAGGGAAAAAAATGCACTCAGGTGAAAGCCTCTTTTTTTCTGTCATCAGTTAACTATTGTTTTTTCTCTTTTTTTCTTTTGCTCTTTCTTTCAGACGTCCATCAGCCGTGTGGTTAGCAGGTCCATTAAGTTTCCCAGCATCCCCAAGGGGCCCTCCTCCTCCTCACCATCAAACTCTGGTCACTATCATTCCCCCCACTCTTCAGCAGGCTCCAACGGAGTCGCAGGGATCAACCGGGACTCCCATAACCGATCAGGTTAACACGCAATCAAATACAACACAAATCTGACATAATAGGAACATCAGAAGTCAGATTAAACACTCTTACCTCTTTCTTCCACCAGGGGGCAGTGCAGACAGTGTCCTCTCTCAGATTGCAGCTCAGAGGAAGCGAGCAGCAGGTCTGATAGAAGTCAAACCTCAAACTCAAGAGAAACAGCAGAGTCAAACACAGAACCAGCTCCTTCTGCTGCCATCCGCCCCAAGCCTGCTGCTTCCTGATATCAGCCTCCCAGATGTCCACTCCCACCCCAGCCTGGTTGCCTTAGACATTCACCCCAGGAGGGTTTGTGTTACTTTGTCTGTCATGAATCTTGTTAAAACAGCTGCTGTTAAGAGTCTCCTGTAATGTCACTGAATTTTTTTTCTGCTGAAGAAGATGGAGCTTAAGAAGAGACCACAGTCGGGGAATTCCTCCACCTCTAAGAGCACATCACCCACCCTCACCCCGTCTCCTTCCCCAACACCCAAACCTCCCACTGGGCCTGGAGACTCTCTGTCTTCAGCCTCTTCCCACCCTCGATCCAAGAGCAGCGGTGGCTCCAGCAGTGGGACCATTACTGATGAAGGTGATTCCATGTTTAACTGAGCATTAAAACTGCCATTCACTCTGTGCAACATTTAGCGATGAGGCATGGCTCTATTATCCACTTAGCCCAATATTGGCTCCTGTGGATAACACCTGTCTTAATATAAAGCTGTGATGGTTAACTTTCTCACACTTTTCTACTTCCTTCCTTTCAGATGAGCTGTCTGGTATCTTGAAGAAACTGTCACTTGAAAAGTATCAGCCCATATTTGAGGAGCAGGAGGTATTCTGACCTTTATTTTATTTGATATGTGTTCCTTCACATTAGGTCTGTAAGTGTTTTGCCTTACTGTCTGAATGAGATAAAGTGATTAAATTTTAGTTTTTAAAGGTTTCAGCAATCTCTGAAAAATTGTTCTACTGTTACTCAGAAAAATCGTATTTTTGTATCAACAATACAGTGATAAGGTTAAGACATTTTCTTGGAGACTCCAAAATCCGGCAACTGGACTGTGTAGAATTTGAGAAGATGTTTCGCCGCTTATCCAAGAGGCTTCTTCAGTTCTAAAATAGTTAGTGGGGGGAGCCGGTATTTATGTTACTGGAGGAGGGGGAAAAAAAGATTGGGAGGAGTTGGAGTGAATGGGTCGTAGAGACCCTTCTCCGGGTGATTATCCCAGGAGTTGTTAACCAGAGTGGGTCATTAACTACCCCTTCCATGTGAGGTGTTTTGTTCACATGGTCCCAGGTTTGAAAATTTGTGGAGCTTTCTGGGGGGGAGAGCTGAGAACTGCATTGTAAGTGCCAGAGAGGTTATGCCTGAGTCCACCTCCTCTGTTCAGAGAGGGTTTCTTTAACTCCTTTCAAACCACCTGTCTTCTCTAGCCAAAACCCGTACATTGCTGTCCTCAAAAGAGTGACCTGTGTCCTTTAAGTGAAGGTGGACCGCTGAGTCCTGACCTGAGGAAGTGGCTCTCCTGTGTTGAGCCATGCGCTTGTGAAGCGGTTGTTAAGTCTCCCCAATGTACAGGTCCAAGCATTCCTCATTGTACTGGACAGCATACACCACGTTACTCTGTTTTTGTCTCAGAGTTTTGTCCTTTGGATGGACTAGCTTCTGCCTTTCCAGTATTTCCAGGCTTGAAGTGAACAGGAATATGGTGTTTGCCAAAGATCCTCTTGAGTTTTTCCGACAAGCCTGCAATGTATGGAATTGCAATGTTCTTGCGTCTCTCATCCCTTTCTTGTTCAATGTTCTTTCTCTTCCTGTTCTCTAAAAAAAAAAGCCCACTTATGATATCCACAGGTTGTCAGGTTATTTTTGATGTGCTTCTGTTCCTTTTCCTTACCTTCATTCTTCGTGGGAATGCATTCGGCCTGGTGGTTGAGTGTTCTGATAACACCCAGCTTGTGCTGCAGAGGATGGTGAGAATCAAACAGTAAATATTGATCCGTGTGTGGGGGTTGCCTTTACACTTAGACATTGAGACACCATCTGCCTCCTAGTGCACAGCACAATCCCAAAAAGGCCAAAACGTTGTCCCTGATATCTTCACGGGTGAACTTAATGTTGCTATCCACTGTGTTGATATGGTCTGTCAAGGCCTCTACTTCATGTGTTAGGATTTTTATCCAGGTGTCATCCACATATCTAAACCAGTGGCTAGGTGCTTCCTATGAAGGAGGTTAGGGCCCTTCTCTCTACCTCTTCTATAAACAGGTTTGCCACTACTGGAGAAACAGGGGAGCCCATGGCACATCCATGTTTCTGTCTGTAGCAGCGCTCTCCGAACTGGAAATAGGTGGTGCTGAGGCAGATGTCCAGTAAGGAACAGATGTGGTCTGGGTTAGGTTAGTTCTGACCTGCAGTGTGCTGTCCTGTAAGAGAGGTAGTCTTACTGCTCGGACTGCCTCTGTTGTCAGAATACTTGTGAAAAGTGATGTGACGTCATAGGAAACCATGGTTTCCTCAGGGTCCAGCCTTATGTCCTTGATTTTCTGGGCAAAGTCCTGTGAGTTTTTGATGTGGTGAGTAGTGTGGCCAACAAGAGGAGCTAAGATAGTGGCCAAATGTCTCGCCACATTGTAAGTGATTGAGTTAATGCTGCTGATTATTGGTCTAAGGGGAGCCACTTCATTGTGCATTTTAGACAATCCATAAATGCTCGGGACTGCTTCCCCTGGGTATAGCCGGTAATAGAGTGAACGGCCGATTACTCCATCCTTTTCCAGCTGTTGAAGAATGCTGATAACTTTCTTTTTTGTAGCTGTTGGCAGGGTCCTGTTTCAAAGCTTCATAGGTGGCAGTATCACTGAGGAGGCTTGTTACCTTGTCACGGTAATCCCTAGTGTTGAGTACCACCGTGCATCTCCCCTTATCTGCAGGCAAGATGGTGATGTTTTCATCTTTTCACAGTGATGCCAAGGCTCTGCTTTACTGGATGGTCAGGTTGGAAGGAGGTGTTTTGGCATTCGAGAGAGCAGCTGTTACCTTCAACCTCAGTTGCTCTGCCTCTGTGACTACGTAGCTGTGATCAGGTTTACCACCGGGATCTGTTCTGGGGTGACTGCAAAATTCAATCCCTTGGAAAGGACGTCTTTTTCCGGCTTAGTGAGAACCCTGTCTGACAAATTCTTCACCCACTTTTCTTGCCTGCAAGTGTCTGTGTGGCTGTCCTTTTTGTCCCTCCAGGCTAGTTCTGATGGTCTTTTAGTTTGCAGAGACTGTAGTCCATCAATTTTTTGTGTTTGTCCTTCCTTACTTTTGTTGGGTTGTGAGATCTGAGCCTTATCCACAAAGTTGTAGACTTTGTTGAGGATGTTCTCCGGAAGTAGGGATGCTAGTGTCTCCTTGGTGTGATTTATTTTAGCTTGTAAAGCCTCAATGGTGGAATTGACCTGCCTAATCCTTTCATTGAGGAGCTGCTCCCGTGCCCTAGAGAGAATGCCGTCTGCCCTGTGCCCTTTAACCGTAGAGATCAACCTTAAGCATTTGGGAACAAGTCCTTGCTGTCTGCATCTTAGGTTAAAGCAGAAGTGGTTTCTGTAATCCGCCAACTTCCTGCAAGTTTTCTTATGCTCCCGGACCAGCTGAAGGGTATCCAACCCGAAGTGTGATCCAATATGTCCATGTAGTTAAGACACTTCTTAACCCTCCTCCTGTGTTAGGGTCTGTACTGACCTGTTTTTGTTTTTAAATGCTTAAAAGAACCACTTAAATTAGCTTCTGTGCATCGACTTTCTGAATTTGTCAAGAACCTCTACTTCAACAAAATAAAGATAAAAAATATAAATTGACTAAATTTTTTTTTTTTTTTGTCACTGCACTCATATTAATGGGAGCAGTCTCTTTTTTTACCTCCTCCTCTCCCTCCCTCTTGTGTGTACTTTCCCCATCTGTAAATGCAATTTCGTTGTGCACAGTTGCAATGACAATAAAGACCATACCATACCATAGATCGATATCTAATGATTAGAGCAAAAACTGAAATCAGTGCACTTACTGTCAGGCACCACATTGACAGTCAGATCCTCTTCCAATCATGTGAGATTTAGGAAATTCTCATTTTTCCATGTTTTATCCTGCACAAAAACTATGTCGAGCATGTCCAGACATGTGAGATCAATTCAGTATAGATGTCTGTGTGAGGGGTATACTGACAAAGAAAAGCCCAGAGGCCCACTACAAAATAGTATAATCAATATGTTCATGGATAATGAAGCCTAACAAGGTAACCTAGAAATGAGAACCAAATTGGATGATAGAGAATTGTTTTTAGTGTAATTTACAGCTGATTTAAGACACGGGTGAAAACCGACCCTTAACATAGTGGTTGCATAGTAAAATCTAACACAGGAGGAGAGTTAAAGACATTTCATCAGAATATCTCTTTTTTCATTCAGATATAAAGTATTTTTTTCAAAGAAGCTACAGCCACCATAAACAATGTAATGTATTCATATTTAATTCTTCAGGTAGTGCTATAAAAATATCCAAAATATACATATTATCTATAAAACTGTAAATACAGATGTTACACCTGTGTGCTTAGTCTATGAGAGGCATTCATCTGTCTTTGCTAAGAACTGAATGAGGATGGTGTTTTCCATGTGGACACCTTTTGTTTATTATTTATTTATTTTTAGCATTTTCTGTTCTTCAAAATAACCATATCTGTCTGACTCCATGCTGGAGCTGCTCCTGATGATTAAAAACAGGAGGCAGGAGAAGCAGAATAAAGCATCAGCATGCTGTTAACCAAGACTTGGGTGGCAGTAGCTCAGGAGGTAGAGCAATCATCCAACAACTGGAAGGTTGGCGGTTCGATCCCACCCTATCCCTAGTCTGTCAGTTGTGCCCTTGGGCAAGACACTCAACCCACCTTGCTACCAGTGTGTGTCCTCCACTGGTGTATGATTGTGAGTGTTGTGTGGTGGTGGTCGGAAAGCCGTAGGCCTGAATAGGCAGCAACGTTTGCATCAGTCTGCCCAGGGAAGCTGTGACTACTAAGGTAGTTTACCACCACCAAGGTGCGACTGTGTGAGCGAATAAATGATGTATCCAATGTAAAGTGCTTTTAGGGTCTCTGATGAAGCACTACATAAAATCTGATGCATTCTGGATATAATTATTAATTGGTCAACCAGCTCTTTGAAAATGACAAGATGTCATTTCCTTCTCTATTATTTGGATGCTGTGTAATTCTGATGAGTAGCTATTTGGGTCCAAGCTCTTTAGATGTCAGCTTCTCCTGCACTGATCTCTCAAACTGTATTATTTTCCCCTCCTATACTCCCATACAGATCTCCTAGATGGCATAATTTTCAACGATGAAACTGGGTTTTCATTCTGCATATTACGTACTTCTCCCTTAAGGAGGTCGGCCCGAAACTTTTTTTCCTTAACAACTCACTCCTTTGTGATTTACTTGGATTTACCCTGGCATTCTTGCCTTCTGTCCAGTTATTTCCAGCTTGTGGTGCTTGCACCACAAGGCCGCTATTATCTCTTGTGTTGAAAAAAAGAGTAAAAACAAATTTGAAAGCAAAAACAGAAGTCACCTGATGAGTCACCTCATAATTTCTTTAAAAAATCTTTTCCCCTCTTCTTTCTTAAGGTTGACATGGAAGCTTTCCTGACTCTGACAGATGGAGACCTGAAGGAGCTGGGCATCAAAACAGACGGACCAAGACAACAGATCCTGGCTGCCATCTCTGAGCTCAATGCTGGGAAGGTGTGTTTGGTTGATCTAAAATTATGCAATCTTTCTTTAACGCTTTATTTACATCTGCTGTGTTTCCAGGGATCACAAGGCTTCAGTTGTTATTTTTCACCCCTTGTCCTCTAATGTATACCTTCACATTATGTCTTGAACACTGTGAGCTTGTGCTAAATGAAAAGATACCAAAGGGACATGTGTAAGTGAAGCAAAAGCTTCTTTTTTTCTGAAAACATAACCTGGTTTATAATGAGTGTTACCTGCTGTCACCAGGGCAGAGAGAGGCAAATCCTTCAGGAGACGATCCACAACTTCCAGTCTTCCTTTGGTAGCAGCGCCAGTAACCCACGGCAAGCAGGTGAATCACGCTGTAAGTGTAAAAGGTCAAAACTAAGAAATCAACTCTCAGGTGTGTTATTATTTTACTCAAACCAACATCACAGTGCTCATGTAGTTTTCTTCTTCTCCACTTTGTCTTCATTAGCACCAACAGTTTGGATGAGACACCAGATGAGATCAGCCAACAAAAGGTAACCCAGTAGCACCTGATATCAACCAGGAAGTCAGAGTAAAATGCAAGTGACGGAGTCTTCTGGACGCCACTGTCCCAGACAGTTAGTGCAAGAGGATGCTGCAGCAACACAATCATCCGGGCCAGACAATCTGCCTCTGTAGGACCCTCCAGAACTGCCTTGAGTTTTCCTCTTATTGATCCTAAAGCAGGAGAGGGTGTAGCCAGGCTGGCTGAGTCCAGGGTCCTGCTGATGTTTGACAAAACATGTGATATGTAGCAAATCATCTACTTTTGTCATAGTGGTACAGTTACACGGCTACATGGTTATATCTACTGCCTATGCAACACATGGGTCAAAGAGGAGGGATTAGGACATGAAGGAAGGTAAGAAGGTCAAATGAGCATGAGCAACAAGAAAGATCTCTTATTTTATTCAAACAAATGTTAAAGGTATAGAGATACAGATACAGATATATAATAAAAGTGGAAAGTTAAGGGGTGTTTCTGTTTGTAACACAGGCCTATTTTTACATATTTTGTGATCTAAATGTCTTGCAAGAGTTTTGCAAAGTTTTGCTTGTTTCTAAGATGCTTTTTACAAAAAAACAGATGCTGCATCACTCTCCTCAGGCTCAGAGCCACCAGAACCCATTTTAATGACCATGATTATAACTCATAAATCACAAGGGGTACTGGTCTACTCCTGTCTCAATCTGCTCTGAAGATTTTGTAGTATTATGTGTTATACAGATACATTTAATCTATGTTAAGTATAAAAATAATTTGCAGTCACAGAGAGGCAGGGTAAAGTTGTTCAGCTCCTGAGCCTGTCTCATAGGCTAAAACAGATGTGAAACAGGCCAAACTACTCCTATATAAACAGCTGATTAGGCTGAATGGAACAGCTCCATGCATGTTTGTTTACTCGTCTGCAAAACTGTGTCAAATCTGCGCATTTAATTTGTAGAGGAGGATTTGGGCCACTGCAAATTGTTTTATTGAGGTCAGGCTTTCTCAAAAAAGTCTCAGTTCTGAACAACATAAATAAGATCAGTGGTCTGAAGGAGGTGCTCTGTGTAAGCTGTGTCCAAAGTTAGGGTGTTAAAAGGATATTCTGACGTAAAACTAACGGTGGGATAGGCAGGATCTAAGGAAGTGCCAGTTTTGGGGAGAAATCTTGAATGTAAACACTACCCCTCCCCACCAGTTTTTCCCTCAGCTCCACCTCTCCCCTCCCTCTCTGCTCCAGCAAGCCCTGCCCACAAACAGAAGCTCCTGCTCACTTGTATCGTTTCAACTAAATTCAGATATAATGCAGATAAATACTTCAGATAATTACAAATGAAGCCCAGTCAATGGGAAAGTAAACAGCATTGGTGCTACTGTAGATGCCAACAGACTACCAGCAAACACAATGTTTGCAGGACTTCTACAACTAGGATAAAGTGACATAGTCCAGGATCCGAGGTCAACAGTTTAGTGGCGCTACAACACGCTACAGCAGGTCCCGTTTGACAACACTGCTGTTACAGACACTTGGCTTACTTTGTAAAATGGTTTACCTGTCCAGCAGAAAGGTTACAGGGTCCATAAGATCCCAAAGCGTCCCCCATCGTTTACACTGATGTTGACCCAGCTTTTTAGCTCTTGTCCAGTCTACCTCCTTTCTAAGTGCACGTTATTCCGCCTTAGTCTCTGGTATTTACTTCGGTTTCTATTTTGTGTTGGCAGTCGTGGCTAAAGGAGGATTCAGACAATTTTCCGTACTTTCTGGTTTGGCGGCTAGTGCTATGGCTGTGACCCCCCCTTTTTTTTTTTTTTTTTTTACTGTTGATGAAGTTAGGTGCTGTTCTGAGCATTATTTGTGGCTATAGAGTGGCTTTTTGGTTGAAGTTTGTCTATGGCTCAGACCGCTTTGAATTGCTATCGTTACTAAAGTTGGTGTAACTAGAGAAGCAAGCGGTCGGCAACATTCATCTCTCGAGGGGGTGTCTAACTCTGTGTTGCGGTGCGTTTGACCCCAAATTAATTTTATGCCAGAATATCCCTTTAAATTTTAAACTATGTGCTTAAACCATGTAGTTTGTGACTTTGGTTTTGTCATTCTTAAGTTGCACACTACAGACATTTGGCTCTCCTTAACTGGTAGAGTGTACCATCAAAACTTACTAAAATGTTGCAGAAATGACAGTTTCACTCCATTTGGCCAACCAGTAAAAAGCTCTTCTGAACAGGTGTTTAACGCACTGTCTCTTATGCTTCCTAAAAGGCTAACAGCTGTTAGGAAGAGCAAGTCTTTGCTCAATGCGCCTCATCTTCATTGAACAGGTGATCTGCCTGCAGGTAATACAGCACACAGTTTATTCATGTTTTGTGCTGGGACATGAAAAAACGCATTGCACTCTGTAAAAATACAGAAAAGATGATGAACAGAAAAACAGAAAGGATATGTGTCCAAAATAAACAAAGTGTTCTTATGATTTAGAGTATGGGACAAGTTCAGATGTATCACTATTCAATCTTCAGTCAGATTTAAACCAGTCAGCCAGCCTCTTTCCTTTAGTCTTCCACCAGATGGCGGTGAACTTCTTTTGATCTTCTTGTGCCCCACAGTCCAGCTATTATGAAGAGTTCTGTATGGTACTTAAAAGGTCATGTTAGCCCTTTAAGTCAGGTCTCTCCTTAGACTATAGAGGTCACACGAATGCCAAACCTTATTATTTTCAAAGGAAGAAATGTGATATACTCATACAAATAAAAGGCAGAGTTTGGTTTACCTTGAACAAACATATCACAGCAAATATAGAGGTTTGGCAGCTTATAGAATAAGACTGCAAGATGAAAATGTACTCTATGATGATAGGTTTTCAGGGGGCACTTTCACAATTTATGTTACAAAATGGCAACAAGGCAAAACAGACAAGTCCTACAATCACCACAATCTAAAGAAATTTGTTATCTAGCTTTTATTCTTATGGCTGAGTGAGTTACCTGAATCTGATTGGTCAGTCAATCAATTACTCTAACTTTAATTATGCTATGTCAATGTAGAACAAATGTAACCTATCTCAAGGTACTTTACAAAAACAGCTGGTCCAGATTGCACTCTTTATTATACAAATGCATTTACAATACAGTATATTGATAAAAAAAGATCACTAATAAATTAAAAATAGCTTTGTTACTGTAAAAAAATTGAGAGACTGATGCTTGTAGTTGAAGCAGCTGTAAAGCAGACAGGTCCACAGCAGGACGCCTGCAGCAGTGATCCAGAGGAAACTACAGAGCTCAGGGACACCTAGAAGACCATATTAGTGACTCTAATCGGACATTATGATTAGTCAATGAGCAGAGAAGGGGTGAAAGAAGCTCATTGTGCCGGCTCCTCTGGCAGTCTGAACCTATAACAGCGTAACTAAGAACTGGTCCAGGCCTGAGCCAGAGCTAATGTACGAGCTTTATCAAAAAGGAATATTTTGACTTCACTGAAACAGGCAAGTTCTAAACAATAAAAGTGACACCAGGGATCTTCATCACACATAAGATCAAATTTATCTGCAGAAAAGAGTCTCACATTTCTCCATATTTTTGTGTAATGTTTAGTTAAATGGGTGGTTTTATGAAGCAGATTTTTCTAGATTCTGTTAAATGTCAAACTGAGGTTTGAGATGACAACAGAGGAGCTTCCCTCCCTCTAGCTGTTGACGCAGACTGATGCAGGTACAATACATTTGTCTACACTGTAAAACTCAAACATCCAAGTAAAACGACAACAATTGAAACACATTTTTAACAAGAGGGGGCTTTGAAGAATCACATGTTAACTATTTACTCCACAGTAACTAACGGCTGGGTTGTTTTTGTTTTGTGAAGTCTCTGTTTTGGCATGATAAGCTGAACTATTAGTTTAAAACGACATAAATGCCTCAAACTCCTTTCAGAAACTCAGTCCCTCCTCCAAACTTAATCAAATTGCAACACAGCACGGGGCGTTGTTGAAATTATTATTGATGACCTGGATCTGGACCGAGCCGACTGGCAGGCAACAGGATTCCGGTAGAGTTTAATGAAAAGCATCACTCAGCGGAAGAGAGCTTTGCTCTCCATATTTTGTGGCAGACTGAGAGCTCAGTCTCAGCTTAGTCTCCTGTTAGGAGAAAGGGACACATTTGAAATACACTATCATCGCTGTGGCATGTGGGCAGCAAATGGAGTGACTCATTCAATTTCCTCCTCATTGATTTCACTCACACAAGGTTTTAATTGATTGAATAGTAATAACCCTGTTTATAACCCTGTTTATCTAACCCTGCGGTAAGAAGAAACAACAGGCACAGATAATGGGTGCAAAGAGGTCACAAAAACAGTGACAGTGACTGGGAGAATTAATCACTTATTTTTCCTATTTTAAACTCCTCCCGCAACTCTGGCTCCACACAGCCTCAGCCAAGATGTCTGCCCTGTTGGCTCAAAGTGATCTTGTCTGTGGCAAAACCAGCTGACTGAAGGTTCCTAAGTCTGTCAGAGGGAAAGACGGGGTTGAGACTCTCCCCAGGAGAGACTTATTTTCCCTCAGTGCCAGCTTTCCTAGTCCTAAGTCCTTATTTTCTCTAATAGCCTTGCAGACTTATTGGCGTCATGTGCCAATCAGTCAATTAATATTTATTTATAGAACTCTGTGATAAATCCATCCAGGATGCTGAGCAAAAACAAAACAGCAGAGGTGGGGAAGAACTTCCTTTAAAAGGCAGAAACCCTGAACAGAACCAGACTCAGGTTCAACAGCTGTCAGCTTTGACTGGATGGATTGAGAAAGACAGAGAGCATCAACAAGACTTCCTGCTCCTATGAGAATTCTATCTGTATATGAAACAGAGTGAAATGAATGTATATTTCTCTGGATCTGGACCATTGACAATGAGAATGAAAATCTTGATGCCATGGAAAGACTTTCATTTTCCCCTCAGAGTCTGAAAGGAAAAGATTTTCCAGGATTTGGAACAAGTGGACTAAATATTTCAAACTAACAGGGCTAGACATCGTCTGATTTATCAGAGAAAATGAATAAAATGTAATGTCAGTTCTTGCTCTTACCTTTCATCCATAAGCTTGCTCTGTCTTAATTTACTCATTTTCTTTCATCTCTCTCCTGTCCTTTAAATAATTTAATCTAAGTTATTTAAAAAAAAAAGGTATCCAGAAGAGCTTTGCTACAATAAGACAGACCAGTATAATGTGTATAAGTCTAATCTCCTGAAATCTACATGCATTTACTATACAAAAATAAACATTTCCTATATTGTTGTTAATGCAATGGAAAAACTCTCCCAAAACAACTTCTTTCACATTTTTTACAACTAAGATTCACAACATGGGCTGTGTTTGACTGTTAAAAGAAATCAGGATGAGTTTATTTGCTAAAATCAATGTGGAATAAAATCAGCATTGTAAACAGAAATATTGCTTTCTTCACTTGTGACACAAAAATCAATGCATATTTGTGATAATGTAAGTATACTGCTTCTACAGTAGTGGTTTTTTGGGGAATAAATTAAAATATAACTGAACTTTTCAAGTGAAAATATCAGCCTACTTTGCTCAAATCCACATTAAAGCTCTGCGAAGGACGTTCAGTTTGTGTTGACTTTGATGCCCCGTATTGACAAAGCAGTCTTTATTTCATGCCCTCTACATGCTTACACAGTGTCTAGTGATAAACAGTCTCATCTGGCTGACTTTAACAGGCAAATACATCATGTATTGTGATTACTTTATGAGGACAGTTTAAGCACAGGCCTGTTTCTTCAGCTGCTCTGCTGATACCTACCCCCCCATACTGGTTTCAGACATTAAAAACGACAGTATGCAAATTATCAGTCTTTCTCCTAATGGTCTTGTTCGCTTTTCAACATCGAGAAAAAGCCTCAATAGGAATTTCAGTTTGTTTCATTAACATTAAAAAACTTATTACAGGGATTTTAAGTTTGTGTTGAGTGGTAGTGGTACCGCTAATATCTTGTCAGATTTTGTTTTGTGGAAGATCTCTGCAGACTTTTTCAGTTTAGCATGGTTGTTAACCACACCACTCATGATTTAGGTTTCTGGGCAGAACACCAGTTCTCCTGTTGGTGCACAGATTGCAGGACAGGGTGTACCAGGGTTTGCAGGGGTCCATTAGCTCCTCAGGCTGCTCTTACATCTGTTCCTGTAAACTGTCATTATTTCTTCCCTCTAAAGCCCATAACCCACAGGATCCGTGTTGGTCATTTTCCGTCAGCGTTGCGTCCCTGCTCCATCACATCATCACCCACCGAAAGTGTGTTTGGAGCATAGCAGCAGTGTAACAGCAGCATAGAGGACTCAGTATACAGAAAACAACATACACAAAACAGGCTTCTTTGCCTCTATGTGGTCAATTACCTGTTTATATGGATATAATTCTGTTACTGTTTAGCTTCTACTTTATGTGAACAAGCAACGTGATTTTAAATTTGGATTCTTCCAGGTTTACTAGCATTTGGTAAAGAAAACTATGTTCCACTTAACTGTGCTGTTACTTTCAGACAGAGTTGGCAGCTAAAAGTTGTGTTGTGGTCCACATGGATCAGGGATAGGCCATGAGATTATTCTGTGTTAATGGTAAATCTATGCCCAGGAAGTGTTTGTCATCCATACGATCAGATAAACAGTTGTGAGTCTGCATATAATGTTTTATTTTGAAATTGACTTGATTCACTATACCCTGCTAGTGACTTTCTCTCTGATGCAATCTGCTCTGTGTAGATTGACACATGTTGGAAACATAGTGCATCCAAAATAAACTTGGAACAAATCTTTAGCAGAGCAGCTTGCAGAAATGCTTCTGGCACAGAGCAGAGACACTTCCTGTGGGTTATGCTGCATTGATTAGAATAGCAACGTATTACCCCCTAGCACATGATGCTGATGGAACATGGGTTATGAACACAAGACCAGCCTGAGACAGTCACTGATGCTTTTATCAGTGTCAACAGGCAGAGGGGAAATGTGTCAAACTCTCCCCTGCAGATAGATTTGATCTGATGTGTGTGATTAGGGCTGTCAGTTGTTACAGATCCAACAATTTGCAAATTTACTTGAAAACTTCGACAAATCAGCTGCTTGAGATTATTTCCACACGTTAAAAACAGCCTATTCCAAATCCTCTCCCATCTGAAAAAGTTTTTAAATAACTGCAGTGGCGGGCCGTGCATTTCACGCCAAGGCCTTCAGTGCCGTTCCACTAAGTCCTACCTAAATTAATACACCTCATAATACCATCAATTTGACACCGTGGCTTGAGAATCGCATTTACACATTACATCACCTTAATATAGGCTAGTCGAACAACACTCTATCTCCAGAGCATTTAAAACTAATAAGCACATATTTGCAGTTAAGAGTAGGAAACTAAGATCACAGATACTATCAAACTCAAAAATAAAAGGTGATTTTAAGGTTTAAGTCAACAAAAGGCCACCAAAAGTACGCTCAACTGTAACAAGTTTGTCCAGTTAATTGCACAAAAAGATGATAACGAAACTGTTCATTGAAAATAAACAGATCATTTGCATTTGATTTTGAGAATATGCAACTGCAAAACAATTGGACATGATGGTGCAGCTGTGACTGAAGTGACTTCAGAAATAAAATGACAGAAAAGATATTGAAAATATAAAGCTTGCACTCACCAATACAGATCTCCTCCACAGCACCTGCTTATTTGAAAATAAAATCCATCCTCCCTTCTTTTCTCAAGAAGACTTTAATGGCTCTGTTGTACAGTTTATATGTGCATGTCAGTTCCATCAATAAGTCCTTTTCTATGGACATTGAGTCTAATGCTAAAAGCCATGTCTGTTCAGTCGTGTTTCCATACAGCGAAATACAGCCATAGCTGTTGGTAGCTGGCAGATTTCTGGGTTTAGTTCGATATTTTGCACAGTGCTGCCTTTCAAGTTCTCACGAGTGCTTATCCAATCACAGGACGCGTACATGTCCACTTCAGCGTAACACCTTCTAGCTGGCCTCGATGCCACAGACTCGAGATCTGATTGACTATTGCAACTGACTGGATCCATTCACTTAAAGCGCCTGGGAGCCTGCTCTGTTGATTCTGAAGGCCTTTGGCAGATTTTATAGCACCTGACAACACAAGCTAGCTGAAATATGATTGGATAAAAAATTTCTATCATAATATACACTGTGTGCACAATTATTAGGCAAGTTGTATTTTTGAGGATAAATTTTATTTTTGAACAACTAAAGTGCTCTCGGTCAATCCAAAATGTTAATAAACCTCAAACCTTAAAATTTAAGGGAGTAAAAGTGAGATTTTGACTTCCTTGGGAGAATATCTATATGTGCACAATTATTGGGGGCAGCTATTAGTGTGCAGAATTATTATGCAACTAAATTAAAAATGAAAAATTTTCCATCTCACTTGTTTATTTTCACTTGTTAAAGTGAGAATGATAAACAAACAACTCAATTTACAAATAAAAATGGTTGAAATTTAAAAAAAAAAATCAGTGACCAATATAGCCACCCTTCTTTTCATTAACAGTCATAAGCTTTCCATTCATGGAGTCTTTCAGTTTCTTGATCTGTTGACGATCAACTTTTTGTGTTGCAGTAACCAAAGCCTTCCAGACACTGTTCCAGACACTGTTCAGAGAGGTGTACTGTCTTCCTTCACTGTAAATTTCCTGTTTAAGAAGGGCTCACAAGTTCTCAACAGGGTTTAGGTCTGAAGGAGGCCACGTCATTATTCTTTCGTTTTTAAGGCCTTTACTGGCGAGCCACATAGTGGAGTACTTTGTTGCATGCAATGGAGTATTGTCCTGCATAAAAATCATGGTTTTCTTGAAAGATGCAGACTTTTGCCTGTACCACTGCTTGAAGAAAGTGTCTTCTCAAAACTGGCATTGGATTTGGGAGTTGATTTTAAGTCCATCTTTAACCCAAAAGGTCCAGCTAGCTCATCTTTAATAATACCAGCCCATACCAGTACCCCGCCTCCACCTTGCTGGTGTCTGATTCGAAGTGGAGCTCTGTGCCCATTACTGATCCAGCCACGGGTCCATCCATCTGGTCCGTCAAGAGTCACTCTCATCCCATCAGTCCATAAAACCTTTGAAAAATCTCTCTTCAGATATTTCTTGGCCCAGTCTTGACTTTTTAACTTGTGTCTTGTTCAGTGGTGGTCAGGTTTCAGCCTTCCTTACCTTGGCCATGTCTCTGAGCACTGAACACCTTGTACTTCTGGGCACTCCAGGTAGGTTGCAGTTCTGGAATATGACAGCACTGGAGGATAAGCAATTCCTGGTAGCTTTACGTTTGAGTCTTCTCAAATCTTTGGCAGTTAATTTGCGTCTTTTTTTCTTAACACATTTCTTGCGACCCTGTTGACTATTTGCATCAAAATGTTTGCTGATTCTGTGATCACGCCCAAATATCTAAGCAATTTCAAGAGTGCTGCATCCCTCTGAAAGACTTTTTACATTTTTTGACTTTTCAGAGTCACTTAAATCTCTTTTTTGGCCCATTTTACCTGAGGAAAAGAAGCTGCCTAATAATTATGCACACCTTGATATAGGGTTTTGATCTCCTTAGGCCCCAGCCTCCCTCATTACACTAATACACATTACCTGATATGCTTATATCCAATAAGCATTCAAGTTTATACAGCTTGGAGTTGGAAAATATGCATAAAAATGATGATATGATCAAAATACTCACTTGCCTAATAATTGTGCACACAGTGTATAACATTGGAAGCAGCTCAACCAAGTGGATATAATATGACATAAAGAGAACAGACAATAGAGATTAATTTTATTTACTTATTTATAAAAAACAAATAAATAAATTTACTTTTCTGAGTATGCTTAGGCCAGCAGAGAAGGCCTTGCTGGCCCTGACAGCCCACCACTGAATAAACTGACATAAAAGTCAGTCGGAAAACTGACTGGTATGAAATAAAAAGCTCAGTTAATATAAGAAATACATGACATTTGGATCTGAGCTAACAGCTTTGTGTTGTGATGTGCTGTTTTGTGTCGTGTCCGCAGGTTTGTTAGGTTGTAGTTAAATTTGTTAGCTGGGGTTTATTCCCTCAGTATTTGGGTGTCCCCTCTAAAAGCTCAGGCACTGTTACCATGAAACTCACTTTGTGGCTGTCGGCCTCTGGCTGTATAAGCCAGCGCAGTTTTCACATGTAGGGCAGTGGCTTCACTCCAGTGTGTGAAAGTGTGTATTTGTATGTTGTGATGCCTTGTAATTAAGGCTGCACGATATTGGAAAAAACTAACATTGCGATTTTTTTCAACCCTGCGATATATATTGCGATATTAAAAATATAGTAATTTTCACCAGATGACCTGAATAGCATTTAATGTTATGCTGCGCCGCTGAAGTCTTGAGGACAGTTAACCTGCTCCGATCTTACCTCTTTTTGTGAATGTTAGTAGAACGGATTCTGTCTGTCTCAGAGATATTTTTAGCTTTTATTGTGCTGGCGACAGATGAACACAGAACCCGTGTTTTGGTCGACATCATCCTTCTTTTAACCGAAATAATTCCAGATAACTGACTTTCCTTTTCATTTTGGCAACAAATCATCTTCGGTGGTTTTCTCTTGTTCGTTGCTCATTTTGCAATCGTTGTTGTTGTTAGCGGTGTTGTGCCGAGAAACGCATGTCCTCCGAGAATTGCATGCACCCCGCAAAACGCGCACCGCTTATAGTAGAGTGGTCCACGAAAATACATTTTAAAACCCATACAGTTCTTATTTGTTAGGCTTAACAGTCATGAGTAAAGTTCCGAAAGTAATTCTCAGCGGACACGCGTTTCTTGGCTCCACACCAGCAGCCAGCGAGTAACTCCATGTGCAGAACATGTGCAGGGGTGGGTTTCCTCCTCTCTGATTTTGATTGAAAGCTGGCAGGGTAGTCTGATTGGCAACTGAGAACTGAGTCTGATTGGCAACTGAGTAAAGGACAAAGGTGATTGGTGGATCGCTGCACAGCACATGCAGAGTCACATGCAGTGTATCTCAGTCAGTTACCCTTGAAATTAACTGAGTTCATTCACCTCCGACATCGCAGGCTCTGCGATGTGACTATCGCACACAGGTACATCGCGATGACGATGCTCAAACGATATATAGTGCAGGCCTACTTGTAATGCTCAGGCAGTGATTTGGTGCAGAATTTAGGCCTCTGGAGGTTTTCACACATAAACTGCTCATTTTATGCTCTCTCTCTCTCTCTTTTTATCTCTCCTTCTCTCTTTTTATCTCTCTTTCTCTCTCTTTGACTCTCTCTCTCGCTGGGATTATTTCTCTCATCTGCTCTGCCCAATCTGATTAAAGACTCATCATCCATCTCACTGAGCGAGCTTTAAACAGCTGATAATTAAACCTAAAACAGAGCTTAACTATCATAGCCCTGTGTATTGTTTGTGCAGATGATGTCCAAACAAACAGTTGCTGCCTGACCTCACTTCAGCATTCCTCTGTTGACATTCATCCTTGCTGAAGTGACTCAATTGCTCATTTCCCAGCATCCTCTGGGTTGCACAACACGCTGCTTCTCTGCTCCCTCTCTCTCTCTACACATAACCACAGAAAGCAGAGAGCAGTTAACAGACAGTTTGATGGAAGACCTAAGGCCGGAGAAGACCTCCATCTGACCCCTAAATGACCCTTTGACAAATACAAATCCAGACGTTAACAGAAGATTATCTCCACAGAGAGCAAAGACAGTTTTTTCTCTCAAAGTGATTGACACTTGATGTATGAGAGCATCAACACAGGCTGTCAGTTGTAAGTTTTTTATTGTTCGATTTAAATCGCAAATCCCAATCAATTGCATTTTTGTGTACATTTGAGAGTTTGTTATTTTGCATTTTATAACAGTTTTTACAGTGTAAAGCGGTTTTTACCAAGAAAGATTATTTGAACCTTCAGTGATTCCTGGTTAATGCAACAGTATTTCGAATCCTCAGGAACTTCAGTTTGATCGCTTCTCTAGCAGTATGTTTACGTGCACAGTGAAGTCGAGGCACAGTTACAGCTGGATAAGGCAATTTAACTGGACTCATTACTACTTTGTTTATTCCCCAGTGCATTTGTGTTAAACCTGACCAATTTTTGGCGTGCAAACTCTTGAACACTTAGTCCGGTTGCAGTATGATGAATAAGAATAAAAAGAACTTAATTACTCCCCGAAGAGAAATTCAGTTGTCTGTCGTCTCACATAATATGTCTCTAAAAGTTATCTACTCTTTACACAAGAGTTATAAAGTCTGATGGCTGTTGGTACAAAAGATCCTCTGAATTTTTCTTTCCTGCAGCGAAGAGAGAGGAGCCATCCACCACCATTGGCCCTTTGGTCCATCAAGGTGTTGTGAAGTGGGTGATCCATGTTCTTTAGAATAGACTCCACTTTCCTCAGTGTAGATCTCTCCACCACATCCTCCACTGAGTCCAGCTTGAGTCCAACCACAGAGCCAGCCTTTTTCACGAGTTTGTTAAGATGTCTTGCATCTTTGTGTTTGATGCTTCCTCCCCAGCAGACTGCAGCGTAGAATAGAACACTTGCCACCACAGACTGTTAAAACATCTGCAGTATCTTACTACAGATGTCTATTGATCGGAGTCTTCTCAGGCAAAAGAGGCAGCTCTGCCCCTTTCCGTAGATGAAGTTTATATTCTTAGACCAGTCCAACTTATTATCCAGATGTACACCTAGGTATTTATATGATGTCACCACTTCGATGTCCACTCCACAGGTGTTCACTGGCTGAAGACGGGGTTTGGATTTACGGAAGTCTATGACCATCTTCTTTGTCTTTGGGGTGTTGAGGAGGAGGCAGTTTTTGTCACTGAAGTCTCTTATCAGATCTCTGTATTTAGCTTCTTGTCCATTTCTGATACATGCCACAATAGCGGTGTCATCTGAGTATTTCTGGATGTGGCAGGACTCAGTGCTGTATTTGAAGTCTGACGTATACAGTGTGAACAGGAATGGTGCCAGCACTGCCCCTTGTGGAGCCCCTGTACTGCTCATTAATGTCCCAGAAACACAGTTTCCCAGCCTGACAAAGAGTGGCCTTCCTGTCAGGCAATCTGCAGTCCAGGAAACACAGGAAGGATCCACTCCCATCTCTGTGAGCTTGTCTATGAGTATGGTGGGTTGGATGGTGTTGAATGCACTTGAAAATTCGAAGAACATCATCCTCATGTAAACCCCAGGTTCCTCCAGATGAGACAGGGCATGGTGAAGCATGAAGAGGACAGCATCATCCACTCCAATGTGATCTTTGTATGCAAACTGCAGGGATTCCAGTTTGTCTTTGACCTCAGACCTCAGAAGGCGTAGAATCAGCCGCTCCAGGGTTTTCATGATGTGTGAAGTCTGTAGTCATTGAGTTCAGCTGGACATTTTGTTTTTGGTACTGGCACAATGCAGGATGTTTTCCACAGAGTATGTACCCAGCCCAGCTGTAGACTCAGGTTGAAGATCCTGTGGAGAGCTTGACACAGTTCTGCAGCACATTCTCTAAGCAGCCTTGGACACACACCATCTGGACCAGCTGCCTTCCCAGGACAAAGTCTTCCAAGCTCCATCCTCACCCCTGTTTTGGTGACAGACAAGGACTGGTGTTCTAGGGGGGAGGCAGTTGAAGTGGTTGAGACCTTGAACGAGATGGGGGAGGAATGGGAGTAGTTGTAGTGGAGATTTGTGGAGAGGAAGGTGGAGTAGCAGTGGCAGTGGGAGTGACAGCAGTGTCAAATCTGTTGAAGAACAGGTTGAGTTCATCAGCTCTTTCCAGATCACCCACCACTGTCTGTCTTTTTTTTTTTTATTGCTGTATCCAGAGATGGTACTGATTCCTCTCCACACTTCACGGATGTTGCTGTGTTGTAGATTCTTCCCCATCCTCCTTTTATACTCCAGCTTTGCCATCTTCAGTCGCCTCTTCAACTCTTGTTTGAGTCGTTCTTTGTCACCATCTTTAAAAGCTTTCTTTTTCTGGTTAAGGATTGCTTTTATGTCACTTGTGATCCAGGGTTTGTTGTTGGGGAAACAGCGAACAGTCTTTGTGGGTATAACTGTGTCTCTACAGAAGTTGACATATTCAGTAAAGCAGTCAACCTGTTTGTCAGTGT